TTCATCAGATCACATCCCATCATACAGAGAATCACACACCTGGGGAACAAGTTCTATCTTGATCAGATCACACACCATCATACAGAGAATCACACACCTGGGGAACAAGCTCTATCTTGATCAGATCACACTCATCAAACAGAGACACACACATGGGTAACAAGCTCTATCTTGATCAGATCACATCCCATCATACAGAGAATCACACACATGGGGAACAAGTTCTATCTTCATCAGATCACACACCATCATACAGAGAATCACACACATGGGGAACAAGCTCTATTTTGATCAGATCACATCCCATCATACAGAGAATCACACACCTGGGGAACAAGCTCTATCTTTATCAGATCACATCCCATCATACAGAGAATCACACACATGGGGAACAAGTTCTATCTTCATCAGATCACACACCATCATACAGAGAATCACACACCTGGGGAACAAGCTCTATCTTGATCAGATCACACCCATCAAACAGAGACACACACATGGGTAACAAGCTCTATGTTGATCAGATCACATCCCATCATACAGAGAATCACACACATGGGGAACAAGTTCTATCTTCATCAGATCACACACCATCATACAGAGAATCACACACATGGGGAACAAGCTCTATCTTGATCAGATCACACCCATCAAACAGAGACACACACATGGGGAACAAGCTCTATGTTGATCAGATCACATCCCATCATACAGAGAATCACACACCTGGGGAACAAGTTCTATCTTCATCAGATCACACACCATCATACAGAGAATCACACACCTGGGGAAAAAGCTCTATCTTGATCAGATCACACACCATCAAATAGAGACACACACATGGGTAACAAGCTCTATGTTGATCAGATCACACACCATCATACAGAGCCTCACACACCTGGGGAACAAGCTCTATTTTGATCAGATCACATCCCATCATACAGAGAATCACACACCTGGGGAACAAGCTCTATCTTGATCAGATCACACCCCATCATACAGAGCCTCACACACCTGGGGAAAAAGCTCTATCTTGATCAGATCACACACCATCAAATAGAGACACACACATGGGTAACAAGCTCTATGTTGATCAGATCACACACCATCATACAGAGCCTCACACACCTGGGGAACAAGCTCTATTTTGATCAGATCACATCCCATCATACAGAGAATCACACACCTGGGGAACAAGCTCTATCTTGATCAGATCACACCCATCATACAGAGAATCACACACCTGGGGAACAAGCTCTATCTTCATCAGATCACATCCCATCATACAGAGAATCACACACCTGGGGAACAAGCTCTATCTTGATCAGATCACATCCCATCATACAGAGAATCACACACATGGGGAACAAGCTCTATCTTCATCAGATCACACCCATCAAACAGAGACACACACATGGGTAACAAGCTCTATCTTGATCAGATCACATCCCATCATACAGAGAATCACACACCTGGGGAACAAGCTCTATCTTGATCAGATCACATCCCATCATACAGAGAATCACACACATGGGGAACAAGCTCCATCTTCATCAGATCACATCCCATCATACAGAGAATCACACACCTGGGGAACAAGCTCTATCTTTATCAGATCACATCCCATCATACAGAGAATCACACACATGGGGAACAAGCTCTATGTTGATCAGATCACACACCATCAAACAGAGACTCACACACATGGGTAACAAGCTCTATGTTGATCAGATCACATCCCATCATACATAGCCTCACACACATGGGGAACAAGCTCTATTTTGATCAGATCACATCCCATCATACAGAGAATCACATACCTGGGGAACAAGCTCTATCTTGATCAGATCACACACAATCATACGGAGAATCACACACCTGGGGAACAAGCTCTATCTTCATCAGATCACATCCCATCATACAGAGAATCACACACATGGGGAACAAGCTCTATCTTGATCAGATCACATCCCATCATACAGAGAATCACACACATGGGGAACAAGCTCTATCTTCATCAGATCACACCCATCAAACAGAGACACACACATGGGTAACAAGTTCTATCTTCATCAGATCACATCCCATCATACAGAGAATCACACACCTGGGGAACAAGTTCTATCTTGATCAGATCACACACCATCATACAGAGAATCACACACCTGGGGAACAAGCTCTATCTTGATCAGATCACACCCATCAAACAGAGACACACACATGGGTAACAAGCTCTATCTTGATCAGATCACATCCCATCATACAGAGAATCACACACATGGGGAACAAGTTCTATCTTCATCAGATCACACACCATCATACAGAGAATCACACACATGGGGAACAAGCTCTATTTTGATCAGATCACATCCCATCATACAGAGAATCACACACCTGGGGAACAAGCTCTATCTTTATCAGATCACATCCCATCATACAGAGAATCACACACATGGGGAACAAGTTCTATCTTCATCAGATCACACACCATCATACAGAGAATCACACACCTGGGGAACAAGCTCTATCTTGATCAGATCACACCCATCAAACAGAGACACACACATGGGTAACAAGCTCTATGTTGATCAGATCACATCCCATCATACAGAGAATCACACACATGGGGAACAAGTTCTATCTTCATCAGATCACACACCATCATACAGAGAATCACACACATGGGGAACAAGCTCTATCTTGATCAGATCACACCCATCAAACAGAGACACACACATGGGGAACAAGCTCTATGTTGATCAGATCACATCCCATCATACAGAGAATCACACACCTGGGGAACAAGTTCTATCTTCATCAGATCACACACCATCATACAGAGAATCACACACCTGGGGAAAAAGCTCTATCTTGATCAGATCACACACCATCAAATAGAGACACACACATGGGTAACAAGCTCTATGTTGATCAGATCACACACCATCATACAGAGCCTCACACACCTGGGGAACAAGCTCTATTTTGATCAGATCACATCCCATCATACAGAGAATCACACACCTGGGGAACAAGCTCTATCTTGATCAGATCACACCCCATCATACAGAGCCTCACACACCTGGGGAAAAAGCTCTATCTTGATCAGATCACACACCATCAAATAGAGACACACACATGGGTAACAAGCTCTATGTTGATCAGATCACACACCATCATACAGAGCCTCACACACCTGGGGAACAAGCTCTATTTTGATCAGATCACATCCCATCATACAGAGAATCACACACCTGGGGAACAAGCTCTATCTTGATCAGATCACACCCATCATACAGAGAATCACACACCTGGGGAACAAGCTCTATCTTCATCAGATCACATCCCATCATACAGAGAATCACACACCTGGGGAACAAGCTCTATCTTGATCAGATCACATCCCATCATACAGAGAATCACACACATGGGGAACAAGCTCTATCTTCATCAGATCACACCCATCAAACAGAGACACACACATGGGTAACAAGCTCTATCTTGATCAGATCACATCCCATCATACAGAGAATCACACACCTGGGGAACAAGCTCTATCTTGATCAGATCACATCCCATCATACAGAGAATCACACACATGGGGAACAAGCTCCATCTTCATCAGATCACATCCCATCATACAGAGAATCACACACCTGGGGAACAAGCTCTATCTTGATCAGATCACACACCATCATACAGAGCCTCACACACCTGGGGAACAAGCTCTATCTTGATCAGATCACACACCATCAAACAGAGACACACACATGGGTAACAAGCTCTATGTTGATCAGATCACATCCCATCATACAGAGATTCACACACCTGGGGAACAAGCTCTTTCTTGATCAGATCACACACCATCATACAGAGAATCACACACCTGGGGAACAAGCTCTATCTTGATCAGATCACACCCATCAAACAGAGACACACACATGGGTAACAAGCTCTATGTTGATCAGATCACATCCCATCATACAGAGAATCACACACCTGGGGAACAAGCTCTATCTTGATCAGATCACATCCCTTCATACAGAGAATCACACACCTGGGGAACAAGCTCTATCTTGACTAGATCACACCCCATCATACAGAGAATCACACACCTGGGGTTCAAGTTCTATCTTCATCAGATCACACCCCATCATACAGAGAATCACACACCTGGGGAACAAGCTCTATCTTGACTAGATCACACCCCATCATACAGAGAATCACACACCTGGGGAACAAGCTCTATCTTGATCAGATCACACCCATCAAACAGAGACACACACATGGGGAACAAGCTCTATCTTGATCAGATCACATCCCATCATACAGAGAATCACACACCTGGGGAACAAGCTCTATCTTGATCAGATCACATCCCTTCATACAGAGAATCACACACCTGGGGAACAAGCTCTATCTTGACACAAATAAGTAATAAGTTCTATCTTGACTAGATCACACCCCATCATGCAGAGAATCACACACCTGGGGAACAAGCTCTATCTTGACTAGATCACACCCCATCATACAGAGAATCACACACGTGGGGAACAAGCTCTCAATTCGGAATATACCGCACCAACAACCCAGCCATAAAGTACATGAATTGTGATCCCACAAAAACTGTAACATGATTCGCTTCCTAAACCACTTGCATTCAAATATGTATACTAATATTAACGATCAATCAGTTTTCTGGTTTCCAACTCAATAGGTAATGTCATCACTTGATTTGTTTAATGCCACATTATTTCAGTTATACTGCAGAGCATAAGCCTACTATGTTAATGCAGATTCGAGAGGTTTACCTATTGTAGAACCCGTGACAGAGAGAGGGGAGAGGGGAGAGGGCAGAGGGCAGAGGGGAGAGGGGAGAGGGGAGTAGGGAGTGGGGAGAGGGAGGGGAGAGGGGAGAGGGGATGTCCCCTAACCCAAATTGCTATGAGCCTGTGTGGGGAGGGGGGTTATATAGCTATAATGTCTCTGGGGTGGGATACCTGCAGTTCCCTCTAGGGCTGGCTGCGCTCCTGGCAGGGTGAGGACACCTCCCTCCTTGAGGTACTTGGCTGCAAGACTTGAGGAGAGCACAGACGTCCATACGCTCTGCTTCCACATCATGTCTGCATTCTTCACCAGATCTGTAACCATTGTAACACAGGCCATTATCAACACGGTTCACCCTAGGACAGACAACAGCGTTTCTCACCACTTGCCAGAATGATGATAACATTGACATTATAAATAGGGAGATTATTTAAGAAATAAACAACACAGCCCTGAGTGGATTAATCCCTGCAGTGTTTTATTGTACGATAAACACGACGACTCGTATTTTTATTTCTCATATGAAATATCAAGATTATGTACAGCCTCCTTATAAATGTTAGTAAAATGTACACGCTTTAAAAACATTTACTGGTATTTAAATAAAGATGACTCAATGAATAGAATCTGACTGCGGTAATGTTGGCCAAGTCCATTTTATGAACAGGGTTTGGTCATTCCAACATATTCTCACAATTTTCATGTCGATTATCTGTACCTTTTCTCCCAATACTGACTGCCACATCTCTCTCAATTTTAGGAAGCGATCAGTCGGCCATTATGTTTATCTACACTGCCCAGCTACATCTAGGCTTAAAAAATATATATAGGAAATGGTCCCCAGGCAAAGGTTTTTGAAAATATAGTGCGGGCGGGCAGTGTCTTTTTTTTCTGTTGTTGTTGTTGTTCAAACTAGTATGTCACCAATAAAAAGTTCTGTAATCAATAAACAATTGTGTACAATCAACCTGGTAAAAGGGCCTCCCTACATAAATGTATTCCTTGATGAGTAAAATACTGGAATACAGTATTTGACTTCTGTTGGACTTGGAACTTTTTTGTTTTTATTTAAAAATGGAAATAAAAACAAAACGTGCGGCGAACTTTATGATGATGTGGGCGGTGCCTGAGAATCAAGACTATTATTTTTTTTAGCCCTATGGGAACAACTCACTTGACACTTCCCTCTCAAAACTAATGTTATCCAATTCACGACGTCATCAAGTTGTGAGTGCATGTTTGAATCACTAGAAATGATGTCCTGATAGAACAATGTTTTATCGTGAAATAAACCACGCTTCGTTCTTCATTGTTCTTTGCGATTAAACGTGTAGCTATCTTATATAACGCCATAAAAAAAACGGATGTTTCCACTCCCCACAGCAATGTGTGACATGAAAATCATAAGGTCCTTGTCATTCACCTGATGTTAAAGGTTTAAACTGTTGGGGTCTGTAGATACAAATACGATAGAAGAAAAACTAAAGGACACCAGGACTCCCTCCGCTTCTTAAATTAATTTATGTTCAAAGATGTCCGAGCTAGTTGATGTAACATAATTTGGCACGGACTATTTCAGATGAGCAGAAACAATAGATTGAAATTAAAAACACATGCCATTTGAAGATCCGGGTTAGAATTGGTCTTAAACAATCAATGCTACAATAAGAGGTGACTAATGGGATAAGGTTGTCAGACTCAGTTGCATAGACTGATGCTCATGAAGTCAATCACTGGGTTGTCTGGTCCAGACTCTATCATTTACAGACCTCTGTCATATAGCTGGTATATTGCTTACATGAAAACACACGCACTAACATGATCTACGTTTACCCTAATGAAGGCCAGTGTTCACCAACAGCAATTCTACTCATAGTGATTGATGTCGAGTTGGTAAACCTTAAATTCAAAATTCCCAGTTTCACTGCCTTCGGTAACCTAAGCCCTGTAACCAGGGAAACTGTTAGGTCACAAGGGCAACTATCTTGACATTAGTGCTATTGAAATGGCATAAAACCCTCTACTGCGATACTAATAGTAGTAAAACCATGGTAACAGAATGCCAGTGTATGATGATTATCTCTACCTACCGTTTGCGATATTGACAGAATGACAAACCTCACATATTCCATTTCCCTTGTTTGTTGTGTAATGCCGCACTCAGCAATATTCCAGCTTCAAAATATTCAAGCCTGTTTAATCGATCATAAGTTATTAACAACCCTAATGAAGAAACATAAACATACCTTTAGAGGCTGCATTGCCACCAGCCCATCCCCCGGCAACACACAAGATGGCATCCACCTTATTCTCCCCCAGGACTCCATCGACGCTCTTTACAACTTCCTCTTCCTGTGCTGTCCAAGATTCAACTGGCTTCACAATGATGTTGGCATCTGCATCTTCATTTGGGTGAAGATCAATGGAACCTACCCACTGAAAGAAGAGACATCGTATTACAACTTCTGCAAAGAGTTTATCATACATCAATTGGTCAAATTTTACAATGGCAATATATCCCAATCACATTCAGTGTGTCAGTCAATGTGTGTAGCCAACATGTCAGTGGTGTTATAAACCAGATCATACATTCAATGTTGATCAAATTGAAAAAAAATATATTCAACTTATCTCCACATCCTACAATTGATGATAGGAAACTCATCATCTATCACTGCAGTAGTTAGTGGTAGAAACTAACACTTCAGTAGTCGACCCGGGAAGATCCGGGATAGAATAGGTCTTCAGTAACCCATGCTTGCCGTAAAAGGCGATTATATTCCAGTAATATGATGGCAGTCTGTAAATAATGGAGTCTGAACCAGGCAATCCAGACATTGACATCATGAGCATCGATCTACGCAATTGGGATATGATGATATGCAATGCGATAACTGTGATGACACATGTACACATTTAACTCAGATTTTCCGACGACTTCGCATCTAATGTAATGTCCTGATGTTCAGCTACAGGGAATGTGTTTCCTTCAACTCTCTTATGATATTAAGTTTTCATATACTGAGGTCTTTAATTCATATTTCACCCAATATTAAACTCAGTTTAATTTATCTACATGTCTTTGAGACATTCCCTCATCATCAGGCTCGCTATTAAGATGACCTTCTGTCATGCATGCAGCAAGCATGTTAGACACATATTATGTATTTTTCTGAGACTAAAATAGTCTGTTCTTACCCCCACTACAGTAGTACAGGATCATGTCAGTACTTACAAAATTACATGAGAACAATGAAGAAAATATTAATCAGACATAAAATATTACAAAACTCGCATTTATAGCTAGGTCACTGATTATTATTAACCAACTTTGCGTGATTGTGTGCTTAATAGAAAATAATTGTCCAAAAATGGGTGCCAAATTGATTTGTGAAAAGCTATATCATAAAAATGGCAAGACTTCAGCCTGTATCCCCCTCCAAGACATATACAAGTATGCATTGCCGCTCAATACTTTTAATCAAATATATTTTCGAGGGGGATACGGGTGAAAGCTGTACTGAACATTATCATAATTATGTTTCAAGGAAGAGATATAATAAATTAACTGAAACCATTTCATCAAACATTAGCACTTAGATCTTGCATTCAAATATCTAAGTTTCTGAGAAAAAAATATATTTACAAACATATGCTCACATAAACCACCCTAATGTTTGATTCATGTGTGCTAGAAATATCTGCTATTGATGTGATGCATATTTTCCAAAATCTAAATTCTATCTTCTGCATTATCTTTTCAAGCTGAATATTGACAATGAATCGATTTTGAAAATCGATAAATTTTCCGTAGCCTAGATTCGGGAATCAACGCCTTTTCGAAAACTAAGGGGTTGTTCTTTCACCCTTGAACGTCTCAGCGAGCATATGCATGACTCGTAGGCAAAACCAAAACCAGCATGCAACTGGAATCGAATGTCAACCAAGGTCACAAGCTCCTGTCTCAATGGCGCATGGCTTGTGACGGTGTCAAAAGAGTTATGATGGTGATTGATGCAAAGCTGTGACGTAGGTCACTTCCGTAGTTGTTCTACACGCTGATTTCGAGACTGAGAAGTAAACATTCTGACTGCAATGGAATCAGCATCACGTAAGAAATGCACATACATAGTTTTGAGCTTTGAAATGTTTCACAATCGCAGAACCGAGTGCACCTCTTCCACCATAAACCAACACGCGACCACCTTGCGCCGCCATCTTGATACAATGCCGACAGGTTTCCAAATCAAAATCGTTCTTATTTTTCACTATTATTATATTTTTGGGTCTAATAATAAGTATTTATGTCCCAGTTAGCAACTTGTTGCAAAAAGAAAGAAAAAATAAGAATCCCGTTCAGGCGAGTATTTGGCGTTATTTACCGTGACGTCATCATGGCCTCCGCTAGCTGAAAGTAGATTGGAATTCAGACATGAAAATCCTTTGAATTTGCGTAGATCGTTGAGTTTTCTTCATTTGTCCATTCGATATAGGTAGTTTATTTAGTATTGGTGATCTAGGATCGATTCTTCACCCTCCCACGTGTCTCTGTGGTTAGAATGTCCCGTCATGAAGGTGGGTATTTTTGATACAGACTTGTCCAAAATGGCTTCGTTCTATTTCTGCTCTATGTTGTGCGCATTTGGCATTGATTCAGTCATCAACGTTAATTCGTACTTTTTCACCTATTCAAATGATACTTTGTGTGTTTTGGTACTTTTTATGGAACTTTTGCTAAATTGCCTACGCATAGCTGTCCCGGAAGTTGAACCCATGTCTGGCACATGATTATTTTCGGAAGTAAAGAAATGCATTGGAAATCCCCATGAACAGAAGAATCTTTTTGTTCAGCGAATACATTGAATATGTTTAAATCACCATGAAGATCATAACATCGAAAGACGTTTGTAAGAAACGAGTTCACTCTTTTGATCCTGTAAATTGTAATGAATAATGTGTCGTATGGAGTATGCATGAATTTCCATATGATGCAACTGTATCACAGCAGTGCATGGTTTCCTGGTTACTTTGAAAGTATGGGATTTGGTTAATCTTGCATGTGCATGTTAATGAAATAATTCATTTATCACATTACTCATTTATGCATTGTAAGTGTCATGTTATGACTATGCAGTGATCTGGATATGCTGAGGATACCCATTTGCTTTTGTATTTATTACGCCCCCTTAGAATTGAACCTAAACATTATTAGGATCATAATATATTTCATTGATAGAAAATAACTTGGAAATACTGATATAACTTAGCTGTAAGTGTACTCGATAGAAAATTAATATATTAATGAATCAAGACAATCATGCCAATGCTAGAAACAAAATGTTGTGCAGGTTGCCCTTCAATAAACCTTTGACAACCAAAAACGTATATAATTACAAGCCCAAAAAGTAGGTTGTCATACAGATGAAATTCAGTAAGATCTGACATATATTTGGTCATGTGTTCTGTTACATAAGTCAATATTTTGTATCTGAACGGGTTCACCAGCAGTTTCAGATTGATGTGAATACCTGTACAGTATGTGTTCCATAACTGTTATAACTTATAATGAAGGATCAAATAATAATATTTCAGTAAAGAAAACTAAAAAAACAAGTCTTGTATGTGTTGTATATTATATTATGTCATTGCAAAACAAATGCTCATGACATTCCCTTCATGCAAATTCATTTGCTGTGTCTGTACTGATGAAATTCAAGAACAAGAAAATAACTTTGTTTGGATGGTTACTCATTGTAAACTATGATGTAAATGTCTGCCATTTCTACTTTGTCTTTCATCCGTATTCCTTTCAAAGTTAAGAAAAGTATTTTCACAGAATTTGAGTAAATAGATACATTATCACAATGTTTCATGCTCACAATTCATGGCATGGGATTAGGTTTATTCTCTGTTAACATCCATCCCCAAATATCACGTACCTGCTATTTTGGGAAAAAGAGTTAATTTGTGTCAACTTTTTAATATAATTATTTGTCTCAAAAGTGTTGCCATAACAACTTAATTTGACTGAAACCATATTACCATGGTCACCGTACTGTGTCTTAGTGTATGTCCTAAATCTTGGATTGTACTATTTGTAGGTTCAAGAATGACATAACTTAAACAAAAGGGTTTATAGTGAATCACTGGAGCATGAGTATTGATCCCAGTACATTTATGATTAGACTAACATCTTGTCTCTTAAAAGAAAATATTATACAGAAAATACAGCTGTTAAAATATGTAAATAAATTATACTATAAAGGAGCCCAGGTACTCTTCATTTTGAAACTGCGGTAATCTAGACTTGCTAACGATAATAGACTTGCATGGGCTGTTTTGAATATATCTGTTCCAGGGTCTGTATGACTCATAATTTATAATACAAGACATGGATTGCTCTTGACATGTTGATGTTTGTCAAATTTTCATAATTTATTTTGCATTTCCTATTTCATTTTCCTAGTAACAGTTGACCATGTTTGTTTTGTTATGCTTCAAAACAGGCTTATGGCATACAGCAATGTTATCCACTGGATCAGTGTTTGTAGGTATAATCAGTTGGAGCACATCTGCTGAAGCATGAAATCATGCCCTCAGGTCACAATAATGAGTGCATCATGATTTCACAAGTGACTGGTCATTGAAGTTCACTCATACACTGTTACAATAACTTACACTAGTGTTGTTATGTTCATAAACCTCTGGTCATGTAAAGTGAAAACATTGAACCACTGCATATTTATGACTATTGTTGAAAAGTTTAGAATGCATTGTAATTAATTGTGAAAACATTTGAAACATTGTAAGAGACTTGATCATGGTCAATGATGCTTGTATTTTGCTTCTAAATTATGAATCATTGAACATGTTGAATGGACATGAATTTTGCCTTTGTACGCCAACTGGACTCATGGACCCTTGAAGATCCGGGGTAGAATAGGTCTTCAGCAACCTATGCTTGCCGTAAAAGGCGACTATGTTTGTCGTAAGAGGCAACTTACGGGATCGGGTGGTCAGGATAGCTGACTTGGTTGATGCATGTATCGTATCCCGGAAAAGTTTTCATGAACGTACCCTCGTGCAAGAATGGCCACCGTGCATGAATTACAAAGTGGCCGACCCGTGAAGATTCCGGGGTAGAATAGGTCTTCAGCAACCCATACTTGCCGTAAAAGGCGACTATGCTTGTCGTAAAAGGCGACTAACGGGTTCTGGTGGTCAGGCTCGCTGACTTGGTTGATACATGTCATCGATCCAAATTGCATGGATCGATGCTCATGGTGTCAATCACTGGATTGTCTGGTCCAGACTCGATTATATTACAGACCGCCGTCATATAACTGGAATATTGCTGAGTGCGACGTTAAACAACAAACAAGCAAACAAAACAAAGTGGCCAAACACATATGCTACGATATGTTTGCTTTCATAAAACTTGAAAACTGTGACTTAATCATTCAAATGTAACTCTTAAACATCATGAAAGTCAGCAGTCTTATCAACTTCCAGTTACTCATAAACATTTTCTGGCTGCGTCACTTGGCAAACACGCCACCTTCTGTTTGAAATAAATGACGTAATTGTTGCTAATTGAACAAGAGGGTGAACCTTGAGCAATAGTCATTGTATAATGAACTGTCACTTCTAATTAACTGAAAAGTCCATATTGATAAGATTTCATTTGATACGGACAGAGACCCAGCCTCTGATATGGTACACACTTCAGATGGAAATAAGATGGCGAAATTGACGAAAGCACTAGAATGTAAATAATATAGATTTGGCCAACAAACTGAAATACAATTTACAACAGTCCAAATTCATGTCATCACTCTAAATATATTGAATTATGATTTAAACACAGTGTCGAAATTTGATAACTGCAGCAGATTGTTGTCTCCTGCATGCCAACGAAATGAACAGCTGATGGTGGGAAACATTCCTCCTCAACAACCTATAATTGTCCTTGCGAATAATTCCCCATCAAGTCGACAATATATTAGTGTATTTTCTCCTAAAGTAAACATGAACAGAAATGTAAGTCGAATGTAATTTTGTTTTCATACTTATGCTAATTTTTTTAAAGACATGTATTCGCTGTGGAATAATTAATGTTCGAAAATAGGATATCAAAGGATATATCTATATAATCTGGTAATACTACTTGCAACACTATTTTTGTCACTATTACCAAAAATTAAATACAGTTTCCCCACTGTGTGAAGATGAAATATCTCTGAAAATTAGCAAAATCTCATCACACGCCAAGAGATCTCATGGCTTTGGGACCGGAGGAGATTTTATTCTCATAGGTAAAAATTTCCAGGATAATCCCTGACAATATTTGTACACACACACACAAACATATATGTACATGATGGGATATGGCTGTATTCAGGATTTGTCCTTTATATTAAACAGAATGATTGTAATTGTGAAAGAAGTTATTGTGTGTTCAGCTTTTCTTACACCACCTTTTGAAGGGATTGGTGTTAAGCAGACTATGCTATTATTGTGAAGTTGAAAGATTATGTGGGCCTAATGAATATCTTTATACAGAAGACATTAATCAGTCATTTCATACATTGAGTCTAAATGCATTTTTTATAAAAATGTTGGCGTCTTGCCAGAAACTACTAACTCAATATAAATGCAAACTCGTTATCATCCTGTCTTGCAGTTAATGTTTTTCCAACTTAGTCTTTATTCATGTAATTATTTACAATAATTTCTAACATTAAAGTGTCAAATTATATGTTCATGTCAATTTACTATTAAAGAGCTTAAATACAATGCAAGAGCTATAGAAGAGAAAATAACTAATCTAGCATGTTTTGCACATCAAGGGAAATTGTAAACCTTTCGTGTTGTGACTGGTTAAAGACTTCTTTTGGATTATACATTTCTTAATGTCTTCTCCCTCCACTTCTTAATGTCTTCTCCCTGGATAGACCCGTGAAGATCCGGGGTAGAATAGGTCTTCAGCAACCCATGCTTGCCGTAAAAGGCGACTATGCTTGTCGTAAGAGGTGACTAATGGGATCGGGTGGTCATGCTCTCTGATTGGTTGATGGATGTCATCGTATTCCAATTGCGTGGATCGATGCTCATGATCTCAATCACAGGATTGTCTGGTCCAGATTCGATTATTATTACCGCCTTCATATAGCTGGAATATTTCTGAGTGCGGCGTTAAACAACAAACCAACCAACCCTGGATCAGAATAGGTGTCCATAACCCCATGCTTGTGAGGGCAAATTAGTGATTTTTTGGCTGGGTCTGAGTGACCTAGCTGATGGGCATGGATCATTACTTATGCTGTCAACCACAGATATACCTGTACCAGTCTTGATTATTTACAGGTCGGCGGGATGTTGCTGGAATATTGCAGACTGCTGCATAATAATTATGTTTGCTCCCTTTTGCCTTGTACCTTTCCTGGTGCACTCTGAGCTGCCTCAGTTGATGAGGATGATAACTTGAAAGGAGCAACTAGAATCAGTATATCATTGTTTGCTGTTGATGTGGTATAAGACTGCTGAAGAGCTAATGACCCATTTTACTAATATCTGTGAAGTATATCACTCTGCACTAAGAGTGAAACGATACATCGGTGCACCGGTGCATTGTAAGTTTTCATGCGACGATACGATACATGACACCATGGCCTCAATGTTGTGCGCCTCAACTCTTACCTTGGTCATCATGATAGCCAATATATAGAATTGCATGCAGTTACTGTATCGATACAAGACAATACACTTACTAAAATAAACGACCTACTACTCGTTTAATGACCCCAGTGTGTTTGCTTGTCAGTCAATTATCTAAAAATGTTTTGTAATTAACGTTTCAAGTTCATTACCAAAAATAGCTGCTACGAACAGGTGTCCAAAGCTAGCTGTTCCTTTTGAATCTGCTCTGAAATAGTAATAATCAAGAAGTTTGCATGCGATTTGAAGTAAATATGCATATCGCGATACATATCGTATCATCATGATCATGATCATGACCTTGCTGTATCGTTTCACCCTTCCTCTGCACCTAATTTGATTGGTTACATTGTTTGGAAATGAAGCTTGGTCAATTATACATTGTGACGTTTCCATTCCGTTACTATAGAGATCCTGGTTCCAATCACTTCCATAGCTTCGTTTGAGAAGTGATGTTGCCATCTAAATCTCTCGAATCCCTAACTTTGAATGTCTCGTTCATGAGTCATTTGATAGGACAGCATCATGTCGCTTGAACTGTACTCAGATGAAACTATGATGCAAATAGATCAAGGTAACTGAATTGAGGTGTGATAAACTTGATATTTGAGGATGTCCTTTCCTTTACTTCTGACAATGAGCTAATGCACTATTCAATTTGAATTATTTTCAGGTGTGAGTTGTGACTCTTGCTTAAAAGGAAATTTTCGGGGCAAGAGATACAAGTGTTTGATCTGCTATGACTATGACCTGTGTTCAACATGCTACGAGGCGGGGGCCACTACGACCAGACACACCACTGAACACCCAATGCAGTGCATCTTGACGCGGACAGACTTTGGTAAATATTTGCTGTCAAAATGTCCTGAAATTAACTTTATTTCTGCATCAGACTGATTCACTACTTTTAGTATGATATGTGCTTTGCTATTCTCACTAAAGAATGGCAAATTGTTCAGTTTTGTCATTTTGATATGTAGTGGTAAATACAATCCAAAGCAGTTTCTTAAGACACACATCTTTTTTGTGTGTGCAGATAACAGGGTTTGAAATTAGCTGCTGCGATTCTGCGATATTCTTGCATATTTATCATGGATATCACATCAACATTCATTCAGTGCGATTGAATTTCACATAGATTTCTACATCTAACTGTTACACTTTCATTTTCAATAGTTTCATTTGCATTGACACTCTCATTTTCTCCGACAGAAATCGTAAATGTTGTCTTGCTTGAATAAGATTATCTACCATACTGAAAAATGTCAATAAAAACTTACACAATAGTTTATTAATATGTCAAAAGCTGTGTATCGAAATAGCGAGTTGCATACTTGCAACACGATCTCTCTTGCGATCTCTCTGTATGCTTTACCGATTCCTATAAATATGCATGCTTTGCATCGCTTAATAATGACGGAGTGCACAACATTGTTTGATCCATCATTGGCAAAAAGAGTGTTCGTTTTTAAACATAATCACTTGGGTAGTGAAAAAGCGAGAAAAAAAATCATTGGTAAAGTTTCAGAACGCAGACAAATATCTATATGTAATCTGGTAACATTAATTACATATAATTTGTAATTTGAGTCAAATAATTGAAAATCAAATTTCCACTGTTTGAAGACGAAGTATCTATGATAATGAGCAAAATCTCACCACGCTCCAGGGGAAAATTTGTCTCTCAGTTAAAAATTTCCAGGATAATCCTTAACTGTTGTCTGTAAGTCCACGGCCAAGTGATCCAGACAGGACATTATAACATGAAGAGATCCTGTGGATGAGCAGTTCAACTCATTTCCTATCCAGCCTGCTATCACTTGAAGTCTTATCCTCTTGTGATTTTATGGTTTTTTATCACAAACAAGCCTACAGTGGAACATACAGTGGAAATTAATCATGATTCACCTGTCTCTTGTGCATGAGGTAACACAGAATAAATGCAGATCTGCATGGAAAGCTACAAAACTGCATGATACCTAGATGTCAGCTGGATGTCCATTGGGAATGACCAACCCGCAGATGTTATGTTGCTGATTGAGTGAGACAGTGTCATTATACCCTGGTGGCCTTGAGCCTTGCTTACTCGATCAACCACTTGTTTGTCAGCTTGAGATTTGATGACTTCACTGATCATGCTGATAGGTTTCATGATTGGTTTCTTCACACTCTCACTTGAAACTACATCCTGCCCCTTTGAGTTTGTTTGTTTCTTGTTTAACGCCACACTCAGCAATATTCCAGCTATATGATGCCAGTCTGTAATTAGTTGAGTCTGGACCAGACTGTCCAGTGATTGACATCATGAACATCGAACCACTCAAATGCGATACAATGACATGCATCTACCAAGTCAGCTCGCCTGTTACAGCAAACATGAGTTGCTGAAGACCTATTCTACTCTGCATCTTCACGGGTCTGCCACTTTGAGCTTTAGTTTGCACCTTATATTGCTGTGTTTCTTGGCAAGATAATTGAACATCTAGCTTAATATACCAAAGTGTTGGCCAGTAAAACAAAACAAGCTGTTTTTCTACTAATGTTTTATTATTGTACTTTCCATGTAGAATTGTAGATTATTATCAGTATGTTTTGAATATCTTGTGACATCTGTTTGGTATATTACCTTGGCTTGACAAGCTATCATGATGGGTTTGTTGCAGACCTATACTATGGAGGAGAGGCCCTCACCACTGAACAACCTCAGTCTTTCACATGCCCCTATTGTGGGAAAATGGGATTCCCGGAGGCCACACTACATGATCATGTCACTTCAGAACATGCTGATGCCTCAGTAGAAGTGGTAAGTTGGCCTGTCACTACTGGTTGCACCGTAGGGCTTGATTTAAGGAACTTCATTTAACCTGCACCAGTTGCAAGTTGATATGAAAAGCTAGTTGCACCTGACTAAGCCAGGTTGCACCTGGTCCCATAAATTTAATCATATGCATAAACTTGTCTAAATAAGAAAAATTACACATCTCAGATGACTCTGTCATGTGTCATCAAACTGACACAACGCAGGGATTAGTGATATAGTATGGTAAAAAGAACTTAGAGACATTGAGTGTGTTCAAAGGTTCATGTTGTGTGGGCAAGTATGGGTTAGACACAAATTTGCATTTTGGGGACATGCACTAAGTGCATGTGGACATAAATATAAGGTTGCATTTTTCAGTAATAGGTTGCACTGGTGCATGTTTTATATAGCTTTATCGAGCCCTGACTGTTGATCATATCTAGACTGTCATGAACAAAATATGACCATCGAGTATTCAGCAGTGTTTAACATTAACAGCTGATTAATGGGGCTTTGGTCCTATGATATCTGAATCTAAAATTAGAAACCAACTAAATATGTAACCTTTAAAATTAGGCTGGTAACAAGGACTGCTTGATTTTCATGCTTCTTTTGAAGGGGCTAGTAGAATTTCAAACATTTTAGGGGGTATTGCTATATGTTATCACCTTTTAGGCGAGTAGGCTGTCTTGGTTAATTTCTGTCACTGAAATACCTATTCATAATGACATATGAAATAATCAGTATTATGTGTATCAACTGGTTGAAATTCTAAGCAATTGTGGTGACAAGGACCCCTCGGCCTTCATGCTGAGTTTGACCAGTGCATGATGGGAATAATGTATTGTTGTTGTGCAGGTGTGCCCGGTGTGTGCGGCCCTCCCTGGAGGGGACCCTAACCATGTCACCGATGACTTCGCCTCCCATCTCACCCTGGAACACAGGACACCCAGAGATTTCATATCCTTTTAGCAAACAAAACGTGTAATGGTTACGAAGAACAATGCTCAATCAAGCAGGAAGTCTCATAAACTGAAGTCTTTAAGAAAAGAATCAGATTTTGTTTCTGCAACATTTCCTGAAGTTGTTAATCGAATGTATGTATATGTATACATATATATTACTATATAAAGGTTATTAAAAACATTTTAATGTTGAACTTCCTTAACTGTGGTTACGATGAACCTGCAGGCATGCGTCATGTGCGACGTATTCCTCACCCAGGTAGAGGAGTGAGTGGCTCGCGCACACGGCGAGCTAATATGCATTTTGCATCTACTGGTACGGCACTCACAGGGCTTTCACCAAGTGGCAGAGAAACTATGGATCCAATTGCAGGTAATAGCAACAATATGGAACAAAATACTTACCAATGAGTGAAAATGACTCAATGTTTTTACTTAAAGTTGACGCACTTCTCTTCATCATGTTCATGCTTTTTCTAGAAGTTTTCTTTATACTCTTGTATAGAACATGAACATGAAGTTGGACAGGTAGTGTTGTGGATCAGTCTTGGGTAGAAACATACCAGTGTCAGGGTTTTACCTTAATAAAAAAGTAGGGGTTCAGGAGACCCCAAATAATTAATTGTGAGGTTCCATTATTTATAGCCTGGAATGAATCAATGATCATGTGGACAGTGGTCATGATTGATGGATGAAATAACAGTCACCTGTAACGGCTCTTAATGAATATTATTGTGCGTCCCAAGGGATGCAGTATATATTTTTTGTGTCAATTATCTACATTTGTGCGTCGGGTAAAATCCTGCATGAGTTTTCATGCGACGATACGATATGTTTTATTCTGTATCAATACAAGACGTTGCACTTACTAAAATAAATTACTTACAGTCATAGCACTACGATAATCATAGCAATCATATCACTACGATAATCGTAACTCTAGCTTGATTGATCACTAACTGCCGGATTTGATTTACAGAGCTGCTGTCCCAGCTCTCCAGTGTTCGAAGTCGTGCAGCAGCTGCGCAGTCGGTGTCGTCCCAGTTGCAGCAGCTGGAGATGCAGTTACAATCAACTAGGTGAGAGTCTCTTCCCCCCCCATCACACAACACTGCAAACAAAGAAGCCAGCTAACAGTTTGTGAAGATGTTTATGTTTCACTTGGTAGAGCCGCAGTTTCCAAATCTGAAGTTTAGTTTTCAGGATTTGAACCAAATATTTAACTTCAGTATTAAAAGCTGTACGAGAGCTACGGATTTACAGACTATTTTATTTAAGAATCTAATTATTTTATTAGAAACAGGAGAAAAAATTGATAAAATAAATAAAATAAAAATAAAAATAATATTGTTTTTAAGAATGTTATGATTTTATTGGAAAGAGAAAGCCTTACAACATATTGGTATGTGTCGCCACTAACTTGATAACTTAAGATTAGTAGTTACAATTTCTGAACAAATTAGAAAACGGTCTGATATTATTTATTAGATATCTATTAATGGGATAACCATGATTGGAATGCCATGCAATGAACATATTTACTCCGTTTTGGATCAGTTTTGAAGTCATTAAAACCAGTCTTGTGATTTGTTTAAATCCATCAAGGCCTCAGAGTGTTTGAATGTAGATTTATGCTGAACTTTTGTTCAGAAGAGGCATTTTGTTTGGTTGTTGATTTCAAGTTAATAAGCGAGGGAAAGTCTGTGCCTTGTTAGTGACATTGTTAGAGAGATGGAACTGGTGATGTCACATTCGGAACAAAGCTTGTGGCAAATGGTTACATGGTAGTGATAATGGAATGGAAATACCCTGGGTGATTGGGGTGATGACTTATCTCTAGATACAAGTCCTTGGTCTAATGAACAGGATCATGCTCTTTCTTGGGAACTGTTCTCTGTAGTAAATTACAAGGCATGCTTTGATACAAAATATCACTTTGTTATACAGCCTAAATGTTCGCGCCCCAAAACAAATTATTTTGGTCTTCAATGCACATGATAAGAGGGTTCCTGTACCTATGCACACTGTCTTTTGGAATCATGAGTGTGATTAGCTCAACTGTCCCCATGAGCTGTAATGTCCTTGTATCAGTAAACTAGTCATGGACTTGGCATGTTTGAAACCTCTTGAGAAACTGAACAACACACATGGCAAATATTTCAATATCAAGCAGATTCCAAATTGAGTATGGGATTGAAGATGGATCCACACATCACTTGCTATTTGTGCATGTGCATCTGCATCTATGCAGCTTCAGTGTATTGAAATCCTCTGATTTTTCAATAAGGGTGTCATAAATCCAATGTATCTTACATTTCTCTCTGTTATGCTTGTTATCCCAGTTTGACCACTGTGCTTTTTCCACGTTGATCTAGTGATCACAGATTGATTCTGGAAAAAGAAGCTAAAAAGAAGTGTCACCTGAAATTTATTTCACCAAAAGTGATTTCCTAAAAACTTCGCTTTTTAATGGGATTTTTATAGACCTGCTCTGTGCTCAGAGGCCGATATTCAGCCCCATGTTTGCAGCAAATGTCATAAAAAAATTCCCATATTGGAATTAAAATTTCTCATTTCATGTTAATATATAAGTAATAACTAATTTTTATATAAGTAATATTATAACTAATTTTATGGTTTTGTAGAGGGAACTCATATTTCACTGATAACAGGAGGACCAATAAACAATGATAAACATGATAAGTAGGGAGAGGTTTTAATGCATAGTTTTATATTATTGTGTTGAATGCTATGTCAAAATACAATGGTTAAATTAGTCTGAATTGTAGAACATAAAAAAAATATTGTGAAAAAAATAACCCTTTTTCTTTCCTAATTTACATGCCAGGGGCACTTGAGATTGAATTCTAAGTAAATTCCTGTTTTAAATTTCAATCGTTGAATACAGGAAAAGAACAAAACATATGTTCGGCAAAATAAAATTGCTGGTGACCTTTGTTTGCACTGTTGTGTGTATCCATGACCCCAGTTATCTCCCCTACAGCTCCCCTCTCACACTGGGAAGGTCCATACTGACATTGTACCAAAGTTTGTTTGATGATAACATGGTCAATAACTGTACTTATATTCTTAGTCCAATGCACCCCAGCAGTTACAGCTTGAGGTGACTGAGGGTACCCATCCATCAACTGGTTACACTGGTGTTTGCAGGTCCATTTTGTTCATATCTTGGTGTGGTTGATTTTCATTTCTTATGCTGTTCCAGTTTGTTTTGTTGTAAGTATTTGCTGGTTAAAATAGCTTCATGAGAACTGTATGGAAAGGTAGAATGCAAACCATTTCATTTGTTTTGAATATTTTAGTCTGAAAGTAAATAGTTATTGTAATTGTATGTGCCACTACACTTATGACTTTTGTTTTCCCGAATTTCATCCCTGACCATCCTTTCCTTCTTTGCCACTTTTCTCATTACAATTTCCCTGTATTTTTTCACTTAGTTTTTTTTGTAAAAGTGCTTCGTTGTTTGTAATAGAAAGATAGTTCTATATTTACTTATTCCTACTTCTAGCCATCTGTTATCATTTGTTTCCAACTCCTGCTTGTAGGAACACACAAGACACAAGTTACTTTGGAATTTCTGTAATGTTCCAAATTGATTTTTTCAGAAACAGTCAACAGATATCCTCATGGTGTTACAACAGGTAAATAGTTCCATCACTGCTCCTCCTCTCCTCCTCAGTCGGTCATTAACATCTCTACACTTGTTTCCACAGGAGTCCTAGTGCCTGGAGCCGAGTCTACCAGACCATCTTTAACTGGTTTCTGGTGCATGAGTCACGGATTACAGTCAATCTGTTACACTAACTAGTATACAACAGAGTTGACAATTTGGTCACTGAAGTTTTTTTGATAACCCTTTAGCTACAAACATTTGCAGCCTTAGGTTTTTGAAGGGAGATAGTTATGTCCTTTCCTGTAAGCTAGTAGATGATGATCACTGACCAGTTCATCGGTTGACATCTACCGGACGACATAATGCAGGATTTGTTCAAAGTTAAGGGGTTGTTCATAGTGGGTTGATGTGATCTGCCGATCAGTTCATACTTGATTTCATCGAAATTAATGTAAACAAAATTGAGTGAAATCTTGTATAAAAGTAATATATAGGATTAAAAACGAAGTCTAGATACAAATGAACTCTTTTATAGCCAGATAATATAATAATAGGACTAACTGGTGTACTTCAGTACGGATTTGTTGACATGCTTCTGGTGTTGCATGCTCATGATCACGTCTTTGTGCTGTGAAATAAGATCAAAGCTCATTGTATGCATGTATTATGCACACACTGGTAGTCCAACGATAGTTACATACTGTATTCCAGTATTTTACTCATCAAGGAATACATTTATGTAGGGAGGCCCTTTCCCAGCTTGATTGCAGATAACTGTTTATTTGGTTACATACTTGTTTGAACACCCCCTCCCGCGCCTGCCTGCACTATATTTTCAAAAGACATTGCCTGAGAACCAATTTTAGATAAAGCATCAGACCTGAATGAATCCAGGACCCCCTTAATTTTGAACACTTGTTAGTGACTTGATTTTGACTCAACATACTACTTAGCACACATAATGGACAGTGAAAAACAATTAAAGAGGGTGTGACTCATTATCCAGAAACTCCCATTCTGCGTTTGTGTGCGTGAGACATCTAATGTTTGGTCCTTGTTTCAGACAACAACTGGAGAGGTTGCCCCGCCGACAGGCTGAGGCAGCTAAGGTGGCGCTGCCATCTAATGCACAGAACAGTAATGCTGACCAAGGAGGCAGCAGTGGAGGGAGCAGCCAGTCCAATTCTCTCTATCTTCTTGTCAAGTGAGTTCAATGTCAACTCACGGACTGCCCAAACCCTGTTTGGCATTAGATGACCAAAGGCCATTGGAGAAAATGAAGTGCGTGTGGTTCTTTTATTGGTGACTTTAGTGTTGAAAATTGGTTGAAATTTTAATATTGATCATTTGTTTAAGCAGTTGATGAACTATTAATGATTGATCACGATTGAGAATGAAAACATTAGTTTGACTGTGGTTTTGTGAACCCTAAGCCATACATCAGTGCTCCCTCTGTCTGCAGTGCCTTGTGAACAGCATACTGAGAGACATATGCATTGATGCTAATTATTTTGCCATTGAAAACAAATGTCCTTGGTAATGTACAACCAGTATTTAGCATCTTCCTCCATGTGACGCTGTTTGAGGGTTTCAAGTTTCAGATTGGTCTATAGTTTAGGCCACTAAGTTATTTTTAAAATGTCTTAAAAAGTAGAAGAAAATGGATTATGAAGAAAGATGTTGTGTCAGTATCATGGAAATGTTCTTAACCCTCTGGATGCCAAGTTAATTTTCTGACATATTTCTATATGTTCGGAAATGTGATTGTTGTGTGACAGTTACAGTCGCATGGCTCTGGGCCTACCTATAACTTTAAAATTACACAGGGTTGTAGAATATTATTTTTAGTAAATAACACTAATTGGTTATTTCGTAAAGTGTTGAAATTGGCGAAATTTTAATGGACATAATTTTCATAGGTCTTTTTCAGTCACTTAGCTATGCCAGATATCACAATGGATGATATCACAGAACAGAGAATTTCCAGCAGAATTCAGAGCTATGAAGTGTATTGTGTGCATGATGTATTTTGAGTTTTATTCAACTTGAAGGTGAGGATTGAAGAGCAAGGACACAAATGTACCTGTGGCATCCAGGGGTGTAAGTCATTTGCCTCATGCAAGATCACTGAGTTCATTGAAAATAGCGTTTTTAAAGTACAAGTAACTTGAGGTTATTTTGGGACCAAGGTGACACTATTATGTATTTTCTGTTCAAGGATTCCACTGACAGGAGGGAATATCAACAATCAGGAAAGAATATATAGGCTCTGATCATTTGTGTCATGCAGGGATTTATCTAGACCAGCTCAGAGGCCAATATTTGTCCCCGAGTGTAGCAAATGACAGTAAAATTCCCATTTTAATTGAAAATTCCACAGAATTTACAAAAGAAAATATACTAATGAAAATAATCAAAGTTGAACAATAAGATGATTTTGCCCCATTTCGCTTGCCAAGAGTATCTTAGATAAATCCCTGGTCATGTGTAGTAACATCATGTCCTGATACAACAGCTTAAGTTGCAAGAACCTTGACACTGGCATGTGTGAACCTGTTTTAACCAATGTGTGCTCATTAAACACAAGCGTGTTTAGCAGTAAATGTCTTTGCATGTATCATATAGTTGTCATGCATCAAACATGATATTCTTGCTTTCTACAGATGTAGTGACGAGCTGTCCGAGTCCGAGCAGAAAGCTGAGATGGAGCGCAGTGACCGTAGTATGTTTGTACAAGAGTTGTTGCTGTCGACACTTACAGACCAGATACAGGTCCAGGGGGACAGCGATGACCCCTCTGCGCTTCTAGAAGCTCTCAAATCTCCCTCATCTGAAGAAGTACAGGGCGAGTCCAAGGCATGTGATGATAAGAAGCCCTCTGGCCCCACACAGAGTAAACCTGTAATTCCCTGTGTGGCCCCTACAACTACAAAGCCAGCGGAAAGCCGGCAGACGAGTTCAGCAGCCCCTTCCTCAAGCCAAAGGTCAAGCGGAAGTGGCTCTGGAGCTGCAGCCAGCAGCCGGCAACACGTCGGGGGGACATCCAGCCAGGGGGGAGGTGGAGGGGGGACCCGGCAAGTGTATAATTCCTTGTCCAACCCTACCGCTGTATCTCCTAGTGTTTCCAGTAGTAGCTCCGCCAGTGGTAGTTCCATGCTACAGATACCTGCCCGGGCCTCGGGGCACCCGCGGGACCCCAGGATAAACCCTGCAGCAGCTAAACGAAATCTGCTCAAACACATGCCTCCCCCTCGAGCCTCGGACACAGAACCTCCTCATTAATAATTACCCCTCTTCTGGACTGTGACACTAATATATACAAAGAAACCAGATGGGAATAACAAGAGACCTATTCCAATGTTGGATGACTACTATATTATTTATTGCTTTGATACAAGCAGAGTTGCTTGCTATTGTGCACTTTGGACACATACAATAGAGCAGTGTAATCGTTTGTCGTGTTCAGAATTTGTGATGTGACCTGGTTCAGGCCGGGCTCATGATGATGCCTTTAGTACATTGAAGTACCGTATCAAGTTCATTACAAATTTGGGGTGTGCCAATTACTGTGAGTTGGCACCGTATTGCATATTTTCATCATTTTTTTTTTTCAAGACTAAAGACCTGTGATATGTAATATCTTGATCTTTGAATATCCTACCAAAATAAAGTTGGATTCTAAAGTAGATGTACTGTAGTGATTGTGACCTCCATTGTACAAACTTGTATCTCACAGAACCATCCAAAGGTTTGAAAATAACGCATTGTTATTGGAGTTAGTCTATGCGGTCTCGTCACCTCACCCGTGTAAACTTGGTAGCCTCACTGAAAAGGCCCTTACAGCATCCCTCTCTGTCAACAGGTCATTAGGTGCTGACGTCAGTCACATCATGGTTTATCATTGACTTCATACTGCACAATGCAAACGGACACACATTTGCTTGGGCGTGTTATGTTAACAGCAAGTTTCCAGAAAGCATAGTTACTATCCCTATGGTTGACAATATTATGAAAGGCCGGTAAATTGTGTTGAGTTATGATAGTGACTGATATGTTTGTACAGTCTGTAAGATAGAGAAGATTCATTAAGTTTTCTTGTTTGTTTCCCCATCTTCGTATAAGTACCACTGGTTAGCTCAGGGAGTGACCCCCTCTCAACACCGGTAATGTTGACACTGCTACCTACAGTTTCCAGTCTGCACCAATTGTAATCCATATGTATGCACAATCATCTTGTCACAGTGACCATTCCCTTTTCTCAGTTGAGTCTGATTGACATTGTGGAATGTCTTGATGCAGGACATCTTCCCATATAACCATCGTCAGCTAGCTTGTGTATGAGCTGTACAGTAAACTTGCCATTTCTTCAGTCATGCACTCCTGGATATTGCTTAGGGATAGTTGGTACATTATCCATTGACTACTTAGATTGACGTCCTGATGTTGGGTAATATTACTGTGGCGCTAAAACATATGGGGAAAAAACGATTTCGTTTGACATTACGTCTCTGGTTATACGGTTAGTCGTCTATTTGTGTCTTTCATGTAATCGAACAAATATATTGATCAATCTGAACCTGTTAACATTATATATTGAAGTATTACTAATGGCCAAAACTGCTTACATGTATGTGATATTTGTTCGATTATTTATCAAGCGTGCAGTACTGTGTGACGGTACTTCATATGCTTTCCACATTTGCTGTGTTTTGTTCACACAAGTAGAAGTGACCACTTATCCCTTTTTGATTTCATTCACTCCTCTATTTTGATAAAGGATATTTTCGTACATGGGAAGTTTTGTAATTATGGAGAACAAGAAACCCAATGACTTCAGTAGATCCTAGTGTTACTAACATTTGCCAATGTTAAACATCTGTTTGGCTCACCAAGGTACTGACGGGTTGATGGTCATGATGATTATTGTCTCTTTGTATTGATATGCTATACATGGCATTGTTGTGCAGGTCATATGAACAGTGACTGCATGTATCTGTTTTGTCATTGGTATCTTATAATCAAAGAGGTGCTTCTATTAAAGTTGTTTTTAAACTGGGATAACATACAAAAGAATGCTTTGAATTAAATTGCTTGTAACTACAGGGGCAGTTGGCTGAGATTGTGATAAACCACAAGGTTAATGTAGATTACAGAGCTAGTAGTATGATAGAATGATTGTTATCTGATGCTGTTGTATCAACAGGCTTGCTAGTTTCCGCTGTATAATTGAGGATGACTTTCGCCCCTGTAGAGAGTGACTGACAGTGATGCAGGTGTATGTACTGGCTGTGGTTGGGGTTGGGGTTGCACAGTATGTGTGTGTGCATGTTGGGCGTCAGGTTCCCTTTGCAACACATTTTTTAGGATATTTCTTGCACAAATCAGGAATAATGTTCAGTTAGTGCAGTAGCCCTCAAAACAGTTCTGATTGTGGAGTACCCCTCAAAGCTGAGGTGTTAGGGTGATCTGGACCCCTCAAAACAGGTGTTCAGATGATACGTTTGTACAGAGTCAGGAGTGGCGATGCCTTTCCCTGGTGACAGTTCCGGAGGCATCATGCCCAGACAACATGAAGGGACAGACACGTTATGATCTTAACAGATGTTAGGATGGTCTCCTGCCTCTAGCAACAGTGATGATTAGGTAATGTTACGAGAAGCAGGTGCAAATTATATCCTCCTCTCTGCACAAGTGATGGGCAGGGGTTGTAGCTGTCTCAGCCATGGTCACAGATGTGAAGCCTAAGCAACAGCAATGTTGATGTGATGCTCTTTCTCTGTCACCAGTGATGTTCTGGTGGCTCTTTGCTATAAGCAACAGTGAGATGTAGATACTAGTTTCCTAGCGATTGTGATGTTCAGGTGATGTGTCCTGAACTACGAGAGGCAGATTCCATTCCTGTGTAGGTGATCTTTGTCCTTGTAGAGTTCATGGGTTTAATGTGATGCTGTAAGGTCTTGTTCAGAGCTAGGCTGTTTGATGTGCCATGCTTCTAGCTGTCAGGGTGAAAGGGCTGGCCTCCAGTGGATTTCAATTAATTAAGACAAGGATTGAAAGTGCTTTATTTCACAAATTATTTACTGTACAATATTCTGAAGTCTGTGAGAGGATGTGCTAGTGCACAGTGTAATTTCTACTGTTAAGTATTTATACTTATTATTTTTGTTGTAAATTTCCAGTGATATTTGTACATAGTGGAAGGCCAGCAGTGGGGCCTTCATGGAGTCGAGGGGAGGCAGTAACAGACAAGTCCTGGCTTACTTGGCTCTTTGTAAATGTAACTGCAGACTTCAACATTATTGTTTGTACAAAGGTCTGTTCTAAACAGAATGAAAGGCTGCGTGTTTGTACCTATGTTCAGGATGGAATAAAATCATAAAGAGATATAAATCTGCTGCTTATGTTGTCTCTGAATGCATGGTTCTAGTATGCTGGGAGAGTGGGTAGCTTGCCACACCCCCAGTATTCTTCCTCAGTGTATTAATTTACAATAGGAAAGAGAGAAGACTTTGGGAAATTTACAAAGATTTCAGTTTACACTTGTTTTTGGGTAAAAAGTGATTGGAAATGATTTTGGGCAGACTGTTCCTACAGACTACCATATTTCTTTTGATATCACTTGAAATAAAGCACTATTGATCACGAGAAGGATCTGATGGAAACTGTAGGTGTATATATGCTCTTCTAAATTATAGTGTTGCAGATAAGAACATATTTTGGTAGTTTAGGAGGGAACATACTGTTGAGCGTTATTCACTCAAAATTTCTATCAGTAAATTTTCATTTAATCGCCATGTCTGTTTTATTGACAATACTATATATGTCACTTTTTTCCTGTTTTGAAATCTCATTCAAATAAGTCAATGTTGTTGAGCTGTTTCGTGATACTCCTGGAGTTATCTCCCTTTCCATTAGTAAACTGCAATTTGTTGTTGGAGAAACACAAGATAAGAAATAGATGTAAAATATTTTTTATTCATAAATTAATAACAAAATATTGCATTCATGGGTTAAAATGGGATTCTCAAGGCACAATTCTGCAAACGTTTCCCAATTCCACTGCAAACATGAATCAGAAAAATCTTCCCCAGGACACTCCCAATATTATACAAAAAGTACTTGTGATGACTACGAACACTACATCGCTCCAAGATGGATGACTTGTTCTCCACTTGGCTGGCAGTCTACTGCTAATGAAATCCTTCCTATGCTTCAAGGCTGATGCCAATTTCAAGCCCACGTGTAGACATACTTTGGGTGAAACAGAAACATTGTCTGTGTAAGGTTAATTCATTTCTAGATTGGTACTGGTGAAGTTAGAGCTGTTATTTGGCCTAGGTAGTGGTTTCTTTTGGGAATTCTCTCAATTTCGAAGTTATCAAACAGATAAATCGAAAATACTCAAGGTTCTCCAAATTATTACATTGTGAAGGCGATGCCTTTTGGAGGGGCACCTTAGCCTACTATCAGTGAAACAACTGACTGAAATATTCAGATACTTGGTAACTTTACAATATATACTGATGGAAACGAATAAGGGAACAATGAAAAATACAGTATAGGGAAATATGCTTTACTGTCAGTACATTTCAAAAAGTGTGCATACAAATTCAACACAAAGAATAAAATGTTGAGATGTGTTTGTGTGCGTTGTTTCCAATACGTATTTGGTAGACATGGGAACCCATGATAGCTAGATGTTCCCTTATTCATTTTCATCCATATATGCTGATAATGAATGTGCTTCATTTGTAAGACCAGATCACAAGCTATCTTCATATAGGTTTCTCACTAAATCTTAGGGCAGATAATTTGAGATCGCAAGAACCATGGGAATGGATGCAGGGTTTAGTATAGGTATACTGAAATGAAAGCCCTTGAGACAGGATTGATGGAGACATTTATACACACATCCTCAAGCTATCTGGGAAGACTGGCACAACATGAAGGGTTCAACATTAACACCACTGTGATCCTTGTTTGTTGATACTCTTTATGATGTGGGGTAGATCCACTAGTAATCTCTCCAGACTGTAAATCTTATATTACAACATTGTGCGATACATCTACCTATAATTACTGGCAGATTAGTGACCGCCTAACACTTCTGTAATCATCAGTAATGTGTGTCTAACAGGAGGTTATGGTTTCATTGAACAATGCGGGTTGGTGGGTCGGTGAGCTGCGTTTAGATGGGCTTGAACAGGATTTCATAGACGTATATGACAAGAAGAACAAGCACAGTCAGGTGCTGACAAACCAAGGGTAAAGACAATCTTGTACCAACAATCAGCAGATCCTAACATCAGCAAGGGAAGCAACTCTACACAGTGAACTCAAGACAATTAGACCAGTGGGAGGCCTGACCCAGAACAGGACAGCACAGGGCTGTCGATGTTGGAAACAGACTCAGCCACCTCGGACACCAATCAGTCACAACCTGGCATGAAAGAATATTACCTTTGTGTTAAGACAAAACAAATGCTGCAACCTTCACCAAATACCCAAAAGTTGTTAATCCCTGTGCTATTATTTTTCTATTACTACCTTGTTAGACACAGACATCAGGCCAATTACATGTCCAGAAATGGGTACCCCACCTCGGGGCTGTACATCGTCAACACATTAATGGTAAAATGTATCTTTCAACATTATTAAAAACTCACTGGAACTCATAAATTGGATAAATATGGCAACACCTGATAAATAAATCATATGGTCTTATGACATGAAAATACAGTAATTGTCCAGGACCATGTCATTTGTTTGTTTGTTGTTTAACGCCACTCAGCAATATTCCAGCTATATGACGGCGGTCTGTAAATAATTGAGTCTGGACCAGACAATCTAGTGATTGACATGAGCATCGATCCACGAAATTTGGATCGATGACATGCATCAACCAAGACAATTCATGAGTTGCAATTCAAAGAACATCAGTAAAACCAAGTAATTCCAAGGGTTTAAAATTACCATTGCCCAACATTTGAGTACTGTAATATTTACAAGTGGGACATGTTCATTCCTCCCTCGGTATTATATAAAGGTGCTGGTCCATGTTCCACAAAGTGATCTTAGGGCAACACTGTCTTAAGTCTTTGTTTCAGTGTGGATGTTATGATGGTCCTTGTGGTTCACTGTCGCAAGTCTTTGTTACAGTGTGGGTGTCACGATCGTCCTAGTGCTACACTGTCATAAGTCTTTGTTACAGTATGGGTGCCACGATTGTTCTAGTGCTACAGTCTTTGTTAGTGTGGGTGTCATGATTGTCGTAGTGCTACAATGCCTTAAGTTTTTGTGACAGTGTGGGTGTTATGATTGTCCTAGTGCTACAGTCATAAGTCTCAGTAAGGGTGTCACAATCTTCCTAGTGCTACACTGTCAAAATGACTGTTAAAGTGTAGGTGTCACAATTATCCTAGTGCTACAGTCGTAAGTCTCTGTAGCAGTAAGGTCTTACGATCGTCCTAGTGCTACAATGTCGCAAGTCTTTGTTACAGTGTGGGTGCCATGATTTTCCCAGTGCTTTGCTGTCACAATTCTTTGTTACAGTGTGGGTGTCATGATCGTCCTAGTGCTACACTGTCATAAGTCTTTGTTACAGTATGGGTGCCACGATTGTTCTAGTGTTAGAGTCTTTATTAGTATGGGTGTCATGATTGTCGTAGTGCTACAATGCCGTAAGTTTCTGTGACAGTGTGGGTGTTACGATTGTCCTAGTGCTAAAGTCGCAAGTCTCCGTTACACGAAGGGTGTCACAATCGTCCTAGTGCTACAGTCGTAAGTCTTTGTTACAGTGCTACACTGTCACGCTTTTGTTACAGAATGGGTGTTATGATGGTCCTAGTGCTAACATCACTTTATAGGACTATAACCCGTGGTTTGTAGGGTAAGGGTCCACTTTCTACAAAGCAATAGTTATTGGTGTTACAACTGTCTTAGCACTTAGATCACTTTGCAAGACAATAACCAGGGCTGTTCACCAAGAAAAGGAATTCCTGCACAGCATCTCAGACAGCAAACAAAAAACATTCATTTCAGAGACTTTGAATGATATTGCAGTTATATCATGGACTCATGGTGTGTCAGCTTAATGTGGGAGGAAAACCTGAAGTGCTGTAGGTCTTAGCCGTTTATCACTTTGGTGAAACCCAAGAGCAAGGGTATGGTGCAATCTCATTAAAATCAAATCTTAGTTCTCACTACCGCCAAACTAAAATCTGAGGATATCCCATTACATATCATGTCAGAAAGACCTTTTGCGACCACTGACCGACCAATGAAATGACTTACAAGGGGTTGACATTAGCCAATCAAAAAGCAGCTTTCTCCAGCTTTACGGCACTAGTTTCAAACTGGTGACTTCCATTCCAGACTACACTTGAAAAATATTCTGACAAAGTTTTTTATTAAAAATTTGAAAACTGAACAGAAGGATATTCTGGAATGTTGAATGTATAGTCCAGATTGAATGGCAGTACTCACCACGAGCTATGCAACTTCTCCCCCATTCAAATGTTTATCCCATTGAAGCAAGATATAGATGATGATTTTTATGGAATCAGTCGTCTGGGCCAAAACTGTCGTTCCGAATACCAATGTGTAAACCTCTCAGAGGTTGCATGATTAGAAAACACATTCCCACTGTCATTTTCCTGATCTGGTAAGTGATGCTCTGACTGGTTGGATGAAAGGGCATTCTGATGTGACCCGTAATGGGACGTCCTCAGATCTTTATTTAGCGGTAGTGAGAACTGAGATCTGATTTTAATGAGATTGGGGTATGGTGCTGATAAACCTAGAAACATAATCAGTTTGAACCAGAATTTGAATCCACAATCAGATAATCGAAGTAATTGCTACACTCAGACTTCCCCTCTGATATGAAATATACTTGGTGGTTACGGTATTACTTTACGTTGCTCTCAGTTTCAAGATAAACGAAGAAAATCACACTCACACAATAGTAACAATAATCATAATGATCAAATTTGGTTTCTGAGACAGGGCATTATTATCATGGCAAGTGAATTCTAACTTTGGGTCCAGTTAATTGATGAACTATTTCTAACTCTGCTTACTGATTTGATGAGCTCTAACCTAACACTGAACCTATTTGGCTGACATTCCACATACACCTTTTTCGTAAATTCATCTGATGCTGGAAGCACTACTTAGCCAGAATGAACAAATTTCCAGTAAAAACTAAACATACATAAAAACAGATGCACTACAGGTGTCGAGGTTTATTGTAGCCCCACTTCCATGTGTGTGAAGGGGGCATGGCACTATGTGAAGTGGGTATGGCACTGTGTGAAGTAGGTGTGGCACTGTGTGACGAAACTGCTACCACAGAGTCCATGGTGGCTGGTTGACACGCCCCAAGGGTATACCAGTCACGTTGATTGGAATATTTATAAGAGCACTATCCATGTTTAACTGTTGCAGTGTGTGACGAATCATGGCACTGAAACAGAGGTTACAGATTATTACATAGTCTGTCATACAGGCCCTGAAACAAATATATCCAATACAGCCTATGCAAGTCTTAATTGTTGGCAAGTCTAGATTACTTCAGTTTCAGGAAAATGAAGAGTCTCTGGGCTCATATTCATTATATTGTATTGAGATAGTTTAACAGTTATTTTTCTGTAACATAGTTTCATTTCAGAGACTGGATGTTAGTCTAATTGTTAATACATAAACACTTTGCATGAAAATATTAAATATATTACAAATATAATTAAGAATCTTACAGGGAAAAAGATTATTTTGTATGATGGGTATGCAATGTTTACCAAATCGAAGCGATTTACTGAAGGATTGATTCATCATTAAGGATGCACAGTGGCCCCAGCCTGGTAACCTCAGTCAGTTTTTCCAAAGTTAAAGGTTTCCTGAGGGCTAGTAGAATTCCAGTCCTGATATGATGTCACTATTCTGGCTTGTAAATATTTCAAGTTGTATCATGATACTCATCATCACAATTTAAGAATCACGAATAACTTCCAGAGTTTATAAGATCATATAAGGAGGACATGCTGATAATGAGAAAATGAACTGTTCGTGTTAAAAGCTAATTTCTGATTCCTTCTGATTGCCAGGGGCCCCTGATCACGGACCCTTGGGCCAAATGAGCTGGTGTACTTGGGTTTGCTGCGACAATATGCGACTCTAAATGTCTAACTTTTAGCATTATGATCCCAAATCATCTTGATTTTCATTTACAATTGGATAAGTGCCTGTGACAGCTTCTATCAGGACAAGAGCCTGTGTGAGCTTCTAGCAGGATAAGAGTCTGTGTGAGCTTCAAGCAGGATAAGAGCCTGTGTGAGCTTCTAGCAGGATAAGAGTCTGTGTGAGCTTCAAGCAGGATAAGAGCCTGTGACAGCTTCTATCAGGACAAGAGCCTGTGTGAGTTTCTAGCGGGACAAGAGCCTGTGCAGGCTTCTAGCAGGACAAGAGCCTGTGTGAGCTTCCAGCAGGATGAGAGCCTGTGTTAGCTTCAAGCAGGACAAGAGCCTCTGTCAGCTTTCGGCAGGATAAGAGCCTCTGCCAGCTTCAAATAGGATAAGAGCCTGTGTATGTTTCTAGCAGGATAAGAGCCTGTGCAAGCTTCTAGCAGGACAATAGCCTGCATGAGCTTCCAGCAGGATAAGAGCCTGTGCAAGTTCTAGCAGGACAAGAGCCTCTGCAAGCTTCCAGCAGGATAAGAGCCTGTGTGAGCTTCTAGCAAGATAAGAGAATGTGAGAACTTCTAGCAGGACATGTGCTTGTGCGAGCTTCAAGCCTCTGCTAACTTACCCGTCTTTGCCCATGAGGAACATGGCTGGAATGTTCACTTTTCTGCTGGTGTTGTCATCAATCATGTCGACAAACTTATCGTCATTCTCCTCATCACTGTCACTGATTATAGCACCAAATGCATTTGCCATTTCTGCGTTGTAAGTTTTAGTTAAAAAGGAACATCCACTGTAAATAAGATATACAATACTTACAAAAATGTACATATAATTCTTACTGTGAAGACCAATGGAAGATCAGTTAATGGTAGTACAGGAAGCGATTTAAGGAACATGATATAACTTGCACCAGGTGCATGTTGACATGAAAACCTAGTTGCTCTAGATGTGTAGAGACAAGCCTTTCATGCACATCTCTCCATCACCCCCTGTGGTGATTCTGGATAGGATTAAGGGATCCAGGATTTGAACCCACACTGTCAGAGTGAGGCACCTAATCACCAGCACACAAAGTCAGTGGCCCACTCTGCCACCGAAGCTTCCACAAAAGAAAATCTGACATCTGGTAGTCTAGATCATGTACTTTGTGTACCCCTCTGACAAGTGTATATTGGCATGGCTCCCATGGCAAAAAGCTATGAACACACAATGTCATTTAGAAAATTCTATTTTAGGACACATGTGAATATATGTTGTTTTATGCCAGTAAATAATCCATGGGAGCAGACAAACCAATGGTTGACAGCATGAGAACAAATACATTGTAACCACATTAGTTAGCTATGTCGACAAACATGAGGTATGTAATCCTATTCGGAATCACCACAGGGGTTGATGGAGAGGAGTACATGAAAGACTTGTCACTACACATCAATTAAGTATAAACTACTGCCATCCCCTACTGCAAAGCTAATTGACAGGCAGGAATTCCTTGGTATCGTGATGAGTCTCAAAACCTTTTCAAATGCTTCAGTGAAGTGAATTTCACAAGCAATGAACAATATCTGATTACTTTATTTATCTTACCCTCGTAATACAAAAGCAATGGATCCCCTCATGCTACTGGTAAAAGTTCCACATCCATCAAGAGGGTCAGCAAATCTAAGCTCCACTTTGTTAAGTGTGTGTTCCTGTAATAAAAAAATAAAGACATATACCATTAGTACACTTCACCACTCCTCTTATAGTACTTCAGTTACCTAAAACATACTTAACCAAACTGAGACTTTAGCCACTGGTCCGAAGTCTGAATCTTGTAAAATTCTGTTGGGTCTACAACAGATGGAAATTAGCACATGCCCATGAGCCCGGACCAGTTTTCTTAACTTTAAAGGTATCCCAAGAGCTGGAAGAATTACAAACATTTTGGGGGTAATGCAACAAGTTATCACCAGGGCTTATGTACGGATGAAAATATGCACGATACGGTGGGATTTGATACGGTCAGATAACCGTTATTGATGGCTTGAAACAAACTTTAGTTCACAGACAATGGATACATATATCTTAAATGCCATACTTTGACTAGTTAAAAATAATATTTGTTGCAGTTTGACTGTTATATGTCAACAAAGAGTTTTCGCGAGCCCCGGTACGATGATTAACTATATTTTTCCATGCGTAAACAATATCCGGCAATAGCGATCAGCTGTACCAAAGTTAGAGTTACTCTTATCGTTATTATTATTTCAAATATACAGAGTAAAACTGCAACTAAAATAACACGATATTGGTAGTTTCGGGTACTATTCTTCCGATTGTTGCATCAAAAGTCGTATTATTGGTAAGTTTTGAAAGAATCACCAGTAGATTGTGTGTAAAGCTGATTGCTGTTTCAGGCCTAGTTTACGAGAAAATACACATGGTAATCTTAATCTCTATATCTAAAACAATGCTGAGTAGAATTGCAAATACAATTTAAACAGTAAATCATCATGTCTAGTGACATTGCATCTCAGATTTCAAATCTGTATTGACCATGTTTGTTATCACCTGTTTGTTTACCTGACTTTGCTGAAGGGAAACCATGTAATAATACTCGATTTAATCCCCTCCAAATATTGAATACCCTAGAGGGGGGTGCGCATTATACAATAGACATACATATCCAATGAAAAAAGTATTGTTTATTGTTTATTGACTTGTTTACACAAGAGTAGCAATGCTGTCGTGCATATCTAAAATAAAATACAAGACTAATATATTAAATTCCATTCAGTACTCAGTGTACTTGTTAGTTTTGCAAATATTCCTATATTGAAATGATAAGGTGAGTGAGTGAGTTGGGTTTAATGCCGCTTTTAACAGTATATTCGGCCTGTCAGCTTAAAGTGGGAGGACAGCCCGAAGTGATGCAGGTCTCAGACGTTTACCACTTTGATGAAACCCACGAGCACGGGTATGGTGCTGACAAACCTAGAAATATAATCAGGGCGAACCGGGATTCGAACCCACAATCATAGGTTTCTGGCGTGCCCAAGGGATGCAACTCTGCACAGTGAATCGATTGGGCTACCTGTGCCCCTGAAATGATAAGGAGTACAAACTCCTGATGCTGGAAAATGATCTGGAGCCCTGATCAATATTCAGGCTAGTTGACATTCTGGGTTAATTTCCATGCCTGGGTCTGGTAAGATCAGCCAATAATTCATTTAAATGGAAACAAATCTGCTTATAACACAGTTTTCTCATTATTTCATCATTCACTTGAATAATAATCCCACATAAGTAAACTCAGAAAGATCAGAAATTTCTACTGGCCTGTACAATCTGTGACATTAGCCACTAGTCCAACCCAGGCTTTTATTAACTGCTTCAACAATTCTAATTCTTTGTCAATCAATATAGTAGGACTGAAGAGTATCCAACCTGGACTTTCATTTAGTGCTTCAACAACATTCACTCTTTGTTAATCAATATAGTACGACTATACAGTATATACATCAGTTCAGTGTTCAAATGTCACTCCAGAGTTTCTGTGCTTTTACTTACAAAAACTCCTCCAAAGTCTCTGGCTGGACGCAGTTTGTAGGTGTAGCTTAACTGCTCTGGGTCGATGATTTCGAAGAACATGGCATCGTTGAGTACAAGGTTGACATCTGGTGATGTTGCAAACTGCAAGTCTAGTTCTGTCAACACACACAATGAAGAATACAGAGCTTCAATTTATTCAGGATTGTAAACTAAGCGCCCCTGGCAGCCAAATTACAAAAAATATATATGTTTTTTTGTCCAAAATTTGGATTTTTTAAAATGTTCTTAATTTTCTAAATTATTCAATGCAATAATTTACAACAAGTATTAAAAACTCTTCCTATTTTTTGTTGGCATATTTTTAATGGCATTTGCTGCAGACTTGGGGGCAATTATTGGCCTCAGTAGTTGGTTGGTTGTTGTTTAACACCGCACTCCGCAATATTACAGCTATATGACGGTGGTCTGTAAATAATCAAGTCTGGCCCAGACAATCTAGTGACTGACATCATGAGCATTGATCCATGCAATTAGGATGGGATGACATGCATCAACCAAACAGTAAGCCTGACCACCTGATCCCGTTAGTCACCTCATACGACAAGCATAGTCACCTCTTATGGCCAGTATGGGTTGCTGAAGACCTATTCTACCCTGGATCTTCACGGGTATGGGATAAATCCCTGTAAAGTTTGCAGGTGGACAACAGTTTACAGATGCAAGCTAACTCGGTCATCTCCTCTTTCTTGTATCTATGACTTCAGCACATGGACATTTTGTGTTTAGATACCCCTTCACCAACTTAATCCTCAAACCCCTTGCATTGGTGCAGTTCACGTGAGAATAAAAATTACAGATCACCACCTGACACTCACCAGAATTTGTCAACAGTCCAAAGGATCAGTAGATTAATAGAAAGATCAACTGGTCCTCTTGCATATCTAGTTGTCATGACAAAGTGTGTTTTGTCAGTTTCTGAACCAGATTTCCGTATCCAATCAGGGAAATTGAAAGCAGTGTCTCAGTAATAACAGTAGATTGCTGGAGTATCCCATACTTTATTACCAGTCCCTGTGAAAGTTACAAGATTGGGAACAAAGGCAGGGCTCCAAGTTCATTCTTTTACTAACTTGTTGATAACTAAGTAAATATATTAAATCACTAACCAAACTGAAAATCATGTGGCCATGCAAATTTACACTACCTAATATTGGCATGTAACTTTATCTACCCTTGTGATGAATAAAGGATTATGTTAATTTGAAACTTGTTTCTTATGTCTAAAGGCCATTTCTTCTTTACCAATACAATATGCAGTATTAAATTCAATCTTCAGTTCATCCACATCTTCTCATCAGATGGGTATCTACTGTATGAAATTGTAGTGTAATAGCTTATTTAGAAATGGACGTTTCTTGTCTGTTGCATAAACTGTAGTCTGTACACTTTCTATGTCTGTGAGAATCACTATGCCCTTTAATATTCTCTCGGTTTAAACTTCTGACTGCCATTAACAAAATCATTATTTCCAGCAATAGATAACAAAATATTGTATTTTGACGATTTGTGACATTGCAACTAATCAAATACTAGCAACCATGACTCCTAAATACACATGAAGGAACATTCACAACTTTGATTTCTTTTCTTGGTTGATATATTTATTAGTTGCTGTCATGTTCACTTGAAAGTATGATGTATTTATTCGTTTTCCTTCGGAATTTCTTTTTAAATTGACAGGAGTCACCATATTTCTGCGTCTGCTACACAATGGATTGTGGGAACCCTTTCATCCATTCTGTGTGAACTACATTGCGAGGTTGGATAAGATAAATAAACTAGAGTTACTTCTCTTAGAAGGATCGCTAAAAATCACTAAAAGCTTTGCCGATAATCATACGTAACTACGATTCTAACGGAACTAAACAATAATTACAGACATGGCTAATATAACTGAGTGTAGTTTAAATTAAGATTTCTCCACACCCGCTAGAGACAAGTGTTTTAAAATGTTTTGTTGCAATTCTCAAAATTTACTTGTAAATGCGACCATTTCACTCACTGCTTGGAGCAGTGTAGAGGTCTTTTACATCACTCGCACTTCAAAACATGAACCAATCATGGTAGCAGCAAAAAATACATCATCATTTGCAATGTTATAGATAATTCTCTACGATATATCAACATAAATAAGACAGGTGAGCATATTTTGCCATTATTTATAAAGCTCAGCAGATGGCTGTACAGAGTTGCATCCCCTGGTGATAACAGGATCCACTGATTGTAGATGTGAATCCCACATTCATAATGGCAGGGTTAGAATTTAACACTATCCACTCGCCCCGGGCTATTACTAATTCCTATGTGCTGGTAGATATTTCCAAATTTGTTCTTACATTAAAAGAGCTTCATCTTCACCTGGGCTAGTAAAGATTTGAATTTAGTTCTAACCCTGACCATGCTCTTGATACTCGCTTTGTCAGCATCATACCTCTTCTCGTCTTTTCACAAAACTGGCAACTATCTACTCTCTGCTTCACTTTGGGCTTTCCATTCATAGTATTAAAGCTGACAACCTGTGACATATTTTAAAACCTAACTCACTTATATATAGCGATTGAGATGGCATTCTACACATATCGCCGGATCATAGGTTTTTGGACATCGTGCGTTTTTGGACGCCATGTTTATCGCGATTACTCGAGCTATAACTGGGAGTGTAGCATTACACAGACATTGTAAATACTTAGATGATGGCTTGTCTTTAAGAGAAAGTTGACTTTTAAAAGTGAATGAGGTGTCTTTCAGTTGTTCACAACAAGTTTAGGGTTAATCAATCCATTAGGCCTACTGAATTAGATAGATAGCAGTACCATATATGGAAACTTACCTAAATATGCTCCCAATTATTTTAACATGAAATTTTTAGAAGAAAAAATATTTCCTGCAATAGGATTATCTCTTTCAAATAATTTCCCAAAATAAACATGGCCAAGATCACTTTTTCAAAAGAACAAGGCAAAAACAAAAGAAACAGTTCATTCCAAAACTTGAGTCCATTTTCTAACTTTCCATGGAAACTGTCAAAAAAAGTTATGTCTGCCTGGCTACTTTTCAATATGCTCCCGTGTCATGTCAAGTTCTAAAACAGTCGACGTGACCGACCTAGGGAGGTCACAACAACAGTTCTCGTCTGCTCGCATTGGGCCTTTGCATCAAGGCTGTTATATCATGTCCCGCTCATGCAACGCAGCAGTAATCGGCCACACACGCGCATAAGAAAACATATGAAAGAGTAATATGTTTCTAACTTACCACAGAGCGACAACAAAGCCCAGAAAATCAACAACAGCAGAAAGATGTGCCTCAACAAAAAAGCCCTCTCCATGCTGTCATATTTGCTGACGACAACTTCCGCCTGGAAGAGTTACGTCCCCTGTTTCCAGGCCACCTGTTCTTAGCGAAAATTTTCCCGCCAATCCTTTCCCGAAACTGCGTAGAGAAGATTTATAGGACCAATAATTTACATCATTACGTTAACCTTAACTTATCACAATGTGATAAACATTTTAAAAAAAACCCCTCACACACTTTAAATTGTATCAGTGGGATAAGTAACTAACCACAAATATTAAGCGAGCTGTGTCCGGGTTATTATACATTTATACATTATTCTTTAAAAGTTCACGATTCCTCTTATCATACAAACTTTTTATATCTGATACGAACACAATAAAGCCTTACTCTGAGAACATAACAATAAGTCATAAATATTAACTACAGGTGTAAGACTCCGCACTTCGCTTATGCAGAGTTGCGTCCCTTCGGCCTGTCAGACTCGTGCATATGATGGCATGGAATACCAGATACGCCCTGATTGTGTTTATAGGTTTGTCAACACCATACCCGTGCTCGTGGATTTCACTACAGTAGTAAACGTCTGAGACCTGCATCACCCATCTTCCTTCCCGTGACACACCGTGATATAACTGAAATACTGCGTTAAAACGGACTCGCAGTTTATATTTGGAAGTCACCTTAAGTTATCTGTTATACTGTACTGTACAGTGAGTGAGTATGGTTTTACGCCGCTTATAGCAATATTCGAGCAATATCACGCCGGGGGACACCTAATTTGCCGGAACAGGAAATAGTCACTGTGGGCTAAGTCTGGACTGTAGGGTGGGTGATTCAACTGTACAGCCCAGACTAAGCCCCCAGTGACTATTTCCTGTTCCGGCAAATGAAATCTACCGTACGTGGAAGACGCTTCCAGGATGACGAGGACATTAAGGCTGCCACAAAGGCATGGTTAGAGGGCCAATCTGCGGATTTCTATAAATGTTGTATTAAAGGCTTGAAGAACAAATGGAATAAGTGTATTGAGGTGAATGTAGACTATACTGAAAAATAAAAGTGCAAAAGATATTCTGCGACTTGGTCTCATATTGAAGTTGCAAAACGTATTGAACGCCCTTCGTATATTGTGATAAACATAACTATACGCGTCTTCAGTGTGTGATAGAGAACGGACAGAAGGAAGTGGAGACACAAGCGAGTTAAATTGCCATACAGGCAGTCCAGAACATCCACATGTACTTACAATATGTGCCGAAAAGTCTAACCCAGTCTGTTGAATTTTGAATGCAGACAATTAAGACTTATTATAACATCTACCTTGGTCCCTTGTTCGACACGGTGCGGATTGGACATTTAAGGAAATATTACAAAGTTTCTTCACCTCAAACATCAGCTGTGCAGTTGCAGTAGGGGCACATTAAAGGTTACGTTGTCTCAGCGGCGGGGACACACTAAAGGTTACGTTGCCTCAGCGGTAGGGACACATAAAAGGTTACGTTGTCTCAGCGGCGGGGACACATTAAAGGTTACGTTGCCTCAGCAGTAGGGGTACATTAAAGGTTACGTTGTCTCAGCGGCGGGGACACATTAAAGGTTACGTTGCGTCAGCGGTAGGGACACATTAAAGGTTACGTTGTCTCAGCGGCGGGGACACATTAAAAGTTACGTTGCCTCAGCAGTAGGGACACATTAAAGGTTACGTTGCCTCAGCAGTAGGGGTACATTAAAAGTTACGTTGCCTCAGCAGTAGGGACACATTAAAGGTTACGTTGCCTCAGCACTAGGGACACACTAAAGGTTACGTTACCCCAGCATTAGGGACACATTAAATTTTACGTTGCCTCAGCGGTAGGGGTACATTAAAAGTTACGCTTCCTCAGCAGTAGGGGTACATTAAAGGTTACGTTGCCTCAGCAGTAGGGACACATTAAAGGTTACGTTACCCCAGCATTAGGGACACATTAAAGGTTACGTTGCCTCAGCGGTAGGGGCACACTTAAGGTTACCTTACCCCAGCATTAGGGGCACATTAAAGGTTACGTTGCCTCAGCGGTAGAGGCACATTAAAGGTTACGTTGCCTCAGAGGTAGGGACACACTAAAGGTTACGTTACCCCAGCATTAGGGACACATTAAAGGTTACGTTGCCTCAGCGGCGGGGACACATTAAAGGTTACGTTGCCTCAGCAGTAGGGACACATTAAAGGTTATATTGTGTCAACAGTAGGGATACATCAAAGGTTACGTTGCCTCAGCGGTAGGGACACATTAAAGGTTACATTGCCTCAGCGCTGGGGACACATTGAAGGTTACGTTGTGTCAGCAGTTTAGGACACATTGAAGGTTACGTTGTGTCAGCAGTTTAGGACACATTGAAGGTTACGTTGTGTCAGCGGTATGGACACATTAATGGTTACGTTGCCTCAGCAGTAGGGGACCCATTAAAGGTTATGTTGCCTCAGCAGTAGGGGACCCATTAAAGGTTATGTTGCCTCAGCAGTAGGGGGACATTTAAGGTTACGTTGTGTCAGCGGTAGGGGCACATTTAAGGTTACGTTGTGTCAGCGGTAGGGGCACATTTAAGGTTACGTTGTGTCAGCGGTAGGGACACATTAAAGGTTACGTTGTGTCAGCAGTAGGGACACATTAAAGGTGGCATTGTGTCAGCGGTATGGACACATTAATGGTTACGTTGTGTCAGCGGTAGGGACACATTAAAGGTTACTTTGTGTCAGCGGTATGGACACATTAAAGGTTACGTTGTGTCAGCGGTAGGGACACATTAATGGTTACGTTGTGTCAGCGGTATGGACACATTAAAGGTTACGTTGTGTCAGCGGTAGGGACACATTAAAGGTTACGTTGTGTCAGCGGTAGGGACACATTAATGGTTACGTTGTGTCAGCGGTATGGACACATTAAAGGTTACGTTGTGTCAGCGGTAGGGACACATTAATGGTTACGTTGTGTCAGCGGTATGGACACATTAAAGGTTACGTTGTGTCAGCGGTAGGGACACATTAAAGGTTACGTTGTGTCAGCGGTATGGACACATTCAAGGTTACGTTGTGTCAGCGGTAGGGACACATTAAAGGTTACGTTGTGTCAGCGGTAGGGACACATTAAAGGTTACGTTGTGTCAGCGGTAGGGGCACATTTAAGGTTACGTTGCCTCAGCAGTAGGGGCACATTAAAGGTCATATTAGTGGTTATCTGGTGGTATCGGGGTGTGTCCCACGACGATTTCAGTGGTAATGGTTATCTGGTGGTATCGGGGTGTGTCCCACCACGATTTCAGTGGTAATGGTTATCTGGTGGTATCGGGGTGTGTCCCACCACGATTTCAGTGGTAATGGTTATCTGGTGGTATCGGGGTGTGTCCCACCACGATTTCAGTGGTATTGGTTATCTGGTGGTATCGGAATGTGTCCCACGACGATTTCAGTGGCAATGGTTATCTGGTGGTATTGGGATGTGTTTCACAACGATTCTATCTGAGTCTTGGTTCTTCAGTCCAGAAAGACCTGAAGAAGTATCATACTACATTCATGTCGAAATTTATTTACAAAACCTTATATCGCAACGGTATTGAGAAATTTTTTACAAAGTTTTGTAAATTTGTTCTTGTCGTCGGCTTCCGTCACCAAATAAGACAATTGTAGCAGGATGCGGCTACGCCCGGTACATTTAAACTGTCAATGCAGACTTATCTCATACTGGATACGTTTGCTCAGACAAGCAGATACACGATTCTCTAGATCATGATATTATATGCTTAGGGATCAGTCACGTATTCAGGATTTTTACTGCCGTCCTTGATAGGACCATTCCTGATTAAAATTTGTCAAAAGTCTGATCAAGATCCTGTGATTCATGGCGGGAAATTCACAAACAATCAGATATTGTTCAGGAAGCGTCCCGATTCAGCCGTTATCCAGCCAAATTCGTCCCGATTCTCCCGTTCTTAATCCGAATCTGATCCGATTTGTATCTTCCGCATGGTATAAAACGACAGAATCTGTCTCGACAGCGTCCCGATTCTCCCGAATGCGACCCGACAGAGATCAGACACTGACCGGACAGTGAACCCACAAAGAAGGTTCGCATTCGGCAAGATCTGGACGCAATCTGGACTCAATCGACAAGAAACGGCAATGAACAATTCATGTCCGTTCATCACGACAGCGTCCCGATCCACAGGGTACCGTCCAGACAACACAGGACATTGTTACGATTTTGATCCGATACAGCAGAATCTGTCACGACATAGTCACGATTGTAATCCGACTAGACAAAATCGGCTGAGTTTCCCGAATGTAAGGAGACGCACCATACTGTCGGGAGTGCTTGGCCGACCTCATTGAACCTTTTCCGATCCGTAGGACTCTGTTACGAACGTATATGACTGCGTTCAGACAATGGTAGAATATCCAGATCACTGAGGATAGTAATCCGACTCTTTCACGTTTCGTGTCGTAGCACAGCAATAATCAGCACTATGTGAACCTGGCCTTAGCGCCTTGATGACTTTGAGGATAGAAACTGAGCCTTAGCTGTTTCGCATGGATTTGCATATGCGTGGATATCCCCGGTGTTGGAAGATATCAGAATCAAATACCTGCCTAACTATTATTATACGCATCCAACACAAAGAAAAGTTATCGAACAGCAAAATTAGCCACATTTTTCAGGTGTGTCTCACGACAATTCAATTTGGGAGGAGTTCTCTGGTGGTATTGGGGTGTGGGGGTGGGGTGGGGTGGGGTGGGGTGGGGGTTGGGGGTTGGGGGTTGGGGGTTTGGGGTTGTCTCACAACGATTCAATTTAGGAGTGGTTCTCTGATGGTATTGGGGCATGTCTACTACGTGTATACTCTAATTTGGGTTATCAATACCACTGACACTACATAGCAGTTGCACACATGTCTTACAAATACCATTCACAACGTGTATATTCTAATTGGGGTTATCAATACCACTGACACTACATAGCAGTTGTACACACGTCTTATAAATACCATTCACAACGTGTATATTCTAATTGGGGTTATCAATACCACTGACACTACATAGCAGTTGCACACATGTCTTACAAATACCATTCACAACGTGTATATTCTAATTGGGGTTATCAATACCACTGACACTACATAGCAGTTGTACACACGTCTTATAAATACCATTCACAACGTGTATATTCTAATTGGGGTTATCAATACCACTGACACTACATAGCAGTTGTACATGTCTTACAAATACCATTCACAACGTGTATATACTAATTGGGGTTATCAATACCACTGACACTACATAGCAGTTGTACATGTCTTACAAATACCATTCACAACGTGTATATACTAATTGGGGTTATCAATACCACTGACACTACATAGCAGTTGTACACACGTCTTACAAACACCATTCACAACGTGTATATTCTAATTGGGGTTATCAATACCACTGACACTACATAGCAGTTGTACATGTCTTACAAATACCATTCACAACGTGTATATACTAATTGGGGTTATCAATACCACTGACACTACATAGCAGTTGTACATGTCTTACAAATACCATTCACAACGTGTATATACTAATTGGGGTGATCAATACCACTGACACTACATAGCAGTTGTACATGTCTTACAAATACCGTTCACAACGTGTATATTCTAATTGGGGTGATCAATACCACTGACACTACATAGCAGTTGTACATGTCTTACAAATAGTGCACGTCTCAAGCATGATGTGTGTGTCTGTGTGTGCATGTGTCTGTGTGTATGTGTCTGTGTGTGTCTCTCTGTGTCTGTGTGAGCATGTGTGTTTGTGTGTCTGTGTGAGACTCTCTTTGTCTCTCTCTGTGCGTGTGTGTCTGTCTGTGTGTGTTTGTGTCTGCGTGCGTGTCTGTTTTTTCTCTCTCTCTGTGTATGTGTCTGTGTGTGTCTCTCTTGGTGTCTGTCTGTCTGTCTGTGTGTGTGTGTGTGTGTATATATATATATATATATATATATATCACTGTCTGTGTGTGTTTGTGTGTGTATGTTCCGTCAATAATTTAGAGTTTAACTTAAATCAGGGGGTTAGAATCACCGAATCACTGTGAAATCGTTGTTGCTGATGAGAGAAGAAATCAGACTTGAAACATAATCTTTGATTGGTCGACAGGCTAACTAAAGGAAGCGGTGTGAGTGGCTATTTTTAAAACATACAGAATGTTCATGGTAACTAATGGAAACCAAGCGAACTATTCTTAAACTTATCTATACTGAACAAAAGAATTTAGTGATCTTTAATATTCCTTGGAATATTTTTATGAAAGACTACTTGCTCCCTGTAAAATTAACGCTACATGTTTGCGTCACACGACGACTTAAACTAAGTGTTGGTTGGTTGTTGGTTTGTTTGTTGTTTAACGCCGCACTCAGCAATATTACAACTATATGACGGCGGTCTGTAAATAATCAAGTCTGGCCAGACAATCCAGTGATTGATGACTTATAATAATTATACAAGTTAGCATAGCGTCTGCAACAATCACTTTAAGCTATTGTAGGGGTTGTCGGGTGGCCAATTGGTTAAAGCGTTCGCTCGTCACGCCGAAGAGCCGGTTCGATTCCCTACAGCGGTACAATGCGTGAAGCCCATTTCTGGTGCCCCCCGTCGTGATATTGCTGGAATATTGCTAAAAGCGGCGTAAAACCACACTTACTCACTCTCAAAAGCTATCATATATGAAATCTTCATGTCAACTTGACTAGTTCGGCTTGGTGGTCAGGTATAGGTCTCACGCTTCAGGCTGATACTTAATGATCTATTGAGACTGCGTAACACCGAACGATATTGGTAAGAGGTTTTATCTTTCGGTCATATTAACCCTGATGTTTAATTATTAAGTAACAGGCGTCCAGACTGCAGGGTGGACTGACCTATACTGACCGCTGAGACATGATGGCCGATAGCTAACTCCCAATCTCCACATCTCTCTCCTTCCATGCGTTCCCAATGTGCGAATCAAGATCGGAGATGGAGACTACGTGTATATAAACCGACTACGTTTATATTCGGCATCGACACTTGGGGTTGACTCGTCGGTCGTAGCATAAACGGCAACAAGAGCAGGTGCTGCCATTCTTCTAAATACGGTATTGAATACACGGAGAAATACCTACAAATGTAAGTCTTCACTCGCTAAAAACAATAATGACTATGGTTCTCAGGCACCACCCGCAACATCATAAAGTCTGCCGCATGTTTTGTTTTTATTTCCAAAAATTAATCCGAATATTTAAACACAATGCATAAAAAATGAAAATGGAAACAAAAACGAAACGTGCAAAGAACTTTATGACTGAGTGAGTATGGTTTAACGCCGCTTTTAGCAATATTCCAGCAATATCACGGCGGGGAACACCAGAAATGGGCTTCACAATTTGTACCCATGTCGGGAATCGAAACCGGGTCTTCGGCGTGACGAGCGAACGCTTTAACCACTAGACTACCCGACCGCCCCTCAAAGAACTTTATGATGATGTTGACAGTGCCTGAGCACATAGACTTTTTATTATTTTTAGCCTATTGTCTTTACGTTTTACCTGTAACCAAAGGCCACCTGATCAGCCATGCTTTAACTTTGTCCCAGTTTCTGTGTTGACAAAGGGCATGTTTTTAGGCAATGTTTCGTATGACCGAACAGCTACGTAAGTGGGTGAAGTCTTCAAAAAGCAATTTCATTGCGAGCTTCTGTTTGTCATTTTACTTGCACCCTATGCTCTGAGGTAAAAGCTGCCATTAAGACATTCACCCTCCACTGAGCTCAGGAACTTCATCAGGTGACACAGTACAGAAGTACAGTGTACCACCACCCCACTTTCATACCTACCTGTGTGCGGTAAGTACTGGAGCAACTATATAGCAATATAAACAACTATATGTCAATGTCATCATATTTATCAACATTCTTTAAGTGACGATTGTTATTTGTAATAATAAGAAAATCTGTGAAATTTTGATTTTATGATTTGCAGGTGTTTTGGGTTTTCTGAAGAGTATAAACATTAGAGTTTAATGTATATTTCTAACAGCTTTCAATTTGTTTTATTTCTTTTTACTATAACAGCAGTGTATAAATATTTGAAGAGCCTCTGTATGCACGTGTCCTCCGTATCGTCACAGAGTAAGACGGACGTCATCTTTGTAGGAGTCGGAAGACGTGCTTGCTTTGAGTCTAAAGCATTGCTTGAGGTTGCATGACTTGGTTCGTTTATCTTGAGTTGAATGTTGAATGTTGAATCTTATATTTTTGTTTGTTTATTGGTTTGTCGTTTTTATTCGAAGGTTGAATGTCGAATGTTAAGTGATTCGTGTTACTTTTTGTGGATGTATAATCAGTTTCATCTTATCACTTTTAGTAGATGAGTTGAATTTTGTATATTTGTTAATTTCTTTTGTTTTTCTCTCTCGACGATTTGAATGTTACATGTTGAATGTTAATTTTAAAAAAATTACGTTTAGTTTTTGTTGTTGTTGACAGTTTGAGAGTGTTGGATCTTCTCAGCTCTGGGAAACCATGAAGCTGTTTTTTTCTGCCGTTGTCGTTGCGGTCGTTGTTATGATGCTGACGCCAGCCGAGTGTAAACGACGGACAACGGAGCGGAAAGACAGGCCAAAAAACTATGTGGTATGTAACCTGAAGTATTCTACATTTGTGCAAAGATGTTATTATAATTCATATGTTTGAGAAACTTTCAATACATTTTTAATAGTGTCTATGTCATTTAAAATGAATTTAATTTAATTAATCACCCGCGTCATAAATTCAGTTGGACGCTAATTGAAAAAGTAGTCTGTTAATGAACTGTTATCTACTCCTATGATATACATGATAGGGTTGGTTATTTCCCATACACACACGCACACGCACACGCATACGCACACGCAACTACACATAATACAACTATAGCACGTCACTGTACCGACGTTGTGTATTGTAGCTGCCACGAAACGAGGCGGCTCCAGGCGTCCCTGACCACGTCTCCAACTTCCTCGTCAACGGGGTCATCGACCACTACCGCCACCCGGTGAGTCAAAGAAACTCCCTGTCCCTCGTCCCAGGAGTTGTAATTACCGTAAATGTTCTCGTGAATAACTAAACTCGGATATATCAAAGTAAGCACACCGCTCGGTGTATATTTCCCGTTGTCATGTACAGTTGATAGGGTATGATGATTGTTATTGTTTGACTGACAGCCGAACGTCAACCACCAAGATGGGGGTGTCAAAGAAGCGGAGCTACAACACGAGGTAGGAGACTTCGCTTCCATAGTATCACGTCACTGTTTCTGAAGTTGTGGATAGTTTAGCTGTTGCCACAGCATCTTCCCGAGGCAAGGGAGTTAACTGACTATAAAAGTCCAGTTTTCACCCTTGCCGAACTAGGCTGGTATTATGGAGTTATATTTTGGCTGGACTAACGAGTCTATGCATAGTCCAATCAAATTGGCGCAACGAAATCGAAATCCGGTCAGTAAACTGTCGTGTAGATTTCGGTCGATTGCAGGATTTGCAAAGCATGTACACCGCCAACTCGTTGTCAACAAATATTTTCCAAATCTTTTCATGTTTTTAATCAAGGTGCTCACCCATTTTTGATGCACTTCGCGATGTAAGACCCGTTTTATCACGCTATAGAACTTGATTATCGATCAGATCGTCTTGACTGGGCGCCGCCATTTTGTTTGATACAAATGCAAGTGATACGAGAGGTGGAATCTGATTGGTCTATAGAAGAGGCTCAGAAGGTCCATGACTCGTTACAGCCTAGTTCGTCAAGGGTGGAAACTGGACTTTTAACTCAGTTAGTCAGTTAACTCCCTTGCTTCGGGAAGATGTTGCCATAGCGGCTAAGGGAAGGGGACGGGTAAATTGTCCTCGTCCAGTGAGTGAGTCGTGTTTTACGCCTCCTTGAACATCAGGCCAGTTACATCACGGAATGTCAGAGGGCGTCCATTCATGCAGGTCTAGACATTTAACACTTTGGTGAAACCAGCGATCATGGGTATGATATTGGATAGCAACTGATGTCGATCATACAACGAAACTCCAACAACATACGTCAAATATACTCAATGTCGGCTTTTTAGCTTTGACTTCGTAGACTATCGATCAGTGCAGAGTGGACAGCGTCTAATGATTACACGCAACAAGTTCATTTATAGACCCGTGAAGATCCGGGTTAGAATAGGTCTTCAGATACCCATGCTTGCCGTAAAAGTCGACCATATGGCCTGTCGTAGGAGGCGACTAACGGGATCGGGCGGTTAGGCTCGCTGACTTGGTTGATGCTTGTCATGCGTAGATCGATGCTCATGATGTCAATCTCTGGATTGTCTGGTCCAGTCACGATTATTTACGAACCGCCGACTTAAAGCTGGTTTACTGGCGAGTGCAATCATTCAAGCCATCGTGCTAATCCCATTCAATCGGCTCTCACGACAAGCATCAGTTATTGGGGGTACATTCTACTCCGGAACCACCATGGGGTCTTTATTGAGAATATTGAAGATATTAAATAGTTTTAGTGTTATTTCAAAGTGTTTGGGCCGAGACATAAAGTAATAAGATACCCTTTTGATGCTGTAATTGAAGATGTTTGAGATGAAGCGACGTCAGCACGGGGAGAAGGTGAAGAAACGTAGCGGGCTGTCAAAGAAGCTGCTGCGAGGGAAACGCTTCGTTGATGCCAAGGCGCCTGGCTGGACTAATGGAATTGTACCATATGAATTTGGCAACATTAGTACGTATATTTACATTGAACTCCTACGTAGAGGACCGCCTCCGTGGTCTAATGATAGAGCGTCCGTCCGGAGAACGGAAGGTTCGGGGTTCGATCCTTGGCTGCGTCATACCAAAATACGTTAAAAGATGATACTTGTTGTTACCCTGTCACACACACAGACGTACATGCACGTCGCTATATAAGTGCAATAATCTTGAACGCGAAGTTAAACCCCATTTCACCTCTCATCTGTCACCTACCGAGATTTATTGGGATTTACGATCATCTTAGCGCTACCATTGTCTTAAGTCTGTGTTAAAGTATGGTAATTTCGATCATCTGGGCACTATGACGGTTGGGAGTTACGATCATCTGAGCACTACCATTGCCGTAAGTCTGCGTTAAAGTATGGTAATTACGATCTGGGCGCGACGACGGTCTGTGTTAAGACATGGTATTTACGATCATCTTAGAGTTACGACTGTTGTAAGTCTGTGTTAAAGTTTTGGAGTTACGATCACCTAAGCGCTGATATCCCATTGTATAACGAGACCCATGTTAACTTTCTATAAGTATATCATTTTATAATCGATTATTAGGTTGTCATGACAAATGGCGCGACCAGTGTTTCAATCAGCTTAAACAAGAGGGTCATTTACGCCATCTTCTATGGTCGTACACAGAACGCTATGTGCGACGATAGAAATATCATGCATTATGGCAACTACTAGAAACTAAAAGTGAAAACTGCATGAAAACACCGAAATTTAATGGTTGCCATGACAGCAATTCTACGACACGACGTAATCACGTGTATTGAGGATTCAAGACTGAGGTGTTTTGCCTACCTGGCAACTATCGAAGTGTTAAAGTATGGTAATTACGATCACCTGGGCACTACCATTGTCGTAAGTCTGTGTTAAAGTATAGGAATTACAGTCTTCTGAGAGCTACGACTGACGGGAGTTACGATCATCTTCGCGCTACTATTGTCGTAAGTCTGTGTTAAAGTATGGGAATTACGATCTTCTGAGCGCTACGACGGTCAGGAGTTACGATCATCTTAGCGCTACCATTGTCTTATGTATGTGTTAAAGTATGGTAATTTCGATCATCCGGGGGCTACGACGGTTGGGAGTTACGATCATCTCAGCGCTACCATTGTCTTAAGTCTGTGTTAAAGTAAGGGAATTACGATCTTCAGGGCGCTACGACGGTCTGTGTTAAGACATGGTAATTACGATCATCTTAGAGTTACGACTGTTGTTAAAAAAGGTCTGTGTTAAAGTATGAGAGTTACGATCACCTAAGCGCTGATATCCCATTGTAGAACGGGACCCATGTTAAATTTCTATTATATAGTATATCATTTTATATTCGATTATTAGGTTGTCATGACCAGTGTTTCAATCTTCTTTACCAAAAAGGGCATTTACACAATCTTCTACGGTAATGTGCCTGTTTCTTCTCACCACTCTTGACACCTCAGTCTTCTTGACCTTCATCTGATGATTATCTTACTGATATTCCCACTTATTCCCAACATTCTACGTAACTGCAATGTGTTTGTGTGTGTCGCCAGGTACTTCCCAGCAGGCCACGGTTCTCCAAGCCATGGCCACCATAGAGGAATATACCTGCATCCGCTTCTTCGAGAGAGGTTCCCCGGGATACAGTGTGTCACATACCAACTACCTACTGTTTATCAAGACGTCCTCGTAAGTGTTTTTTTTTTCGTAAATGAACTTTCAACTTCAACAACGATATTGCTGAACCATACATACTACTATGAATTGGACCGCCTCCGTGGTCTAGTGGTAAAGCGTCCGCCCGGAGAGCGGAAGGTCCGGGGTTCGATCCCCGGCCGCGTCATACCAAAAGACGTTAAAAGATGGTATTTGTTGTTACCCTGTCTGGCGCTCGGCATTAAGGGGCTAAAAAAAGGACTGGTCGGCTCGGAGTCAGTATACTGTGTCTGAGTGGGGTATCCATGTTAAACTGCGGCATGGTATCTCAGTGAGCTAGCACTATAAATTGGCATCAGTCCTGACTAGTACAAGCAGCCACACAAACACACACACGTACATGCACGTCGCTATATAAGTGCAATAATCTTGGACGCGACGTTAAACCCAATTTAACCTCACCTCACTATGAATTGATAAGTATCAATGCACGATAAACGAGTGCTAAGGTTGTATGACATGAAGTGCTAAGTTGAATCTGGACAGGTCAAAACCCCGGCGTGTCCAGGGCGTACTCTCACATTTCTATTGTAAAGGGAACTGTGGAATACTGTACGTGACATACTCGCGATCTTGACCTTTTGATTTGTTTGTTTGTTTGTTTGTTTAACGCCACACTCAGCAATATTCCAGCTACATGACAGCGGTCTGTAAATAATCGAGTCTGGACCAGACATTCCAGTGATTGACATCATGAGCATCGATCCACGCAATTGGGGTCGATGACATGCATCAACCAAATAAGCGAGTCTGACCACCCAATGACGTTAGTCGCCTCTTACAACAAGCATAGTAGCCCTTAACGGAAAGCATGGGTTGGTGAAGACCTATTCTACCCCGGATCTTCACGGGCCTCGACCTTTTGAAACGAGATAAATATGCCAAAAGTACGAGAATGCGAGATCGCGAGAACGCGAGATTTGGCCACATATGGCATATTCAGTTCGTTTCCAAAGGTCGATATCGCGAGAATGTCCCGTACAGTATTCCATAAACAAACGTTTAGGTGTCATAAAATGCATAGAGCATTGACGAAGAAAACTATGCAGTTATTAAGTGGGATATTGATATGGTCACCTGCAAGTTAATATGACACGACCTGACCAGGACGCTATTGAATGTCTCATTCACAACTTCCCTACAATATGTTTCCTGAGTTTGCGATATGTGTCGATATTACAAGCTTTGCGTCAGTAGCAGACGTTTCCACAAATACTTCTTTTGTTTGTTTGTTGTTACAACGCCGCACTCAGCAATATTCCAGCTATATGACGGCGGTCTGTAAATAATCGAGTCTGGACCAGACAATCCAGTGATTGACATCATGAGCATCGATCCATACAATTGGGATACGATGACATGCATCAACCAAGTCAGCCCCAAAATACTTGTAATCTCCAAATGTTGAGGCTGCATGATTAAACAACAAACAAACGAACTTAAAATGGTTCTGTTCAGATGCTTCTGATAGGTGTTGGTGCTTATTGGGCATGTATGACGTCATGTTACTGACAATCATTACTGATGTTTCAGATGCTGGTCCTACATCGGGATGCATAACAGCCCACAATACATCTCTCCCTGCACCAACTTCGTGAGTAGCACAGACATCGTTTACCGCCCTAACGGCTATGATAATACATCGCATATTTTTAACCCATTGTGATAAATACCGTTGTTCAAGCAGCTACCATACACATCGACGAAGTCCCGGGTTCGAATTCCCACATGGGTACAATGGGTGAAGCCCATTTTAGGTGCCCCTTCCGTAACATTGCGGGAATATTGCTAAAAGGGGCTTAAACCCATACTCACTCACTCTATCAGCATCCTCGTCTCTCAGGTTGTAATAAATCCATTATGTTAAGATACCCTGGGCCCATTCGCTTGCATAGCTTCTTTCAGCGAGTGACGTTACCACCCACAAACTTGTTTATCAGTAACATCGCACAGAATTGCTCTCGCTTATTGGTGACCTTTGATTGGACGACTACTTTATCGATACCCTTGGCCCATTCGCTTGCATAGCTTTTTTCAGCGAGTGACGTTACCAACCACAAACTTGTTTATCAGTAACATCGCACAGAATTGCTCTCGCTTATTGGTGACCTTTGATTGGACGACTACTTTATCGATACCCTGGGCCCATTCGCTTGCATAGCTTCTTTCAGCGAGTGACGTTACCACCCACAAACTTGTTTATCAGTAACATCGCACAGAATTGCTCTCGCTTATTGGTGACCTTTGATTGGACGACTACTTTATCGATACCCTGGGCCCATTCGCTTGCATAGCTTCTTTCAGCGAGTGACGTCACCACCCACAAACTTGTTTATCACTACTATCGCACAGAATTGCTCTCGCTTATTGGTGACCTTTGATTGGACGACTACTTTATCGATACCCTGGGCCCATTCGCTTGCATAGCTTCTTGCAGCGAGTGACGTCACCACCCACAAACTTGTTTATCAGTAACATCGCACAGAATTGCTCTCGCTTTTTGGTGACCTTTGATTGGACGACGACTACTTTATCGATACCCTGGGCCCATTCGCTTGCATAGTTTCTTTCAGCGAGTGACGTCACCACCCACAAACTTGTTTATCAGTAACATCGCACAGAATTGCTCTCGCTTTTTGGTGACCTTTGATTGGACGACTACTTTATCGATACCCTTGGCCCATTCGCTTGCATAGCTTCTTGCAGCGAGTGACGTCACCACCCACAAACTTATTTATCAGTAACATCGCACAGAATTGCTCTCGCTTATTGGTGACCTTTGATTGGACGACTACGTTAGCGTCACCTATTTTGAGTCGGACACAAAACAAGGGTATAATGATATTGGGTACAAGGTAATTATAAACTTTGAGGGAGATACAATGTGCTAATTAATCGATACTACATATGAGTATTGTTCTACGCCGCTTTTAGCAATATTCCAGCACTATCACGGCGGGGGACACCAGAAATGGGCTTCACACATTGTATCCGTGTGGGGGATCGAACGCTTTAACTACTAGGCGACTTCACGGCCTACATGTAATTCCATATCAATTTAAACATATTTTGCTAAATGTTTACCGTGAGAGTAAACCCGTGAAGATCGGGGTTAGAATTGGCCTCCAGTAACCCATGTTGTCGTAGTGAGTGAGTGAGTGAGTTGGGTTTTACGCCGCTTTTAACAGTATTCCAGTTATATCGCGGCGTGTCAGCTTAATGTGGGAGGAAAGCCCGAAGTGATGCAGGTCTCAGACGTTTACCACTTCGGTGAAACCCACGAGCACGGGTATGGTGCTGACAAACCTAGAAACATAATCGGGGCGAACCGGGATTCGAACCCACAATCATAGGTTTCTGGCGTGCCCAAGGGACGCAACTCTGCACAGCGAATCGCGGCGCCTTAGACGACTGGGCCACCCTTGCCCACCCATGTTGTCGTATGAGGCGACTATGGTTGGTTGGTTGGTTTGTAGCTTAACGCCGCATTCAGCAATATATTCCAGCTGCATGACGGCGGTCTGTAAATAATCGAGTCTGGATCAGACAATCCAGTGGTTGATATTGTGAGCATCGATCCACGCAATTGGGATCGATGACATGCATCAACCAAGTCAGCTGGTCTGCCCACCCGGTCCGTTAGTCCCTATGGTTGTAATGGGATCGGGTCGTCAGACTCGGGTATCCCAGATGCTCATGATGTCAACCATTGGATTGTCTGGTCCATACTTGATTATTTCCAGACCGCCGTAATACAGTTGGAGTATTGCTGACAAACAAACAAAGCTGTGAGAGTAACCATTTTAGTTTATCATTGCAATGATTCTTCGGGGTTCCGTAATATATATATATCCATTTGTTTTCCTTTGTTACTTCTAACCACTATGAGTGTATACCATAATTTCACACGTCTTGTGATCGTACTGAAACGCTGTATGTTGCAGTTCACCGTCCTCCACGAGATCATCCACGCTCTTGGGGCGTGGCACGAGCACCAACACTACGACCGACAGCAGCACCTTCAGTACTTCCCCAACCACGTCAGGAGTGGTCAGTCCTATTACTGTGTGTGCGTGCGTGCGTGCGTGTGTGTGTTTTGGTGGTTGGTTAATATTATTAATATCATAGTGGTAGTAGTATTTGTAGTATTTGTAGTAGTAGCAGTAGACGTAGCAGTAGTTGTTGTTATTGTGTTGTTGTTGGAGGAGGAGGAGGAATAGTAGTAGTAGTAGTAGTAGTGGTACGGTTAGTAGTAGTAGTAGTAGTAGTAGTAGTAGTAGTAGTAATAGTAGCAGTAGTGGTGGTAGTAGTGGTAGTAGTAGTAGTTGTTGTAGCAGCAGCCGTGGTACGGTTAGTAGAACTAGTAGTAGTAGTAGTAGTAGTAGCAGTAGTAGTAGCAGTAGCAGTAGCTTAGCAGTAGTAGCAGTAGCAGTAGTAGTAGTAGTAGTAGTAGTAGTAGTAGTAGTAGTAGCGGCAGTAGTAGTAGTAGTAGCAGTAGTAGTAGTAGCGGCAGTAGCAGTAGCAGTAGCAGAAGTAGTAGTAGCGGTTGTTGTATTATCCAATTGCTATATGTACTTTCATACAAAGGTGCCGAGAATAACTTCGCCCTGCCGCCAGCATCTTGGCATGACGACTTTGTGAACCTTCCCCTGGATCTGCAGTCTGTCATGATGTACGGAGACTATGTGAGTCCAGCTTTGTATCCACACATGCCACCTTTCAGACACAACTAATCCGACTCGTCCAAACAAAAGAAATTAAAGATGCTCCACTGTTATACGTATGATGAAACCCATGTCATTCATCTTCTATGGGGGCGGTCGGGTAGCCAAGTGGTTAAGGCGTTCGCTCGTCACGCCGAAGACCCGGGTTCGATTCCCGATATGGATACAATGTGTGAAGCCCATTTCTGCTGTCCTCCGCCGTGATATTGCTGGAATATTGCTTAAAAATCGGCGTAAAACCATACTCACTCACTAATCTTCTGTGTGGGGGCAACATTGTCTTACTTTGTCGGTAACAGTAACTCGTAGAAATGCCATTCACACTGAAAGAGGAATGACCAATCCCTTAACTTGATTATGTACAACTACCTGAGGGCAAATCAGTTTTGGAATCTCAGTTTTGAGTTGGGGCTCATCCAATTTGTTCCAGGACTTCTCAATAGACAGATCCTCGAGGAAGACCATCGACCCCTACTCAGATGATGTCGCCGACACACGTGACGACTTCTGGATCGTCATGCACGAACTCAGCATTGCCTATCAGTGCGCTTGTGAGTCTTAACTTGCCTATCAGTGTGTTTGTCAGTCAAACATTGCCTATTAGTGTGTTTGTCTGTCAAATATTGCCTATCAGTGTGTTTGTCAATCAAACATTGCCTATCAGTGTGTATGTCTGTCAAACATTGCCTATCAGTGTGTTTGTCAGTCAAACATTGCCTGTCGGTGTGTTTGTCAGTCGAACATTGCCTATCAGTGTGTATGTCTGTCAAACATTGCCTATCAGTGTGTTTGTCAGTCAAACATTGCCTGTCGGTGTGTTTGTCAGTCGAACATTGCCTATCAGTGTGTTTGTCTGTCAAATATTGCCTGTCAGTGTGTTTGTCAGTCAAACATTGCCTATCAGTGTGTATGTCTGTCAAACATTGCCTATCAGTGTGTTTGTCAGTCAAACATTGCCTGTCGGTGTGTTTGTCAGTCGAACATTGCCTATCAGTGTGTTTGTCTGTCAAACATTGCCTATCAGTGTGTTTGTCAGTCAAACATTGCCTGTCGGTGTGTTTGTCAGTCGAACATTGCCTATCAGTGTGTTTGTCTGTCAAATATTGCCTGTCAGTGTGTTTGTCAGTCAAACATTGCCTATCAGTGTGTTTGTCTGTCAAACATTGCCTATCAGTGTGTTTGTCAGTCAAACATTGCCTATCAGTGTGTTTGTGAGTTAAAAATAATCTTTGGGTGTGTTTGTCAGTCGAACATTGCCTACCAGTGTGTTTGTGAGTCAAACATTGCCTATGTGCGTGTTTGTCAGTCAAACATTGCCTATCAGTGTGTTTGTGAGTTGAAAATTATCTTTGGGTGTGATTGTCAGTCGCACATTGCCTACCAGTGTATTTGTGAGTCAAACATTGCCTATGTGCGTGTTTGTGAGTCGAACATTGCCTACCAGTGTGTTTGTGAGTCGAACATTGCCTACCAGTGTGTTTGTGAGTCGAACATTGCCTATGTGCGTGTTTGTCAGTCAAACATTGCCTATCAGTGTGTTTGTGAGTTGAAAATTATCTTTGGGTGTGTTTGTGAGTCGAACATTGCCGTAGAGTGCGTTTGTCAATCGAACAATTCCTATCATCATGTTTGTGAGTCGAACATTGCCTATGTGCGTGTTTGTCAGTCAAACATTGCCTATCAGTGTGTTTGTGAGTTGAAAATTATCTTTGGGTGTGTTTGTGAGTCGAACATTGCCTACCAGTGTGTTTGTGAGTCGAACATTGCCTATGTGCGTGTTTGTCAGTCAAACATTGCCTATCAGTGTGTTTGTCAGTCAAACATTGCCTGTCGGTGTGTTTGTCAGTCGAACATTGCCTATCAGTGTGTTTGTCTGTCAAACATTGCCTATCAGTGTGTTTGTCAGTCAAACATTGCCTGTCGGTGTGATTGTCAGTCGCACATTGCCTACCAGTGTATTTGTGAGTCAAACATTGCCTATGTGCGTGTTTGTGAGTCGAACATTGCCTACCAGTGTGTTTGTGAGTCGAACATTGCCTATGTGCGTGTTTGTCAGTCAAACATTGCCTATCAGTGTGTTTGTGAGTTGAAAATTATCTTTGGGTGTGTTTGTGAGTCGAACATTGCCGTAGAGTGCGTTTGTCAATCGAACAATTCCTATCATCATGTTTGTGAGTCGAACATTGCCTATGTGCGTGTTTGTCAGTCAAACATTGCCTATCAGTGTGTTTGTGAGTTGAAAATTATCTTTGGGTGTGTTTGTCAGTCGAACATTGCCTGCCAGGGTGTTTATGAGTCGAACATTGCCTATGTGCGTGTTTGTCAGTCAAACATTGCCTATCAGTGTGTTTGAGAGTTGAAAATTATCTTTGGGTGTGTTTGTCAGTTGAACATTGCCTACCAGTATGTTTGTGTGTCTAAATTGCCTTCCCGTGTGTTTGTGAATTGCAAATTTTCTATGGTCAGTTTGTCAGTAGAACATTGCCTACCAGTGTGTTTGTGAGTCAAACATTGCCTATGTGCGTGTTTGTCAGTCAAACATTGCCTATCAGTGTGTTTGTCAGTTGAACATTGCCTATCAGTGTGTTTGTGAGTCAAACATTGCCTATGTGCGTGTTTGTGAGTCAAACATTGCCTATGTGCGTGTTTGTCAGTCAAACATTGCCTATCAGTGTGTTTGTCAGTTGAACATTGCCTACCAGTGCGCTTGTGTGTCTAAATTGCCTTCTCGTGTGTTTGTGAATTGCAAATTTTCTATGGTCAGTTTGTCAGTAGAACATTGCCTACCAGTGTGTTTGTGAGTCAAACATTGCCTAAGTGCGTGTTTGTCAGTCAAACATTGCCTATCAGTGTGTTTGAGAGTTGAAAATTATCTTTGGGTGTGTTTGTCAGTTGAACATTGCCTACCAGTGTGTTTGTGAGTCAAACATTGCCTACCAGCGTGTTTGTCAGTCTAACATTACCTATCAGTGCGCTTGTGAGTCTAAACTTGCCTATCAGTGTGTTTGTCAGTCGAACATTGCCTACCAGTGTGTTTGTGTGTCTAAATTGCCTTCCCGTGTGTTTGTGAATTGCAAATTTTCTATGGTCAGTTTGTCAGTAGAACATTGCCTACCAGTGTGTTTGTGAGTCGAACATTGCCTATGTGCGTGTTTGTCAGTCAAACATTGCCTATCAGTGTGTTTGTCAGTTGAACATTGCCTATCAGTGTGTTTGTGAGTCAAACATTGCCTATGTGCGTGTTTGTGAGTCAAACATTGCCTATGTGCGTGTTTGTCAGTCAAACATTGCCTATCAGTGTGTTTGTCAGTTGAACATTGCCTACCAGTGCGCTTGTGTGTCTAAATTGCCTTCTCGTGTGTTTGTGAATTGCAAATTTTCTATGGTCAGTTTGTCAGTAGAACATTGCCTACCAGTGTGTTTGTGAGTCAAACATTGCCTAAGTGCGTGTTTGTCAGTCAAACATTGCCTATCAGTGTGTTTGAGAGTTGAAAATTATCTTTGGGTGTGTTTGTCAGTTGAACATTGCCTACCAGTGTGTTTGTGAGTCAAACATTGCCTACCAGCGTGTTTGTCAGTCTAACATTACCTATCAGTGCGCTTGTGAGTCTAAACTTGCCTATCAGTGTGTTTGTCAGTCGAACATTGCCTACCAGTGTGTTTGTGTGTCTAAATTGCCTTCCCGTGTGTTTGTGAATTGCAAATTTTCTATGGTCAGTTTGTCAGTAGAACATTGCCTACCAGTGTGTTTGGGAGTCAAACATTGCCCATGTGCGTGTTTGTCAGTCGAACAGTGCCTGTGAGTGCGTGTGTCAATCGAACAATTCCTATCAGCGTGTTTGTCAGTCGAACTTTGCCTACCAGTGTGTTTGCGGTCGAACAGTTTCTACCTGCGTGCTAGTCAGTCGAACATTGCCTGTCGGTGTGTTTGTCAGTCGAACATTGCCTGTCGGTGTGTTTGTCAGTCGAACATTGCCTACCAGTGTGTTTGTCAGTCGAACATTGCCTACCAGTGTGTTTGTCAGTCGAACATTGCCTACTAGTGTGTTTGCAATTCGAACATTGCAAGTGGATCTTTGCTTCTGTTTGGAAGGCGAAAATTGTCTACTGTGGTTGTGTTTTTTTCTTGAACTTATAAGACGATAATTTTTGTTGTGTATACATGACTTGTTCAACATAAGACTTCACGCAAAAGTCACATTCATAGCACACATTGAGAACACAGATCGTAAAAGTTGACTTAAAATGTCTGTCATCTAGCCAGGTGCAATGGCGCCCCTCCAACCTGCTCCAACGGCGGCTATGCCGGCATCTACAACGACGCATGCAGCTGCATCTGTCCGAAAGGCCTCGACCCTGCAACATCGTGTGCTACATTACAGTCAGGAGGTACTTAGTACTGCAGCACTAACATTATCTCGACATACGCGTAGTCATGTGCTTGTAATGCAAGTTATTTGACAGAATTCAGTACTATTACGATCGACCGGCACTGGTCGATCTTTATCCTCGATTATGTTTGGCATCTTTGTTGTATGATAATAATAAGCAATCAAGGCCCAATCGCTATTCCATCATTAATTCTGAAGTGACCTCTCAATCTTTCTTATCGATATTTTCCACAGTTATCTGCATATAAGTGTAATCTTATTTGGAACCCCATATTTGGGATCTGACTTAAAACGCTATATCGAGGGTATTTATGAGATTGATTGTCTCTCGTTTGGACATCCCCAGCAGTTGTCCCTCGTATGGACATCCCACACAGTTGCCCCTTGTATGGACATCCCACACAGTTGTCCCTCTTATGGACATCCCACACAGTTGCCCCTTGTATGGACATCCCACACAGTTGCCCCTTGTATGGACATCCCACACAGTTGCCCCTTGTATGGACATCCCACACAGTTGCCTCTTGTATGGACATCCCACACTGTTGTCCCTCTTATGGACATCACACACAGTTGCCCCTCGTATGGACATCCCACACAGTTGTCCCTCTTATGGACATCACACACAGTTGTCCTCGTATGTACATCCCACTCAGTTGCCCCTTGAATATGGACATCCCCAGCAGTTGTCACTCGTATGGACATCCCACACAGTTGCCCCTTGTATGGACATCACACACAGTTGTCCCTCTTATGGACATCACACACAGTTGTCCTCGTATGTACATCCCACTCAGTTGCCCCTTGAATATGGACATCCCACACAGTTGTCCCTTGTATGGACATCCCACACAGTTGCCCCTTGTATGGACATCCCACACAGTTGACCCTTGTATGGACATCCCCAGCAGTTGTCCTCGTATGGACATCCCACACAGTTGTCCCTTGTATGGACATCCCACACAGTTGACCCTTGTATGGACATCACGCACAGTTGTCCCTTGTATGGACATCACGCACAGTTGTCCCTTGTATGGATATCCCACACAGTTGTCCCTCGTATGGACATCCCACACAGTTGTCCTCGTATGGACAACCTCACAGTTGTCCCTCGTATGAACATCCCACACAGTTGTCCTCGTATGGACATCCCACACAGTTGTCCCTCGTATGGACATCCCACACAGTTGTTCTCGTATGGACATCCCACACAGTTGTCCCTTGTATAGACATCCCACACAGTTGTCCTCGTATGTACATCCCACACAGTTGTCCTCGTATGTACATCCCACACAGTTGTCCTCGTATGGACATCCCACACTTGTGTCCCTTGTATGGACATCCCCAGTTGCCCCTCGATAGGAGGGATGGGTTTAAGGAGTCCGATATTCAGGGTAATGCTCGTCTACATCCTTCTCCTGTCTACATCCTTCTCCTGTCTACATCCTTCTCCTGTCTACATCCTTCTCCTGACTTGCAGTGCAGGGCGGTGTGTTCACGCTGACTCCCTCCAACCCGGAAGTACAGTTCACTACCCCGGGTGCTCCCGACACGGGTATTGCAGCCAACTCTAAGTACATGTGGATCTTCTGGGTACGTTCCGGTCATTAGTTCATTATTTTTACAGCATTAACAAAAATCACTTTCATAAGAACGTAGACGTCGTCCGCCTTTTATAGGGGTGTTCATGTTCACAGGCGTCATTTCAGTTTCCACTTCCTGCACGTGAGAAGCCTGACGGTTAAAGCGTTCGCTTGTCCTCACGTGACTATCCAGTTTGTAGTTCTTCTCGATGCTGTTCGCAGAATGCTGTTGTTGCGCTGCGGAAACCAGCATACACGTTTTTAATATATTTTCAGATATGCATACAGACCCCTCACTGATAACAAAAACGTTCATTAATCCATTATTGCAGGCGCCTGACGATGGCTCTAAGATCGTGGTTGACATTGAGCATATATTCGCGGCGGGGACCAGCTCATCCTGCATCTCCACGCTCCGCATCTCCCGGGATCTCATCGGCCAATCGGGCAGCGAGTTAGTATTAAGTACAGTCTCGCATCAAATATTTGTTAGTCCACTTGGCACCTCAGTGTCCACTCAGTGGACTGCAAGCAACCATTGCGGCATAGTTTAAGCTAGAACTGATTATCTTGACATTCACAGAACGAATATTAAACATTAATTTTATATTTCCCAGACTAAAGATTGACCGTTCTGACAAAAGATTATTTAAATGGCATGTTGTTAATGGCTGCACAATGAGAAACATTTTTCACTTTCGTCACCTTGCGCTTCTTCAACCTGTCAGCTTCTATAATGATGATAACTACCCTGGTTGGCTGGTTGGTTGGTTCATTGTTTAACGCAATATTCCAGCGGTCGTCTGTAAATAATCGAGTCTGCACCAGACAGTCCAGTGATTAATATCATGAACATCTATCCATGCAATTGGGATCGATGACATGCATCAACCAAGTCAGCGAGGCTGACCACCCGATCACGGGAGTCGCCTCTTACGACAAGAATAGTTGCCTTTACGGCAAGCATGGGTTGCTGAAGACCTATATATTCTACCCGGATCTTCGCGGGTCAACTACCCTGGTGTTGCTGCCGAGAACAAAATGCAGAATGCATGAAATAGGAACTATTTGCTTGTTTGATGTCCTTGTCCATGTGTTTGATAGGTGTGTTAAATATAGATGTCAAATACATCTTGCTTGTCGAAAGAGACGACTAATGGATTCGGCGGTTACACTGTGTGACCTGTCTGTGTGTCATCAGGCCCTAATAGTGTGTGACCTGGATGGTTGTGTGTCATGCCCTTCTTGTGTGTGACATGGCTGATTGTGTGTCATGCCCTGATGGTGTGTGACCTGAATGATTGTGTGTCAGCAATCCCTGATGCAAGGGAGGTAATGTCTTCTGCAGATACTGCGGTTCTGAGTTTGGCAAATCTATCATCTCCCTTGGCAACGTTGTGGTCATCGAACTGGACGCCGGTACCTCCGCCAACAGCTACATCAAGGGCACCGCCACCCTGCAATCAGGTAACTCCCACCCTCCTCCCTTTTCCTCCCGCATTAAGTTTAAACACTGTGACATATTCAAAGCAACCTTGAACCAAGCCCAAATTGCTGCGATCAAGATGGCAACCAGGCACAACAAATACACTTTAACGATAAAGTTTGAAAAAAAGATTAACTAACTGTTGTGATGGCTGCAACTGACACACATGGACATCCGTGAACCTTCCATGTGTGATTGTGATAAGGTGAGATGAGGTGTGTGTGTGGCTGCTTGTACTAGTCCGGGCTAAAGCCGACTTTAAAGTGCTAGTCCACGTAAATACCATGCCGCAGTTTAACATGAATACCCCACTCGAACAGAATATACTGACTTAAAACCGACCAGCCCTTGTTTTAGCCCCTTAATGCCGAGCGCCAGGCAGGGTAACAACACGTACCATCTTTTAACGTCTTTTAGTATGACGGGGATCGAACCTCCGACCTTCGGCTCTCCGGGCGGACGCTCTACCACTACTCACCGGAGGCGGTCAATATTGATAAGGAGGTTCGTGACAAACGGTAACAAGTATGACACCAATGATATAACAATACCATATTCAGTTGATGACTGGTGCTACGACCTCGGTGACAATGGAGAGACCTACAACGACAACGTCAACGTGACTGTCACCAACGCCGCCTGCCTGCCCTGGTCCCAGGCGTCCAGCTGCGACTACAACCCAGCTGAGATGACGTGAGTAGCAACTCTTTCCTTCGACAGGGTGGTCCAGTCATCCTCGTGGTGGGTCGGGCTGAGATTTACCCAAGGGCACGGGTGGTCGAGTCATCTAAATAGTGGGTCGGACTGAGATTTACCCCAGGGCACGAGTGGTCTAGTCATCTAAATAGTGGGTCGGACTGAGATTTACCCCAGGGCACGTGTGGTCTAGTCATCTAAATAGTGGGTCGGACTGAGATTTACCCCAGGGCACGGGTGGTCTAGTCATCTAAATAGTGGGTCGGACTGAGATTTACCCCTGGGCACGAGTGGTCTACTCATCTAAATAGTGGGTCGGACTGAGATTTACCCCAGGGCACGGGTGGTCTAGTCATCTAAATAGTGGGTCGGACTGAGATTTACCCCAGGGCACGGGTGGTCCAGTCATCTAAATAGTGGGTCGGACTGAGATTTAGCCCAGGGCACGGGTGGTCCAGTCATCTAAATAGTGGGTCGGACTGAGATTTACCCCAGGGCACGGTCGGTCCAGTCATCTAAGTAGTGGGTCGGACTGAGATTTACCCCAGGGCACGGGTGGTCTAGTCATCTAAATAGTGGGTCGTGCGGAGATTTACCCCAGGGCACGAGTGGCCTAGTCATCTAAATAGTGGGTCGGACTGAGATTTACCCCAGGGCACGGGTGGTCTACTCATCTAAATAGTGGGTCGGACTGAGATTTAGCCCAGGGCACGGGTGGTCCAGTCATCTAAATAGTGGGTCGGACTGAGATTTACCCCAGGGCACGGGTGGTCCAGTCATCTAAATAGTGGGTCTGACTGAGATTTACCCCAGGGCACGGGTGGTCTAGTCATCTAAATAGTGGGTCGGACTGAGATTTACCCCAGGGCACGGGTGGTCTAGTCATCTGAATAGTGGGTCGGGGTGAGATTTACCCCAGGGCACGGGTGGTCCAGTCATCTAAATAGTGGGTCGGACTGAGATTTAGCCCAGGGCACGGGTGGTCTAGTCATCTAAATAGTGGGTCGTGCGGAGATTTACCCCAGCGCATGGGGTGGTCTAGTCATCTAAATAGTGGGTCGGGCTGAGATTTAACCCAGGGCACGGGTGGTCTAGTCATCTAAATAGTGGGTCGTGCGGAGATTTACCCCAGCGCACGGGTGGTCTAGTCATCTAAATAGTGGGTCGGGCTGAGATTTACCCCAGGGCACGGGTGGTCCAGTCATCTAAATAGTGGGTCGGGCTGAGATTTACCCCAGGGCACGGGTGGTCTAGTCATCTAAATAGTGGGTCGTGCGGAGATTTACGCCAGGGCACGGGTGGTCTAGTCATCTAAATAGTGGGGAGGGATGATTATTACCCAAGACCACGGGCGTTCCAGTGGTCTGAAAAGCCACAATTCGCTGTGCAGAGTTACATCCCTTAGACGTGTCACGCCCAGCGGATCGTTGATTCGTCCCAGTTAAGAACCTTGGGTTGTCAGCTCATCTATGATAAGCGTTACTTCTGCATGTGTAGGCTTTCCTTGCACACTAAGCAGACGCACCGTCATTAAAATGCATTGCTGGTGTAAGCAGCTTCAAACCAACTCAGGGGCGGTCGGGTAGCCTAGTGGTTAAAGCGTTCGCTCGTCACGCCGAAGCCCCGGGTTCGATTACCCACATGGGTACAATGTGTGAAGCCCATTTCTGGTGTCCCCCGCCGTGATATTGCTGGAATAATGCTAAAAGCGGCTTAAAAACCATACTCACTCACTCAAACCACATCACCTACTACCCGGTGTTGATGTACGCGGCGTCAGTTTACGCGGTGTTAATGTACCCGGTGTCGATGTACCCGTCGTTGATGTGACGACGTCTACTTCCCCTTCAGCCTGAGGGCCGACTACAGCGGCAACAACTGCAGGAACCCCGAGATGGTGCTTCCCCAGCCCTGGTGCTATACCTCCATCGACCAGTACAGCTGTAAGATCTCCCTCTGTGACGTGTGTCAATACGGTAAGTTCTGTTATACAAAACACCACCCTTACGACGCCCCCCATCACCTAACATTCCCGCTGCTACTCGGGCACAAACACCTACAAACATGCACGACTCAAATCTACCCACAACCCACGTCACGACGCCTCATAGGCCCACACACATACCACACACCACACTACACAAGACAACAAACTCTCCATCCTCATCCACACACTACAAACAACAAACATCATATCCATACCACACACAACACAATAAACACCCAATCCACAACCACACACTACACAACACAAACCCCATCCACACACAAACACACCACACAAAACACCCCCCCCCCCCCCCCACACACACACACACACACGACACGAAACACAACACAACAAACACCCTATCCACACCAACATACAACCCATCATGCACCACGCACAACACACCGTTCCTGCACCTACACACCAAACACACCAAACACAGCAATCTACACGCCACGCACCACACACGCATCCACACCAACACACCCCACACCAATACAACAACACACAACAAACCACACACCATACACCACACACCAACACAACAACACACAGCAAACCACGCACCACACATCCCATCCACACCAACACACAACACACCATACACCACACACCAACACAACAACACACAGCAAACCACGCACCACACATCCCATACACACAAACACACCACACACCCAAACCGACCATTCACACCAACACACAACACATCCCACACCATACACCACACACCAACACAACAACACACAGCAAACCACGCACCACACATCCCATCCACACAAATACACCACACACCCAAACCGACCATTCACACCAACACACAACACACCAACACAATAACACACAGCAAACCACGCACCACACATCCCATCCACACAAATACACCACACACCCAAACCGAGCATTCACACCAACACACAACACACCAACACAACAACACACAGCAAACCACGCACCAGATATCCCATCCACACAAACACACCACACACCACACACCCAAACCCCTCCACACCAACACACAACGCACCACACACCAACACAACAACTAACCACGCAACCCACCCACACCAACACACCACACACCATACACAATACACCAACACATAACACACCACAGACAACACAACCCACCACCCACCCACCCCATCTACATCCACAAACCACACTTCCCCATCTACACCCTTCACACACACAATATTCCAATGTCATGTAATATTGTTTCAGGCAGGACCTACGACAGCTACGACAACTGCGACATGCTCATTGCAAGCAACACCGACTACTGCAGTACAGCCGACTCACAGTATGGTTGTCGAAAAACATGCGAGGAACTGGGTAACCTATATCTCTTTACTTCCACTTATTGTCGACCCGTGAAGATCCGGGGTAGAATAGGTCTTCACAACCCATGCTTGCCGTAAAAGGCGACTATGCTTGTCGTAAGAGGCGACGGGATCGTGAGGTCAGGCTCGCTGACTTGGTTGATGCATGTCATCGATTCCAGTTGCGTGGATCGATGCTTAGGATATTAATCACTGGATTGTCTGGTCCAGACTCGATTATTTACAAACTGCCGTCATATAGCTGGAATATTGCTGAGTGCGGCGTTAAACTACAAACCAATCCAAAATCCACTTATTGTCCTGTTTGCGGGGTGAGTGAGTGGAGTAAGATACTACACCGCTTTCAACACTATTACATCCACATGACGGCGGAGAACAACAAAATTGAGCTTCATATATTGTTCTCATATAGGGACTCGAACCCTGGTCTTCGCCGTGGTGAGCACATGCTTTAACCACTGGGCTACCACACTGCTACTAAGCCTTTGATAAAGAGTTATGCTTGTTTGCCTGACTAAAAATGTCTCGAGAAATAAGGTGCTCACATCACCTGTCGGCAAAGTAGCCGCTGGGTCAATCACCTGAGCCAGGTAGGTGATGGTGGATCCTTTGATCCCGCCTACAATCACGTGTGAACAGGTGACATATATGTACTGTGAGGAATCAGCTTTGTATCCATGATTTTTACAGCAACAATCACAACTACATCGTCTACAACGACTACTCCTACCACTACGACAGCAACTACCACTACGTCTACAACTACTTCACCAACAACTACTACTCCTACTACATCAACAACTACTCCTACTACTACGACAGCAACAACCACTACGTCTACCACTACTACACCAACAACTACTACTTCTACTACAACATCAACAACTACTACTTCTACAACTACTTCTACTACAACAACTCCAACGGCAACAACAACGACCCCAACTCCTCCGACGAAGGTGTGTCCTTCTGGCTACTCACTACACTCCGGGGATGGCCAGTGCTATAAATTCTTCACTACTAAAAAGAATTACGGCAAGGCCAAGACCCAGTGTGCCCTAGACGGGGGACTTATCACGTCTGTTGAGTCGGCCGCCGTCAACCTGTTCCTGGTCCAACTCAGAGCTGCCGCAGGGTAGGTCCACCCGATCACCACACACCAACCTCCCCCTACCCAAAAGAAAAAAGAAAAAGAAGAAAAAAGAATCCTACACACCTACCTCCATTCACACACAAAGTTCTACCCCCATCCACACATCCCCAATCCCCGCACCCCTTCCTCAGTCCACACACACACACACACCTACCCCCATCCACTACGCTATGACTGCATATGAATTCGCGATGACACGATGGGTACATATGAATGGTCGATGACGCGATGGGTACATATGAATGGACGATGACGTGATGGGTACATATGAATGGACAATGACGTGATGGGTACATATGAATGGACGATGACGTGATGGGTACATATGAATGGACGATGACGCGATGGCTACATATGAATGGACGATGACGTGATGGGTACATATGAATGGACGATGACACGATGGCTACAAAAGATACCAGAATATTTTTGGTCACTGCTACAAGACATACAATTTGTTTTTTTCGACGGAAAAGTTGAAAATTCTTTTATTAATATAAAATACTCGTCCCATAGCGGGCCCACGCTGTCAGCAGCTCCATCCAGTAGCTCCTGGGATACAATTTCGACTTGAACATGAATGAATGTCATTGAGAGAAAAAACATTAAAGGCTGCACTAATAATAGCAGTAAGAACTAACCGAGCGGGATCAACGCTTCCTTTCTTTGTCAGTGTCAATATGACTTCAATGAGGCAACGATACAGTAAACCCTCTTTAAACTGGAACCTCCTGACTGCGATTAATATCGTCTACATATATAAAATGACATTTCAATCACGATTATTCATTAATCCGGAAACTATTTAATCTGCATGATATAACTCGGAACAGAGCTGTCCGGATGCGCGAGGGGTAAAACATCCTCCCGTTACCTCTCCCTTGATATTTTTAAAACCATAAGCCCTGGCTAGCATTAAAAAAATCATAGATGTAGGGTTAGGTCACCCTGCGATAGGCAAATTGTGAAGCAGAGGTACGGGCGGAATGACTGACTGACTGAGTATGGTTTTACGCCGCTTTTAGCAATATTCCAGCAATATCACGGCGGGGGACACCAGAAATGGGCTTCACACATTGTACCCATGTCGGGAATCGAACCCGGGTCTTCGGTATGACGAGCGAACGCTTTAACCACTAGGCTACCCGACCGCCCCCGGGCGGAATGAACTTTGGTGATGAACTTTTATTGAGCCACAGTGTTTTGTAGTTCCAGATTCCCCGCCTCTCCGATGTTCATCAACGCTCGGTGGCACAAGAGGAAGCAGTACTGGTACTGGGTGCCCTTGGGCAAGAGGGTCAAGGTTGCCAGCCTCTATACCAACTGGAACTCCAATAACCGTAAGGCAGACGGGCACTTGCCGTGTTCACCATTATGTTTGTGTATGTTTGTCGGTTAGCGACGAAGTCAGCAATATTCCAGCTAAATGCCGGCCGTGTGTAGGTATTCGAGTCTGGACCAGAGAATCCAGTGATCCAGGAGTTATTATGAGGCCACGGCGTTGGGGTACAATGGCATGCAATCAATCAAGTCAGCGAGATTGACCATTCTGTCCAATCGGTTTGTTTGTTTGTTGTTTAACGCCCACTCAGCAATATTCCAGCTATATGACGGCGGTCTGTAAGTAATCTAGTCTGGACCAGAAAATCCAGTGGTTGACATCATGAGCATCGATCCACGCAATTGGGATACGATGGCATGCATCAACCAAGTCAGCGAGTCTGACAACCCGATCCCGTTAGTCGCCCCTTACGACAAAAATAGTCGCCTTTTACGGCAAGCATGGGTTGCTGAAGACCTATACTACCCTGGATCTTCACGGGCCCTCCAATCAGTTCCCTATCACAGTATGCATTGGATGCAGTGGAATTATCCTGCCTAAGAATCACAGAGGGTCCAGTTTGGGCGCTCAAATTATGATCCTTGACTTGATGTTTTGTTGATCTGTCTGTGATACTTCTAAAACAGAGTAAATTTGTATTCACTGCCCCACTGACAGAGGAAGGTGTGTACAGGTTAATTTTTGTTTGTTTGTTCTTTAACGCCTCACTCAGCAATATTCCAGCTATATGACTACAGTCTATAAATAATCGAGCTTGGACCAGACAATCCAGTGATTGACATCTTGAACAAGATCTACGTAACTGGGACACGATGACAGTAAAGGTTGTTGATGTAATTCAGTGTGACACGTATAACGTCGTTGTCCTCAGCCGACGGCCCCGACGGTGATGCGGCTGCAAAGATCAAGTGTGCGGTGATGGAGCCAGCGTCCGCCGGGAATCAGTGGGTCCCTAGCAGGTGTAACAAGAACTACTTCATCTGTAGGACCAACACCGTCTCCGCCGTTCTCAGTGGTCTGTGTAACATATACTCTCACACTCCCCAACAAACACTCATTTCCTGCCCCACCCCCAACTCTCGCAGCAATCATTACATCATGTATCGATGCAAGTGTGAATCACGATACACCAACTACTGACAGAAATAGTTGGTAAAGTTTTCTAGTGAATTTCACTGTTCACCCATACACTAAAATGTTTGTGGACTTTACTAAGCAGTTAGTACTTTCTTTTACCAATTTGGCTAGTAGTGTCCTGTCGTAGATTAGTTAAGTTTACTGATCAGTTAGTTCAGATTACTATCCATCTTTCAAAGAACTACTGTTTTAAGTAGTGAATTATACTAATTTAATAAGTGATATTTACTAATCATCTGTCCATGATTTACTTATTGCAATGGCTACTAAGCATGTGGTAAATATTACTGCACTTTAAAGGGCAAGTTAAGTCAACATGGCAACAAGGCAGATTTTAATACTTTAGGGTATACTTCATTACAAATGCTTGACCAAACTTAAATTTAAACAACGGAAATAGCATACAACAGACGAAACAAGAAAGGTGAAATCGTTCCGAAACGAAAAATTCCGCCTCTGAGGGGATTCCCCTTATTGGTGTTGAACCGGGTTCCCGAAGTTTGACGCCCTGCGCAATTTTAACGGTCATTACGATCGAGCCAATGCCCAGTCTGCTTCCGCCTTATGTTATCGTAAGTAAATCAGTTACAAGTTCACGATGCAAAAACATATCATAGGTCAAACATAAATTATTTTAATTATATGTCATTGTACTCTGTTTTACTACCAGAGAAGTTGCCCAAAGGGGCCTTTATCCCACAAAACCCTTTGTTAGACAAGTCATTCAGAAGGCTGGTTTTATGTTGTACCATTATGTACCCTAACAATGCCAGGATCCGCTCATTGACGTTTCGAAATCCAGTTCCGACCCGATATTGATCCTTACTCTGTGGAGCATTCCCGCACTGGTAGCTTTCACCCAAGTCCATGTTAAGTATTTCCGTTATACCGTCACCCCCGGCTTCATCCAGTGTAGCAATCCCATCCTCGCTATAACGTGACACGCCGTGATTTAACTTATTTACTGTTGAATGTGGCGCTAAACCTATCTCACTCACCCATTCCAGCCAGAAGTGACCCCCAGTCTGCCAAATGCCGTGACCTCAGGTCGGAGTGTCAGAAGTTCCTGCACGACGACCCTGCCATGTGTAACAAGAAGCTCGCTAAGTCCTGCCGGGCCACATGCGGCCGGTGCAACCCTAACGGTAATGCTGCCTCTTCATCAGTTATCAATGCGTTCTCCGTTAGTATCTCCATCTGGAACGCGTCACAGACAGTTTTGTTGATAGAAGTAATGTATGTATTAAGCATTATAATATTTGGAATTTTCAGAAACACAGAATGAGAACCTTCCCTTTTTGTATTGATTGTACTGATGCCGCTTATAATTCCAGTTTGAATTTACACGATATTCTGATACACCCAATGGTAAAATCTTTTAGGATCCAGGACTGTTTTGCATAGCGACCCCTCGTGAGGTGAAATTGGGTTTAACGTCGCGTTCAAGATTATTGCACTTATATAGCGACGTGCATCTACGTGTGTGTGTTTGTCTGGCTGCTTGTACTAGTCCGGACTGATGCCGATTTATAGTGATAGCTCACTTAGATACCATGCCGCAGTTTAACATGAATACCCCACTCAGACACAGTATACTGACTCCGAGCCGACCAGTCCTTGTTTTAGCCCCTTAATGTCGAGCGCCAGACAGGGTAACAACAAGTACTATCTTTTGACGTCTCTTGGTATGACGTGACCGGGGATCGAACCCCGGACTTTCCGCTCTACCACTAGACCACGGAGGCGGTCAGACCCCTTGTGTGCATAGAACATGCCTAAATAGTATAAATACCATTTCTTTTCTGTTTAGTTATATATTAGTTATATTACCACTCTTTTAACCCAGGCGGTCTCATACCCGTGAAAATCCGGGGTAGAATAGGTCTTCAGCAACCTATGCTTGCCGTAACAGGCGACTATGCTTGTCGTAAGAGGCGACTAACGGGATCAGGTGGTCAGGCTCGCTGCCTTGGTTGATGCATGTCATCGTATCCTAATTGCATGGATCGATGCTCATGATGTTAATCACTGGATTGTCTAGCCCAGACTCGATCCTTTTAACAAACCGCCGCCTTATAGCTGAAATATTGCTGAGTGCGGCGTTAAACAACAAACAAACAAACCTGTCTCATGTACATGTATAACCTCCATCTTCCCAACAGGAATGACATGCGCAGTGACGACACCTTCCGCTGCTGATCACGTGTCTTTGAAGTCGTCCGAGACTCAGCTGACCCCTGGTCAGTTCGTGAAGTATCAGTGTAGGAAGAGAAACGTCCTCAAGTCCGGAGCGTTGAGACGGGCCTGCACGCTGACCGGGGCGCTGACCGGCGATGCTCCGACCTGCACAGGTACGGTGTAAAGCCATTACCCTTAACTCCACTCGCTGAGGAACTTTACTGCTCAAAGATGGATCTTCAGCAACCTATGCGTGTCGTAAGAATCGACTAACGGGATCGGGTGGTCAGACTCGCTGACTTGGTTGATGCATGTCATTGTGTCCCAATTTTGTAGATCGATGCTCAGGCACATGATATCAATCACTGGATTGTCTGGCTCGATTACTTAGAGACCGCCGTCATATAGCTGGAATATTACTGAGTGCGGCGTTAAACAACACCAAACAGCAATATTCTCACTTATCTTTGATTTCCTATCCACAGGGTAAACTTGGACATATAAACTCCCTTAGTTGGCTACTTTTGAAAATGTATTATCTATATATCTTGTAATTTTCTATATCCATTTATTTTCGACACGTTGGTAGCAATGCTCCGTCAAATTTAGAATTTTGCATATTGTGTTAACAAATCACTGATTTAGCTTCAGAAATCCTTAAGAAATACATATCACAGGATGGTTTTTCTCCCACTTGTCTGATTATCATTCAGAAAAACTCTTTTTGACACCACCGTGGAGAGCCAGAAATTTCATTTTGGTCTAAAAAATGGCAACAAATGAAAAAGGGGAACATTTTAAGAAAATGTTTATTTGAATAAAACCATAATATTTTAGTAGCATAACAGCAGTAATCCAGGGCCAAGTTTGGTGCATATTCATCTAAACTGAATTTTGGGAATAGAAAAATGACTTTGAAATGTGGCGAAAATGTCCATTTTGGGGGTTAAGTTAATAATTTGTGACACATCTGAGCTTCCAGGCACCGTTTCTAGTACAGCATCAACTGTGCTAGTCCTGCACCATGACCGTGGAATATATTTATTTTATGAAAAAATAATAATCTAGAAATGCATACAAAAGCAAGTCTAGCCATCTCAAGCTAGCTCTATTCCACAGCATAGAGAATTGTTTTTATTTTTAGAGTCAAGAAGGATATTGTGTAATATAAGATTTCAGAGACTAAATGTTAGTCTACAACTGTGCCTGTCAGTATGGGCTTGAAATGTCTTACCTACAACAACAAAATATGAAAAGAAACATAAGGAGTCTGTATTAAACTTTCTTTTGTCTTTCAACAGTTCTTCACAGTACTCAAAGTCATTTTTTATGCTTTTTCTCTTTTTGTGCTGCCTCTTCCAATGTGCAAATAGAATCTTCCAAAGCTTCAGTTGACATTTTGATATATTCCTTTGAAGATTTCAGCTCTTGTTGGTTGTATTCAAATTTCTTCCCAATTTTCTTGACTTTTGAAGCATTTTTGGCCAGGCCGGTTTTAGTTTGAGCATGGGCACTCTCTTCTCTCCTGTTAAGGCTGAAATATTTTCCTCTCATATTTGGCTTGAGGGTTTCCAATTTGTCTCTTTACAGCAAATTCATCAGTGGCTCTTTTGAATTTTCTTTTTAAATTGTAATTTTCCCTTTCTAGAGATATCATTTTTTCTTTCTTGTTTTGCATTAGTGGGTTTAACTTGCTTACTTCATCCTTCAGACCTTCATGTCCAAGGCCTTACAATGTCATAATATGACCTCGCTCTCTCAGGAGTTTGTACTGGCAAAATGAAATGCTCAGCTCTATATTTTTCCTTAACTTGTCCTTTTTTCCTTTTATCTTCTTGCTGTATTCGGTGAAACTTACTCATTAAGGCATTAAAATTAAGCTGCTGAAGGGGAACATTAAAAACCTGTCCAACCCACGTAGCAAACATTTGACGGTTTCTGGGGGCAAATTTGTGAATTTTAAATACTAACCCATTTGTTTGAAATTTAGTCGGAGCTACACTCACATCAAGCTGTGCTTTCATGCTGTCAGTAAGTTGCAACTGTTCAATTAATGGGAACATTTTCCAAACCTTTTCTTTGCTTTTTTATATGCTATGTTTCTGGATCTTGATCTCAGCAATGAAAAGGAACCAGACCCACTACTACTACTAATACTGCTGAATTGAAAAAGTGATGCAATGTTTCTCGTGAAGAAATTTTTCGCTCACTAAGTTCACACTCAAAATGATCATGAAGCCACTGTGCAACCTTATTATTTTCTGCCAAACACAGAGCATGAATTGATGTTACAGATTCACAATCTCTCAATTTTCTGTAAGTATCAAGAAGATTATTCCAATCATACGATTGGTGTTCAATATTTCATACAAGTTTACTGTACTTTACATTAATTAAAACATACATTTAGTTACTTATTGTAACACACATACATGACATCTTAATTGTTCCTCCTACCTACGTTAAAACACATGACTTTGACAATGTGAAATGGTTCAGCCTGACAGTTATTTTAGTATTTTTAAAACTTAAAACTGTCAACGCAAAAAATACCTCAATGTCATAAATATATTCTCCAATACAACATTCTTACATATACTGCCTCAAATTACGAGGATTATTAAAAACAAATACTGTAGTGTTTGTGAAACATGTCCGAAGGGAAGTAACTGCGTAGTTATGTAAAAACTGCATACCGCTAATAGAAGTAGGGTGAGGTCCGATTTAATTATTTTTTGATATATTGTCCCTTATTAATTACGTCTACAACACACTGAAAATTATAACAAATGATTGCAGAAGAGAATAAACCTATTTACAATCGCGTATTCAGCTGTTTTGATAGTTTTGAGAATTACTGTTGACTTCATCAAAGTAACTCAACTTCGAAGAACATTCTAAAAATAGCAGCTTATGAAATACGCATGGAACCTTTACCCTAGTTTGTGATGTACGCTGATTTTCCCGCTTTCTGCGTTAATCAGTGAGTTTAGAGATGGGATTTTGAACCGACCCTCCGAGGTGTGGTAAACCAGCTTTGGGAATAATTGCAGGAAGAGTTACCTCCTCTTGCCATGAGCATTGCTAACGTTGGTTATGAATAATGATCATATTAGGAAGAGAATTTATGGATGTCACCTTTATTGTGAGGAACACAACGTTTGGAGTATATGCTTACTCCTTCAATATCATTCACCTGATGAAGGGACCCGTGAAGATCCGGGGTAGATTATAGGTCTTCAGCAACCCATGCTTGCCATAAAAGGCGACTATGCCTGTCGTAAGAGGCAAACTAACGGGATCGGGTGATCAGGCTCGCTGACATGGTTGATGCATGTCATCGTATTCCAATTGCTTTGATGCTTGCCGTAAAAGGTGACTATGCTTGTCGTAAAAGGCGACTAACGGGATCGGGTGGTCAGACTCGCTGACTAGGTTGATGCATGTCATCGATCCCAATTGCGTGGATCGATGCTCATGATATCAATCACTGGATTGTCTGGTCCAGACTCGATTATTTACAGACCGCCGTCATATAGCTGGAATATTGCTGAGTGCGGCGTTAAACAACAAACCAACCAACCAACCAACCAATTGCGTGGATCGATGCTCTTCATGTCAATCACTGGATTGTCTGGTTCAGACACAATTATTTACGGATCGCCGTCATATAGCTGGAATATTGTGAGTGGGGCGTAAAACAACAACAAACAAACAAACAAAATATATTCACATATATCTTTGATTTCATATCTACAGGATAAACTTGGACAGCTATCTTCCATTAGTTGGCTGCTTTTATATGTATTATCTATATGTTTGGTAAATTTCTGTATCCATTTATTTTCGACACGTTGGTTATGAATAATGATCATGTTAAGGAACAGAATTTATGGATGTCAACTTCTTTTAAGTGAGGAATACAACGTTTCGGAGTATATACTTCGAAACGTTGTGTTCCTCATAATAAAGACGTTGACATCCATAAATTCTCTTCCTTATGTGAATCACATCTAAATGCCTTTTAAAGACTTCATGATCATATAGGCATCTTCCCCTTCTGTAGATATATCTAACACTGTGTCGAGTGTGAACGGGCGGAAACTGGGGCCAAGGCTGAGTTTCCCAGCTGACTTCCAGCTGTACGGCAAGTCAGTCATCAGGCGCAATGGCCGGGTGTCGCAGTGGAAGGCTTTCTGCGCCACGGAGGGGGACGTTATCTTCATGGTCTTGAGGAAGAAGAGAAAGAGGTCAGCCTTTTGTTCCACAATTCATAGCGAGGATCTGAGTTTGGTTGAACGCATACAACAGACTTGACATAGTGAAGATTATTAAGAACACTTATTTGAAGAAGTTGTGTAATTGAAGCAACGATTAACCGTATTACTCTAATTACAAAAACACTATACACGGCTCTAAATACTTGATACATAGACACAAAATAAGCATTGGAGCGTTGTGCTGTGCAGGACGACTTTATGAAGCCGAACAAAAATTAACCGACCAACAATTGGTGAGGTGATCTTTCCTCCAAATCTATGTTATACTTCAGACTATAACCACACATTCAACAATTCATTCACTTGAATAATGTTACAAAATAAAATACATTCGCAGATTTAACAATAATGATGTCTGATGCAATTTCCTATTATGACTTGTTTTATATGTTCCCGTGGTTTTCAGGTGACCAGTTGACTTGCCTTTGCATGTGTTTGTGACGGCTGCCACCGGTGCGGCAGGATACGCTCACCCTTTCGCTAACACCTGGTATCGCCACTATGTGATAGTGATCCTTAAACACATTCTCATATATAATTTAGTTGGAATCCTACAATGTTAAAAGCAATTATGGAAAGGATTTGGTGGCTTTTTTCCAGGTCCGAGATCGTCGGTGTCAACAAGGTGAAGTGCATGAACGACCGCGTGATGACGTGGGATGTAGCCGAGGAGGAGCGTATCACCGTCCAGCCGGGGGACTACCTCGGGGCGGGGGACTTGGAAGGGGGTCATCTCCAGTATAGCTGGTGCGACGGGGGCAAGAAGATGGTGTATGACACGTACCTGGAATCCGAGCTTCGACCAGGAGAGACAGTCGCCATGGAGGGAGGAGAGTGCCTCGTTATTGAAATGGACGCTGTCATCGTTCCTCTGTAAATAGAGGCAGCCATTTTATGACTGTAACGCGCCAACCGAAATAAATATGGACTGTCCAAAGTTCGAGTGATTTAATTTGTTCCGAAGCTGTCACCTCTGCTTTACTGTCCCAGAGATATCAAATGTAACAACATCAAGTACTGGCTTAAAATATATGCCTCAAAGTGAGATTGACCAATCAGAGAGCAGAACTACTGACCCCACATGAGCCCGTATACCGTCAGTAAAAATCCAAGATGGTTGTTACTGACCTAATATGGGACGTATACCGTCAGTTACAGCCATTTTTGGATTTCACATGAACATTCTGGTAAAGAAATTCGTTATTGGATACTGTTTTGTGTTTAAATATAATTAATTTTGATGTGCAAGGACGTTAATGTTTTTTAATCACGTTCGTAACTTTAATATAGATTATATAAAGTTAAAATTATCAAAAAGGTTTAGCCTCTGAGGTTGGAGGAGTAGTCTCCCTTTGACCCTTAACGTCTTAGGTTGTACGTGTTAAGTTTTAAGTTTTAAGTTGTGACATGACATGTGCGACAAAGATACAAAACTTTTCGGCAAAATAAATTCGTTATGATGTCTTTAGTTGCCGTATACGGTGTCATATTAGATTAGCCGATAAATATTGGGCTCGGATGATATTTCTGCTAACCTAATATGACATCGTATACGGCAACTAAAGACACCATAACTAATAAATTCCAGCCCCGCTCCCTTTCGGGCCCACTCGGCTTATTCCGTATCTTCGTAGTACCTCGGGCAGCAATGGAGTATGGTATCACTGTGATCTGGACAACTCCTTATCCCGCTGCTAATAGTACGTACGATATGACGGCTGGTTTTGTATGACAGATTATTCTATGCATAATATTCTAATAATTATGCTTTATATTGAGAAAATAAACATTGGTTTGATGACAGAAGCAAACAGAAACAATGATAGAATGCCTCCAGGTTACACACAACCAAATGTTTTCCCATAGACTTCAATAGTAACGTTATGATTTTTTTAAAAATAACTAAGCATTCAACAGTTATTACCTGTACGTGTGTGCACAGTTTGGCCTTAGAGCAGCAATAAAAAAAATAAAAAAGACTAGCTTAGCCAGCTCCTTTTCCGAGTACCGGAAGCTAAACACACCACCCCCAGTTTCGCACCAAATGTCACCTACTTGAAAATAGCTGTGGTCACATTCAGCATAAGTCATCATGTTGAAAAAGACAGTACTAAATATAGAAAAACGTGGTCTGTTTTAATAACTGGATGGATGTACATTTGAAAGACATAAAAATCTTACAGAATATCCTCCAATCACAGCCTGCAGATATCTCTCGATCTGCTACGAAAACCGCACTCTCCAAACTGGTACTGATTTGGTGTAGTAGAACCTCCAAGTGTGTGTCACAGACACCACGAAACGAAACACTGACCGAAGTCCTATTGGACTAGAATGGGATCACGTGGAGATGCTGGTGCCGAGCAGTTCCCCAGCTCACGCATATGGTCACAGTTTATTCGTTTGTTCTTTAACGCTGCACTCAGCAGTATTCCAGCTATATAACGGCGGTCTGTAAACAATCGAATCTGGGCCAGACAATCCAGTAAGCATCGATCTACGCAATTGGGATGCGATGACATTCATCAACCAAGTCAGCGAACCTGACCATTAGTGGCCTTTTACGACAAGCATAGTCGCCTCGGACGACCAGCATGGGTTGCTGAAGACCTGTTCTAACCCGGATCTTCGCTTGTATGAGACAGGTAGCGGCCTGGGTTAACACCCGAGATAAACTCGCGGATAAGAGTGGCAATATAACTAATACATTAAAAGTAGTCTATGGTATTTATGCTATTAAGGCACGGTTTATGCCACTATGCAAAACAAACCTGGGTCCTGTGACGGCGGTCTCCAAATAATCGAGTCTGGACCAGACAATCCAGTGATTGATACCATGAGCATCGATCTACGCATTTTGGATACGATGACATGCATCAACCAAGTCAGCGAGCCTGACCACCCGATCCCGTTAGTCGCCTCTTACCACAGCCATAGTCGCCTTTTACGGCAAGCATGACACAATGGAGGAAAATGGAGGGTAATGGTATTACACAATTAACTAGGTTAACAAACCAATACCAGTTACTCGAAAGTAATTACAATGGCAGTACATAATTCAATGGCAGTATAAAATACAGTGCTTATAGCAATAAAGACAAGGATAATAACAGTCACCAAGCAGCAACAGTGGTCAAGCTTCCAATATAGGCCTTGGCTGGATATTCAGGGTGAAAATAATGACACAACCGCTGGTCTTGATATGAAATGTAATTTTATATTTGAGAAGCACGCACTTGCACCCTTATATAGTCTGAAAACCTCCTAGAAGTTTCTATACAGTGTTGGACGAGTCTAACTATTTCAGCATATTCTAGATTTCACTTGACTCCAAAAAAGCATCTAAATATTGTAACTGCCACACTACTGCTTACATTAGACAGAACTACATTCCTGACAACTAATCATTGTCAAAACATAATGCTGTGAACTGCTACTGAATCTCAACAGAAATAATGTCATACAATAATAAATAATTATTACATAACACACTACTAAACGGAATCGTCGCGAGACACGACCAATACCACCAGAAAACCACTACCATTTGGAATCGTCGTAAGACCCAATGCCACCAGAGAACCACTCCGAAATTAAATCGTTGTGAGACACCCCTAATACCACCAGAGAACCACGACCAAATGTCTTCTTAAAGTAGTATTAAGCAGTTCGTATGATGAAGAAGAAAGTTTATGAATATACAACTTCTTATTACAATGAATTCGACGTCTCGGCGTAGATACTGATTATTTACACCATTATAAACAGAACAAATTACAACAAGAGTCATCAGGATACGACATCTTCCTTGTGTCCCACTGGGTGTGCCTTTGTTTGGCTATGGTGGCTATGACTTTACTCTTTGTCTCTAGTTTGCTGAAGGGAATGGTCTAGAGCTAGCTTCGCCAGTGTGACACCTTTTTCATTTCCATGAATGTCTGTCTACATGAGACGTGATCCATGTGCTTCCCTTGGTTTTGTGTATTCGTATTGAATATTATTGACTGTGTTTGGTCTCATTGCCGCTGATGGCTTGTAGCGTAGTTGTACATCTTCCCGAGGCAAGAAGTCCAGTTTCCACCCTTGCCGAACTAGGCTGGTATTATTAAATAGTTACATTTTGGCTGGACTAACGAGTCTATGCATAGTCCAATCAAAATCGCGCAACGAAATCGAAATCCGGCTCGTAAACTGCCGTGCTGATTTCGGTCGATTGCAGGATTTGCAAAGCATGTGCACCGCCAACTCGTTGTCAACAGATATTTTCCAAATCTTTCATCATTATAATCAAGGTGTTCACGTGATTTGATGCTCTTTGCGATGTAAGACCCGTTTCATCACAATATAGATCTTGATTATCGATCATATCGTCTTGACTGGGCGCCGCCATTTAGTTTGAATCAAATGCAAGTGTTACGAGAGGTGAAATCTGATTGGTCCATAGGAGAGGTTATGAAGGGACATTACTCGTAATAGCCATTGGTGGCGCTACGATCGAGCCCAGGAATTCCAGCCTAGTTCGGCAAGGGTGGAAACTGGACTTTTAAAGTCAGTTAACTCTCTTGCCTCGGGAAGATGGTAGTTGTAGCGCAGCGAGCCTGACTGCCTTTGCTTCCGTTAGTTCCTGTATATATGAGTTTGACTGCATGATGAAATGCCTCCAATTTAGCACTTTCCGCCAGGCAGGCAGACTGAATGTGGTTGTGGTTTAGATATATTGATCACGAAATGTAGTGTACCTTTGCATGTGTTTGTGATGGGTTCCACCAGTGGGGCAGGATACGTTCACCTTTTCCCGAGCACCTGGTATCATCACTGGTTGATAGTGATTCATAAGCAAATGCTCATGATATAGTCGGAATCGTACTGTCGACTCTGTTTAATCAGAGATTTCTTATGAATATGGAAAGGGTTTTGTTGTTTTTATTGACAGTTTCAGTCTGCTACACAAGTTCCATGATGATGACTATCTCATTTTAATCAGATCTTAAAGTTAAGTGCCAGCAAAAACTAAGGAATCGACCATGTTATATTGGGATGTACGGGGTGTGTGTGTGTGTTTGATTTCGAAACTAGAATACCAGATCTACCTATAATGAAAACGTTTACCCTAAATATTCTTAAAAAAACAACCTTTCAACAATGTATTTGTTAGTATGTTAAAGAAACATGTGGGATGTTAGACTGGTGAAGGCACTGTGTAGAAATATCCAGTAGCTTGTTAGGTTGTATGTAAGGAGACAAAAGCGTGTTTAAGGATCGCTCGCGCATTTTCATCACATCGTAACCAGCTTTCATGTGAGGATCGCTCATCATCCCTGATTCCCTGCCTAGCCCATCTCCGAAGCTTGACCACTGTCGCCGATGGGTGAATATATATAACTTTAACTGACTTTTGCTATCACCACTGTATGTTTTACATTTGATACTGACCACTGCCATCACATTATTATACTGTCATTGAATATTGTGGAATGTACTGCCACTCTGTTGTGTACTGCCATTGTAATTGCTGTGCAGTAATCTTTGTTGATTTGTAAACCTAGTTAATTTTGTAACACAATTTGTAAATATAGTAAACCATTTGTTGTTTGTTTGTTGGTTTCACACTGAGTTCGTTTACGTAGAGATTTCTGGGTTAATATATTGTTTCAATTTTGGAATCGACAGGTAACAATAGTGATATATTCATTGTCACTTGTGCTTGTTACTTCCAGCTAAGTGAAACAGCTCGAAACAAGTAAATACCCCAAGTAAGTTGACATTAAACGTTCAGCATAACAGTACTTATTAAATCATAACACTTTACACAGGTCTCCTGAGAGTTTATTTTTCTTGAAGAAGCCAAAGAAAGGGTTCTTTCAGAATTTCGTCATGTCCATTCGTGGAATATCACTACAGCTGACGCGAGGGTTGCTGAAAGTCAAAAATCAATTTTGCAGTTAAACTCCGTTTTACTCTTGCTCTCAATGGATTTCCTTTCTTACATCAATAGGGATCAAGGCTGGCCATTGCATTATGGTGATGTTTGCAAATGGAGGTAGTCACTTACGATACGTGCTCTGTGGGCCCGAGCGTTATCGTCTTGAAGGAAAAAAGGTGGACCAGCATTGTAATTTTTCATATCAATATGTTATGTCAAGTTTTATGACATCACATTAAAAAATCTATCTTCCATAAGGAAGTTGTTTGTTTCAGTTTGAAAATGATCGAGTGTGAACCAGACAATCCAGTGATTGATTATAATCCTCGATCTTCGCAATTGGGACACGGTGACATACATCAACCAAGTCAGCGAGTCGCGATAGTCGCCTCTTACGACAAGCTTGGGTCCCTGAAGACCTGTTTTAACCCGTATCTTCAGGGGATGATACGTAAGTAGAGGTGATGAGTCTTACTCAGTGCCCGGCTTCATGAAGATGTTCTCCTGGATTCTGCGGATGTCAGTGTTGTCACAGATGATTCGAGCAAGAGTCACCTTCTTCAGCTGATTTCTCTGTTCTGAAAATATGAACATACACGCATACTCATAAATCAAGAGTGAGAGATCAGAGTTTGTCATAGACTGGTTTCGACATTTTCTTATACTACTACTACTACTACTACTACTACTGATAATAATAATAATAAGAAGAAGAAGAAGAAGAAGAAGAATCATTTTCCACTTTTGCACACTTTTGTGTCTGATGATCCGCTTGTGAAGCGTTTCAATTCTCATGATGAAAACAAGGCATTCCACAGTTTTCTTAAACGAGCCAAAAATGTGGGACACAATTTTAACGTCAATGTTGATTTTGTTGACGGTTCTCTACTGCTGGATGCTATCTGAATAAGAAGCTATCTGAACGACCACTGCATCGAATGCATGTGCAGTGTGTTGAGAAGGCTAGCAACCCTGCAGAGGCCTTCACTTGGATGAAGTCGGCTGGCCTGAAAAGTTAAACAGAAGGCTTTCTGTTTGCTGCCTAGCACAGGTCACTTTCCACTCGAAACCGTCAATGTGTGATTTTGCATCAAAATGTAAAATATGAAATGTAGATTATGCAATGAATTTAATAAGACTGTCCAACACATTGTCAGTGGGTGCCCAGCTTCGGCACAAACACAATATCTTAAGCGACACGATGGAGGGGCTCGATCACTTTATTACCGTCTTCGCTATGCGTGTTTTTTTTGGTGCGACCCAGAATATGTAGAGGGCGTCATGGAACATGAGTAATACAAAATTCTTAGGAATAGGCCCGTATACAGCCTTAGACATATCCAGACCAACAAACCTGATCTTGTCCTTTTTGATTAATCCAATGAAATCGTTTATATCATTGAATTTTCTATCCCTGTTGACACTAATATGATTGACAACATTCAAGAAAACCGTGACAAATATACGGACCTCGCTTTCGAAATGTCACGCTTGCTTCCCAAGTACCAAGTTGTCCGACTCCCCGTTCTCGGTGCCTTAGGTTTGGTACCTCCCAATCTGATGACTGACATTGGGAGAGTACCCAGGTTTGCTACCAGGTATACAGCCCTTCTGACAATCTGGGTAATGCAGAAGGCAGCAGTGATGGTAAGTCTTCACATTCTCCGAAAAGTTCTTAGTGGGTTCGACTAGGCAGGGATTCTTGGGAGAAGTCCCATTCGTGTTCTGGGCTGCGTGTAGAGGGGGCAAGGGCCATGAGCTGATGATGAGCCTAACCGGCCTACCTGTTCCAGGATCACCCAAACCCTCTTTGCTGCACTTATTTGGTTGAGTCTATATATAATTATAATGCATTAAACGATTTAACATTGTTTGGAACAGTTATTTAATATAAATATGTTTAAGAGGTGTAAACACATTTCGGAACACCAGCGATGAGGTAAATAAAATATACCTCTGATCTTTGACATCACTTCTTGATATTTTCGGTAAACAGGGATGACTTCCGGTGTAGCATTAAGTACGCGTTAATACTGTGTCTGAATACTCTGACTTCCCAGTCTAACGTGGTACCAAAGCCAAAGTTACAAGCCATATGCGCCTGCAACGGTCGGTTGAATGATGCGTTTCGATCAGCGTTTCCTGGTTATGCTTAGGGACGTAAATCTGCACATCGAGCACTCTACCACATAACACGGGGCCACCCGCATTCTATTTTGTCCAATCCCTATGGTGGAAACTGAACGTGACTAACTGCAATACATATGTGTATTTTTCAGATTTCACTGAAATAATTTAATAATACATAACACGCATTAAAGTATTGAAGTAAAGGAAAACATCTTTGGCTAGAAAGTCGCACAGGCTGATAGTACGCCTGACAACTTTAGGGTGCACGGGTGGCCCAGTCGTCTAAGGCGCCGCGATTCGCTGTGCAGAGTTGCGTCTCTTGGGCACGCCAGAAACCTATGATTGTGGGTTCGAATCCAGGGTCGCCCCGATTTTCTTTCTATGTTTGTCAGCACCATACCCGTGCTCGTGGGTTTCACTGAAGTGGTAAATGTCTGAGACCTGCATCACTTCGGGCTTTCCTCCAACATTAAGCTGACACGCCGTGATATAACTAGAATACTGTTAAAAGCGGCGTTAAATCCAACTCACTCACTTGCCTGAAAACTTTACCTTTGGTAAATCCAACTCCCGTGTTTGCTGCTTCCCAGAAAAACCTGTCGCCATACTTGATCCTCATGAACTGTTCCCCAATTAGACAAGCGTTGACATCACCGACAACGCCGTTAGGAACATTCCACTCCGAAATACTCCCGCTATACAGGTCGATGTCGTTCACAGATCTGGAACATGGATGTATCTCGTGTTTCTGGGACTTTGCATGTGAACAGATGTGAGAAAACATTTTGACATCGCCAAATATTCTCCTGTAACAAGGTGTTGTAGAACAGAGGTTAATTAATGCTTTTCGTGAAAGAAAGTATATATATGGTAACGTTTTTTTCCGTACACGTCCAATGTAAAGTATGGCACAAACGAATACTTACTTGTAAACTTTGGCAAGATTTCTTCCAATTTCATTTGAGAAAACGTTGTTGTAAAAAGATTGGATTTGTGGCCGTTTACAGTACGCTCTCCATTTGTTGTACGCAGGGACGCCGTGGTCACGACCACGTTGAATGTTGAGGCTGACGATGTCGTAACCGTCACGAACATTTATAGCAGTTTCAAACATGAAGTCAGTCATATCCTTCGAGAACCATGCGTCCGTCCTTTCGTTGACACCCCCCGTGATGGAGTTGAGGACGTCTTCTATGCTTTTATGTACAGCAGCTGTATTTGAGATGAGGTTTGCAACCGGCTTCTTCTGTCCTCCGATGAACAGGTTCTTGGGCACCATAGAATGGCCGAATCTCATGGCGGATGTTGCAAAGGCGTTTGTTATCCTTGGGTTCATTTCTTCCTGGTATTGGTAGGGATTGTTGATCTCATAGATCTTCATGTAATCGGGACCAATTATGAGAGGCAGCCATTGCTTGTAGGTTATTACCTTAAACATAGACCAGTTTAGCTTTTGAAATATTCAACTCTAACTGCTAAAGGAGGTGAGGTGAGGTGAAATTGGGTTTAACGTCGCGTCCAAGATTATTGCACTTATATAGCGACGTGCATGCACGTGTATGTGTGTGTGGCTGCTTGTACTAGTCCGGACTGATGCCGATTTATAGTGCTAGCTCACTGAGATACCATGCCGCAGTTTAACATGAATACCCCACTCAGACACAGTATACTGACTCCGAACCGACCAGTCCTTGTTTTAGACCCTTAATGCCGAGCGACAGGGTAACAACAAGTACAATCTTTTAACGTCTTTTTGTATGACGCGGCCCGGGATCGAACCCTGGACCTTCCGCTCTCCGGGCGGACGCTCTACCACAAGACCACGGAGGCGGTAACTGCTAAAGGAACATATACACGTCCTGTGTTCATCAATGTAATAGGCAACCTTACTTGTTAACAGGCATCGGCTCGGGCTTTCCCCATATGAAGCTGACATGACCATATATACCCGCATTATTGTTCACAGCGGTGTTAACCCAAACTCACTGACTGGCTGTTTGTTTGTTTGTTGTTTAACGCCACACACAGCAATATTCAAGTTGTATGACGGCGGTCTGTAAATAATCGAGTCTTGACCAGACAAACCAGTGATTGACATCATGAGTATCGATCCATGCAATTGGGATACGAGGACATGCATCAACCAAGTCAGCGAGCCTGACCACCCGATCCTGTTAGTCGCCTCTTACGACAAGCATGGTCGCCTTTTACAGCAAGCATGGGTTGCTGGAGACCTATTCTACCCCGGATCTTCTCGGGTCCACTGACTGACTGAGATCGTAAAATCGTAACTTTGTGTCAGATTTAATAATACCGTAAACAACGCTTATAACGAACACGCTTATAACGAACTGACGATAAAACGAACTGTTTTTTGGCCCCGTCCATTTGATGTATATATGCTGTATATGTGCTTATAACGAACTACGGTTATTGCGAACTAAATTTAGTGGTCCCTTTTAGTTCGTTATAACCGTAGTGCAAAAATAACCTGAAGCTCTGCAATAACAATTTTCTTGGTCGCTTTGAACAACGTCTCATCGTTCCAAGTTGGGTGTCTGTTTGCAAGGACCCGGGCAATGCGGTTGTGTTCTCTCACGAAGGCGATGTGCAGGGCCGTTAGACCAGGGAACACATTGGCCCTCCTGTCGCCTTCAACCGAGAAACAAAGTTAACGTTTCATCGTATATCATTGTCAAATAACAGCGACATAATCAAAAGTGAGTGAGTGAGTATGGTTTACGCCGCTTTTAGCAATATTCCAGCAATATCACGGTGGGGGACACCAGAAATGGGCTTCACACATTTTACCCATGTCGGGAATCGAACCCGGGTCTACGGCGTGACGAGCGAACGCTTTAACCACTAGGCACCCCGACCGCCCCCATAATCAAAAGACATTTCTGCTGAAACCAGAGTCCTTTTTACGATTCCTACTATATCATAAGCATGTGTTTATGAATCACAACCACCTAGTGATGATACCAGGTGTTTGCGATAAAGGTGAGCGTATCCTGCCGCACCGGTGGCACCCGTAAACACACATGCAAAGGCAAGGCAATAGTTCATCTGAAAACACACGGGAACATATGTTACAAGTCAAAATAGGGATTTGCATCGAACATCATTTTAGTTACTGATTTGGAAATGACCCAACTTCTGAGGCTTTGGGTGTTGTTACCCTGTGCAAACAACTGCAGGCAACAGACAGATCCATGATCAAGGCAACAAATGTCCACATGTTTTGTTTTGTTTGTTTGTTTGTTTGTTGTTTAACGCCGCACTCAGCAATATTCCAGCTGTATGATGGCGGTCTGTAAATAAACGAGTATGGACCAGACAATCCACTGATTGACATCATGAGCATCGATCAACACAATTGGGATACGATGACATGCATCAACCAAATCAGCGAGCCTGACCACCCGTGTCTACATGTAGGAAAGTGTACTTGTAGTAACGTGTATATAACTTCATATCAAATCGTGTTTATGTGAAGAGTTGCAAACGTTTATTGTATAGAGGGTACGGATGGAAGTACCTGTCCAAAAGCAGTAGGTGTTTGGGTTATTTCCATTGAAGCATGCAGTGGGATCACCGACAGGTGGAAAAGCCTTTCCGTTCTTCATTTTGAACTTGAGCAATCCACCTGAAGAATTAAATATGTCGTTTTTATACCAACAAAATTGGGATTCTGGAAACTGTTATATCCCAAGTACTAAGACGGCATAGAAGGTTTCTGGCGATAGTTAACGCTTTAAATATACAGACACTAATGGTTTTGTTTGTTTGTTTGTTGTTAAACGCCTCACTCAGCAATATTCCAGCATTATGACGGCGGTCTGTAAATAATCGAGTTTGGGCCAGACAATCCAGTGATTCAATATGGGGAATCGAACCCGGGCCTTCGACTCGACGAACGAACGCTAGGCTACCTCATGCGCTGTAGTGTTGTGGAACGGAAATGCTGTTCAAGCGGCGATATATCCATCTCATTCAGTGGCGGACTTATAATTTACCGGTTTTCTTTCTAAGTGCATCTTCCAACTCGGGGTACGGCCCGTATATGTGTGATCCGTCGATGAAAGCACTGGCAGTAGTGTACGTCAGGCGAGGATCTGGAGAACACAAATATGATATAGTTCAGGAGGCAAAGATATCACAGAATGATTACTTGACGTTAAAAGTATGACAGATCAATGATCAAGGCAACAAATGACTTCATGTTTTGTTTTGATTGTTTATTTGTTGTCTAACGCCGCACTCAGCAATATTCCAGCTATATGAAACGGTCTGTAAATAATCGAGTCTTGACCAGACAATCCAGTGATTGATATCATGACCATCGGCCTACGCAATAAGGATACGATGACATGCATCAACCAAGTCAGCAAACCTGACCACCCGATCCCGTTAGTCGCCTGTTACGACAAGCATAGTCGGCTGTTACGGCAAGCATGGGTTGCTGAAGACTATGTGACTGTGTTATTAATATGTGATCTTAAATATTGAAGACATGAACCATTTTTTAAATGGATAGCAACTTCTTTATTCTTTCGGTCGTGTATATGGTGAATGGTTAATATTAATATTGATGATGCATGTGTTTAACAGAGTACGGTACTATGATACTGATGATAGCGATGCAACGACAGAAATGCAAACTTTTAATGCCGTTGTCTTGAATTTGTTTAATTGTTTATTCATGTATTAATAAATATGAATGCAAAATAAAAAGGGGACGCTAAACGTCGCGACTGAGGCGCGAACTGTTCGCGAGTTCGTCGCCATGGAGGGGAAATTTGTTTTGAACGGAAGTGTACAGCAAACTACGGTTATAACGAACACGCTTATAACGAACTGACGATTTAACGAACTTACTTTTTTGGTCCCGACTATTTGCTGTTGTTATGCTGTATATATGCTTACAACGAACTACGGTTATAACGAACTAAAATTAGTAGTCCCTTTGAGTTCGTTATAACCGTAGTTTACTGTATTTCACTGTTAGCCCTTTCTGTTTAGGAACGTGTATCTCACTGGCATTGGTTCCTGACCCGGGCACGGCCTCTGATCTGACGACGCTCATACAACGGCCCTGCCTGTAATATCTGTCTTGGTTGGGGATGAAGATGGGGAAACACTCGGAGGCAGGGCTAAAACGTAGAAACATGTCAATGAAGCGACAAAACCCTTTCCATATCCAATAGTCATCTCTCCATAAAGCAGAGTCGATTGTACGATTCCAAATATATCATGAGCATGTGTTTATGAATCACTATCCAATAGTAATGATACCAGGTGTTCGTGAAAGCGTATCCTGCCCCACCGGTGGCACCCGTCACAAACACAAACGAATTTGTACTTCTAACCTGAAGCCGATATCTAACATTGTGTGCTTTAAAGCGCATGTCAGATTAGTTTGAAAGAACAGTCACACGTGACTAATCCGAGGCGTTTTCTACTTGACGAACCTCATTATTCATCACCACTCGCCCCTTTCCGTAACCTGCAAGAAGATGAATGTTATGTGCGACAAAACGACAAACCAATCAGAATGCGCGTATGATTTCAAGTTCTTCTTCACCAAATCCCTCAGAAATAGCCGCCTCCGTGGTCTTGTGGTAGAGCGTCCGCCCGGAGAGCGGAAGGTCCGGGGTTCGATCCCCGGCCGCGTTATACCAAAAGACGTTAAACATGGTACTTGTTGTTACCCTGTCCGGCGCTCGACATTAAGGGGCTAACACAAGGACTGGTCGGCTCGGAGTCAGTATACTGTGTCTGAATGGGGTATTCATGTTAAACTGCGGCATGGTATCTCAGTGAGCTAGCACTATAAATCGGCATCAGTCCGGACTAGTACAAGCAGCCACACACACACACGTGCATGCACGTCGCTATATAAGTGCAATAATCTTGTACGCGACGTTTAACCCAATTTCACCTCACCTCACCTCAGAAATAATTTTTGATTTTACATATGTCTTGCATCTAAAAATATTACCCCAAACACAGTTAAATGTGTTCAATCATACTGTATAATTCCGCACGTCCCGATGTGCTATAAATTGCATCTGAATTATATATAAAATATAGGGAAATATATGTGAACCATTACGCAACGAGTTGACAATTGTTTTATGTATGCCCGTTTGCGCTAAGACGGAACCCGGCCGCAAAAATGGCCATGAGAGGGGCACGAGTCGCTATTCGGCTTGTCCCGGAATAACACGAGTTGGTCACGAATGCGGGGCACGAGTCGCTATTCGGCTTGTCCCGGAATAACACGAGTTGGTCACAAATGGGACCCAATTAGGCAGGGTAATTAGGAAAAGGGGGATAACTCGAAGCTAAGAGTCACCCTGGTCACACGTAAAAAATAAAAACAAATATAACATTCATTATTAAATTTTGATGATTTTTATGAATGAAGGATGTGAAAGACAGCTGTGACCACACAGCGATTCTATTGAATCTAAAAGCGAAAGAGAAAATTGTAGCAATCGTTCGACATAGCAAGCATGATATAATGATAAAAAATAATGCACAAAGCATATGCAATGTACATGTAATGACAGTTGTGAGATATTCCTGATAATATCTTTTGGCACAGATTACCAAGTACTTATTGGCTAGAACCCTGCACATTGGAATCAGTCATACTTTGTGGTGACGTCGGTTGGTTCCTTACAACAGTCAAGAATATCCCCTTCGGAATCTGGAACAGAAGAATGGCTGATGTCACAGTGGATCGACAGGATTATAAAGTCATTTTGCTTGCTTATTTCTTATTGCAATAGACCGCCTCCGTGGTCTAGTGGTAGAGCGTTGGCCCGGAGAGCGGAAGGTCCGGAGTTCGATCCCCGGCCAAACCAAAAGACGTTAAAGAATGTACTTGTTGTTACCCTGTCTGGCGCTCGGAATTAAGGGGCTAAAACAAGGACTGGTCGGCTTGGCGGCATGGTATCTCAGTGGGCTAGCACTATAAATCGGCATCAGTCCAAGCAGCCACACACACAACACACACAAACACACACACACACACACACACACACACACACACACATGCACCTCGCTATATGTTTAACAATATTTATATGAATATGATAACTGAGCTACCCAAGTGTGAAAAAAATGGCAGACAAACAACATTGTAAGGCAAGGCCCTGTCAGATTACACCGAAACCACTGACTATCGAGTGTACACACAGTGTGCATGTAGTCCACTTTATCTATAACACATTGATACACAAAATAATATTACTATTAGAAATAAAGAGTCGGTGTGAATGGAAATTCGAAATGGCGTCTACTGTTAAACTGAATAGAAAAAAACAAAAAAAACATGATCACGACATGTCTTGAATGTATTTCCATATCAAGGATGATTTATGGATAAATAAATGTATACCAAAATACCATATTCCGAAGATATTTTGTTATACCTCTATTAAGAATGTTAAAAGGTCTACTCATTGGTTTCAAAATACATAATGGACCAGACCCAAAGGAGTATGATATATTGAATACCCAAAGAAATATATCGATACCTTAACATACCTAAAATGAACGATAACTTGGTTAAACCGTACCACGTGATGAAACAATACAATTCAACTTAGACTCCGAAATCATGTGACTGAACTCGAATATTGACTCGTCACATAATCATTATTGACCTGTCACGTGATGAATATTGACTCGTCTGCTAGAAAACAAGATGGCGTCTGGTACGGACATTTTACGGTTCACAGCTTAGTTACTGAAACGTATCAGAAGACGGTTTGAAGACTTCATAAACTTGAAAGTGAACTTCGGTATAATAAAACGAATGATTTCTCTTGGCGAGTTCAATATGCGAATAGGACCCTCGAACCCGACCCCTTCGGCGGTCTAACCTGACCTCAGCCTGTGGCCTCGGTCTGGTCAGACTACCTCAAGGGTCAGGTCCTCGGTCCTTGTTTTCGCATACAGGAAACTACGGTTATAACGAACTCAAAGGGACTACTGATTTTAGTTCGTTATAACCGTAGTTCGTTATAAGTACATATACAGAATGACTACAGCAAGTAGGTCTGGTCAGACTTCCTCAAGGGTCAGGTCATCGGTCCTTGTTTTCGCATACAGTAAACTACGGTTATAACGAACTCAAAGGGACTACTGATTTTAGTTCGTTATAACCGTAGTTCGTTATAAGTACATATACAGAATGACTACAGCAAGTAGGTCTGGTCAGACTACCTCAAGGGTCAGATCCTCGGGTCCTTGTTCTCGCATACAGTAAACTACGGTTATAACGAACTCAAAGGGACTACTGATTTTAGTTCGTTATAACCGTAGTTCGTTATAAGTACATATACAGCATGACTACAGCAAGTAGTCGGGATCAAAATAAAAAAAGTAAGTTCGTTATATCCGTCAGTTCGTTATAAGCGTGTTCGTTATAACCGTAGTTTACTGTATTGACTTCGTCAAAAGTAATTATTTGTATAATAATATCCGAGTGTACCTGTCGTGTTTGGAGTCCCGACCATGTCGTGATTAATAAACTGTCCCCACTGCATCAGCATGAGGGAGTGTTCATTGTTCAGGACTGACTTATCACTGTGCACAGTGACGCTCACAGTCCTGGGATTTGGCAGCAGACCTCCATTGACCGACCTCTGCCTTGGCGTTCCCTTCCCTACAGGAGACGATGTATAACTGGTATACATACATTCTATACAAAAATACATTCCATGGTTCCAACAGTCCACTGTGTCCTGAAAGATAGACTAGGCTCGTAACAAGCGACAGTTCTAGCATTTTAGATCGACATAATTAAAACCCATCTATGTCCGATAACTGTTTTATTCTAAATGTCACTTTTACAGCAACACAAAATAACGCCATGAAATGGACACCATGTCATGAATCATAGTCCCTAAAACATTGAAAAATGTATATCGGTTCATTTAGATGAAGAGTTCACAATATTTATGAATTCTGATTTTAAAAACAAGCAGAAGATGTCTTTGTTTTCAGACATAAAACGTTTAGTTCGGATAGAAATGCGTATTCCGTTACAAACTATACCCAGGTCAAGCGTATATCTATTAAGATGTATATGATAGTAGGAGGGGCAAACCCGATGTCGTACCATCATCATATTCAGGGGGCAAAGAGCGGGCCAGTTTGTCATAGCTACTTCCCCAAACTGGCTTCTTCAGATTGTTGCAGTAGTTGTATTCTTCGCGATATTTACCCCATCGGTTGCATTGTTCAGACTGTCTTCTACAGCAAACAAAAAACGCAATCAACATAAAGTATAATTATTGAAATTAGTTGTTTTTGTTAATGTTGACATCCCTGTACATTTTCAATAAGTACAAGTGACAAAACACTTTCCATATTCATAAGAAATCTCTGCTTCAAGCAGAGTCGATTGTACGATTCCGACTGTAGCATTAGAATGTGATTATTAATCACTATCAAATAGTGATAGCGTATCACAAACACATGCAAAGGTAAGTCACCTGAAACTATAGGGAACATACGCTACACGACTGAATGGGGAATTGCATCGGAAATAATTTTGCATCAAATTTAGAACTGTTCTCCATATGTCTACAACAACACTTTTTGAAAGCTTTACTGAGGCCTTGAAGGTTGTAACCTTGATCAAATAAATTATGAGCAAGTGGACAGCCTCCGTGGTCTAGTGGTAGAGCTTCCGCCCGGAGAGCGGAAGGTCCGGGGTTTGATCCCCGGCCGTGTCATACCAAAAGACGTTAAAAGATGGTACTTGTTGTTACTCTGTCTGGCGCTCGGCATTAAGGGGCTAAAACAAGGACTGGTCGGCTCGGAGTCAGTATACTGTGTCTGAGTGGGGTATTCATCTTAAACTGCAACATGGTATCTCAGTGAGCTAGCTATATAAATCGGCATCAGTTCAGACTAGTACAATCAGCCACACAAACACACACACGTAGATGCACGTCGCTATATAAGTGCAATAATCTTGGACGCGACGTTAAACCCAATTTCAGCTCACCTCACCTATGACCAAGTATGACGCTGAAATGTTTGTAGAAAGAGCATCCTCGATTGTACCTAAAAATGTAGACACAGAAGGCTGGAACCGTTTATTTTGCCCTCGGCAGAAGTTCGAGTAAGTGAGTTGGGTTTAACGCCGCTGTTAACATTATTCCAGTTATATCACGGCGTGTCAGCTTAGTGTGGGATGAAAGCCCGAAGTGATGCAGGTCTCAGATGTTTACCACTTCAGTGAAACCCACGAGCACGGGGATGGCGCTGACAAACCTAGAAACATAATCGGGTCGAACCGGGATTCGAACCCACAATCATAGGTTTCTGGCGTGCCCAAGGGACGCAACTCTGCACAGCGAATCGCGACGCCTTAGACGACTGGGCCTCCCGTGCCCCCGTCAGATGTTCGCGGTTACTCGCGTTCTCTAGCGTTGACGTTGAGAGATTACAAATACTTACATGTCTCATACAAGCACGTGATATTTCTATTGATGAAATCCTTCGAAACTCTCAGTCGTCTCTTACCTTTTTTTGATGCAACGTTTTGTATTTAGTTGAAAGGCCTTCGAAAAACTTACTTGTCTCTTACAAACACATGGTGTTCCGCATCACCTCTGGTTTCTGAAACATATTGATTCACTATCAACTTTAGTCATCAATACACAGGAGGCTGTTTATTATAAATATGTTGTTTGCAATTTTAATTTATTGCATTAATATTATTATTATTATTATTATTATTATTATTATTATTATTATAATTATTAACAGATATGAAATGACAAACAGATTTTCCTGAAATTAAATAAAATCATTCACAAATATCTTATAATGTTCAACATGATATGAAATAAGAAACGGCTAATACATTTGCTTTACAGCACCTCAAAGGACTTCAGCGCATTTTTTTGCGAACAGCTTCCTTTGATAAACACGTATACGTTTGCTTTTTACAGTAGCATCTGTACATGTCAGGAGGAGGTGAGGTCAAATGGGGTTCCACATCGCGTCCAAGATCATATTACACTCATATAGCGACGTACATGTGCGCGTGTGTGGCTGCTTGTACTAGTCCGGACTGATGCCGATTTATATTGCTAGCTCACTGAGATACAATGCCACTATGAAAACCCCACTCTAGACACAGTATACTGACTCCAAGCCGACCAGTCCTTGTTTTAGCCCCTTAATGCCGAGCGCCAGACAGGGTAACAACAAGTACCATCTTTTAACGTCTTTGGTGTGACGTGGCCGGGGATCGAACCCCGGACCTTCCGCTCTCCGGGCGGACGCTCTACCATTAGACCACGGAGGCGGTACATGTCAGAATGAAGGGTGGATCTGGCCAACTGAGTACCATGTTGAAAGTTAGGTGTAAGAGTTTGCTTGTGTGAAGTAACCTTACCAGCGTTTGGAAGCAGGGCTGACGCTATCAGTAAGCCCAGAACGTACATGCTTGTATCTTCCTCATGGAACTTCCAAGGTGACTGTTTAATTCTTATATGTCGTGGGTAAAGACAACATGGTCAACATAAGAATGGTCAACACAGCTGTCGCAGGACATCTATCCACGTGAGGCACTAAATACACATGACCTGTCTACACTTACTTGTACGCACATGACAATTGTTTCCATATTTGCTTTAAACATCTTCACAAGTCGAAATATATACACGAGTTTGTTCTTAACAGATGTTTTCCGACAAGTAAATACGGCTCTTCTGATGGAAAGATGCATAGCATAATGAAGAGACACATGTCTTCGAAATGATACATACAACAGATGTGAATGTATGCTAAGGTTGAGTGAATGGTTTTACGCCACTTTAGCAATATTTCAGCAAAATGGCAGAGGACACCAAAAATGGCTTCGGCGTGAGGTGCGAACAACAGCCCACACTGCCCTCCCGTCTTTAGGTTCAAAATACATTCCATTTGAATCAGAGATTCATATCTTCATAGACCGCCCCCGTGGTCTAGTGGTAGAGCGTCCGCCCGGAGAGCGGAAGGTCCGGGGTCCGATCCCCGGTCGCGTCATACCAAAAGACGTTAAAAGATGGTACTTGTTGTTACCCTGTCTGGCGCTCGGCATTAAGGGGCTAAAACAAGGACTGGTCGGCTCGGTGTCAGTATACTGTGTTTGAGTAGGGTATTCATGTTACACTGCGGCATGGTATCTCACTATAAATCGGCATCAGTCCGGACTAGTACAAGCAGCCACACAAACACACACACGTACATGCACGTCGCTATATAAGTGCAATAATCTTGGCCGCGACGTTAAACCTCATTTCACCTCACCTCACCTCATATCTTCATACATGCATTTCATGCGTCATACCCAAAACCATTCCATTATGGTACCAGCTGTTACCCTACCTAACGCTCGGCTTTAAGGGGCACAACTGACCGGCCCATAAGTAAACATACAACCGCTGCCGTCGACGGCACGAATTATGCGGACCCGCGAGGTTCAATTTTCAGGTCGCGATTTGTACCAGTAAGTAACGGGTTTGAGGTCTTGTCCTACAAGGATAAATACCCAAGGCGTGAAGTACCTGCAAATACTGGGAGTTGATCCTGATCCACGCGTGAACCCCGAACACCGGAGAAACACAGATTGTCCCGGAGAATCCCTTTAACACGAATTTTTTTTTAACAGAAGCAGCGAGAATAACGATGTTTGGTTAAAAAAAGGCTAAAAATAGATTCAAATACGCATATGAATTGGAATTTCTGCTCAGAAAACAAGGTAATTTGGCCAAGAAGTTTAACTTAAGCTTCCGATATGTCGATGTTTTGATATCGTTCAATAACCGTCAAATAACCGCTTCTCTTTCACTGGTTTACCTACATGAACCAGAAATAAAGGAGATCCGTGATACCGCCTCGTCTGTCTCATATTTAGATCTATGCATAAAGATTCAGAGTGATAAAACACTCCGATCAAGACTCATCTTCCCAAGGCAAGGGAGTTAACTGACTAAAAAAGTCCAGTTTCCACCCTTGCCGAACTAGGCTGGAGTTACATTTTGGCTGGTCTAACGAGTCTATGCATAGTCCAATCAAAATCGTGCATCGAAATCGGTTCGTAAACTGTACTGTAGATTTCGGTCGATTGCAGGATTTGCAAAGCATGTGCACCGCCAACTCGTTGTCAACAGATATTTTCTAAATCTTTCATGTTTTTAATCAAGGTGCTCACGCATTGCGCGATGTAAGACCCGTTTTATCACAACATAGACCTTGATTATCGATCAGATCGTCTCGACTGGGCGCCACTGTTTTGTTTCAAGCAAATGCAAGTGATACGAGAGGTGGAATCTGGTTGGTCTTAAGGAGAGGCCCAGAAGGGACATAACTCGTAATAGCCACTGGTGGCACTACGATAGAGCCCAGGAATTCCAGCCTAGTTCGGCAAGGGTGGAAACTGGACTTTTAAAGTCAGTTAACTCTCTTGCCTCGGGAAGATGAACAAGACTATATTGCAAGAGTGATGACTTCAACTTTCCAATAGTCAACTTTCCCTTAACGTCGAGAAATATTCCAGCAGCTCTAGCCTTTGGTGTTTACATTTCACACTCTTTAAGGTACAATTGAGCTTGCTCTTTCAAAGAGCGTCATACGACTCTTTCTCGGAAGCTGTTTGATCAAGGTTATACCATTCAAGGCCTCATTAAAACTTTCAAAAAGGATTTGTAGACATGCACAGGATATTTCCAAGCTTGACGCATCAGTGACAAAACATTGCCGATGCAAATCCCTATTTTGTTGTGTACAGTATGGTCGCGTGTTTTTTACCAGGTGAACAATTGGCTTGTCTTTGCATGTGTTTGTGATGGATGCGACCGGTGATGTAGGATACGCTCACCTTATCAAGAACATCTTGTATCATGACTATTGTATTATCATTCGTAGACACAAGCTTTCGCAGAGATTTCTTAAGGATATGGAAAGGGTGTTGTTGCTTACATTATAATTCGTTCTGTCATTAAATATTTTAACTTAACCAGCGGTTAGACGCCACGCGGACAATATTTAGGAGATATACCTACTGTTTTGAAATGTGATGTTGCTCAAGTGTAGGTTAGATGCCTCTTATTTTAATTTGGAACCGAACTTCAGCGCCTGGATCATTGCTGTAGTGGCGTGAAAATAAATTAACTCACTCAACTATTGTACCACGGACTGTTAAAGGTTTCTGGTTTAGTGAGCAATTACAAGCACAGGAAATTATTATTACATTATAAATTTGTCCATGACCAGAGGATTTCATAATTTGTCGCGTCAATCATGACAGTCTGTTTTCATATTTTACGTACGTTTTGTAACTGATTTAACAAGTAAGACATTTTGTGAAAACATCAACGATCTTCTTATGGATAATCTTGGCGGACACATGAATACTCCTCGGGGAGCTGAGAATGGATTTGAATGTATACTGATTCGCTGACCGCGGTATTAGTGACATGCGCACTTAGCATGTCCCACTGAGGATTAGGGCCAACTTTCTCTTCTTCATATTCCCGAGGCAAGGGAGTTGACTATGATATTACAGTGGAAACTGTTAACAGTTAACTCCCTTGCCTCGGGAAGATGTCTTTTTTCGAAGTCAATTCACTATCTTATTTGAATTTCATATTATAAGTACAATGTCATTTTCTGAACTATTTCTCGAAAATAGACACGAATCATCTTTGTGTCTTTGACGTGAGTCTAGTTCATGTACATGTTCTGGCGTTACGCCCACATTAAGCTGACACGCCGTGATTCAACTAATAATGTGCAAAGCGGCGTTAAACCAAACCCACTCACTCGCTCTCTCCATGTTGTACGCACTGTAAAGTGCCAATTGAAAACGTCAACGCCAGGGAATAGTCTACATTATCTTTTAATACTAAATTAAAATTTTAATATTAAAACTTGGAAATTTAACATATTATCTTGAAATTTCAACTTATTATCTTAATTTGCAAGACACATATGAAATTTCAAGATGCTTTGTTGCAAATTTCAAGATGCTGTGTTGAAATTTCAAGATACTAAGTTGACATTTCAAGAAAATGATCTTGAAATTTCAAGATAATAAGTTGAAATGTTAAGATTTTAACTTGCATTTTTAACTTCGTATCTTGAAATTTCAAGAACCAAACCCCCAAAACAAAACAAATTGGCCAAAAAGGCTTCCGTAGTTTACAGCCAGATACGCGTTGTTGAGACGACGCACGGCATACACACAACATCAACATCCTTCCGCCACATGCCTCACACATGTTTATCGTATTGTTTACTGTTAAGTATTGATTGCCAAGTTGAAGCGCGTAGGTTAACCCAGAAGTCGGTAGGTATAGAACTAAATTGTGAAATCAGTAAATAACCACACAAGATCATTGAATGACAAATTATACTGAAACACAGGATTAGCTTTGCAATCATAACAGGAAAAACAACGGGTCAAATTTATGTCAGCAGCAATAAATAACAGACCCTATTACATAAGTCAGTGCATCCACAAATATCCAGAATTTGTCACAGTCGAGTATCTTGAATGAGGCACGTGGTCCGTTCAAAATCCAGGAATGTTGGAAGATGGCAGGAAAAGTCGGCGCTTTCAGACAAGTATCCCGTCCGCACTGGGCAAGAAGATGAGGCGCAAGTTCGATCATTAAAGGCGTCAAATCTGCCTCATCTTGCTCTATTTCGGTACCACCAGCCTTCTAGAAACATTCGTGACCAACTCGTGTTATTCCGGGACAAGTCGAATAGCGACTCGTGTCCGCATTCGTCACCACTCGCCCCTTTCCGTAACCTGCAAGAAGACTCGTCCCCCTATCGATGAATGTTATGTGCGAAAATACGACAAACCAATCAGAATGCGCGTATGATTTCAAGTTCTTCGTCAAAGAATCCCTCAGAAATAATTTTTGAATTTACATATGTCTTGCATCTAAAAATATACCAAAGACACAGTTAAATGTGTTCAATCATACTGTATAATTCCGCACGTCCCGATGTGCTTTAAACTGCATCTGAAATAATGTGGGAAATCTTTGGAAAATGTGTGAACCATTACGCAACGAGTTGACAATTGTTTTGGGTATGCCCGTTTGCGCTAAGACGGAACCCGGTCGCAAAAATGGCCAAGAGAGGGGCACGAGTCGCTATGCGGCTTGTCCCGGAATAACACGAGTTGGTCGCGAATGCGGGGCACGAGTCGCTTTTCGGCTTGTCCCGGAATAACACGAGTTGGTCACGAATGTCGTGTCCGCTCATGGCCATTTTGTCGACCGGGTTCCGTCTTAGCGCAAACGGGCATACCCAAAACAATTGTCAACTCGTTGCGTAATGGTTCACATATATTTCCCCACATATTATATATATTTCAGATGCAACTTAAAGCATATCGGGACCAGCGGAATTATGCAGTATGATTGAACACATTTAAGTGTGTTTGGGGTATATTTTTAGATGCAAGACATATGTAAAATCAAAAAT